ACCCGGTATAATGGTAGAATTACCAACAAAATGGGTTTGGTAAAAGGAAAACAGACAACAATGTGACATTTTAAATTTTGCACGTTTTGCTCTCCAGGACCTGGAGAGTGAAACGTTGCCACAGTAATGTCACACTAATTGCGTGTGTCCTTTTCTTAGTATATACATGTATTTGATTTTTTTCAACGAACTGGCTATATCCCACCGAGGCAGAGTGATCTTAAATGAAAAACCAGAGTTTTTCTTTTTAAATTTAGTACAGTAATTCATACATGAGAAGGGGTTACTAGCCCATTGCTCCTAGCATTTTAGTTGCCTCTTATGACACGCATGGCTTACGGAGGAAGAATTCTGTTCCACCTCCCCATGGAGAATATTTAAAATATTAATCAGTAATTTCCCACATACATTATGGCTGACAATTTATATGGTAGAGTACAGAGTAGAGGCTCGTGCTACTGCCATGGGTCCTTGATCTTGGTAAAGGGCTCTTGATCCAAGGAATTTTAGCTATTGTTTTCTTCCTTAAATCAAGCTGGATTACCTGCCATTCCCCTGGCACTGTATGGCCCATACAGGTTTATCACTTCCGTATGAATATATAAATTTTGTACCCATTGGTGTGGGTGGAGGGCAGTAGAGAACTTGTTGCCCTTGTATAATTAAATTTTTTTTTTTCAGAATAAAGATGGGAAATTTAATATGAAGATGGTATCAGATCGCAGAAACTTCATAGATGGCAACAAATTTGACACAGCAAAAATCAGTGGGAATAAATCTAAAAAGATTTGCAATCCCGAAAAAGTAGTGAACAACAAACTTGACAATAAGGGAGCTGATTCTGATATACATGAGGAAGTTCGAGAGGTTGGTCGCCATCTTGTTTAATTAGCATCAGAATTTTTCAAAGCATATATGGAAAAGTATGAAAGAGAATCACAGGGTCTCATGATTAGTTGGTAATCACGACATGAAGTAGAAAAAGTATTTTTATCATATATTTTGCGAGGCTAGCTGGTCTTCAAACATTACTATATATTTCTTGCTTTTACACATATTTATGGGTTTAGCACTCCCCCATGACAATAATAATAATAATTTTACACATTTTCTTTTCAATTACTTGCATTCCCTCACTATCCAAATGCCCCATCTTTCATCTGTTCTTCATGTTACTTGTTATCAAACTTCATCAGTATAAGTAAGTAAGTAAGTTTATTCAGGTATACACAAATACAGTTACATAGAATTATCATACATAGCAGCATATGTGTAGAGAACCTAGAATAACCCAAAAAAGTCAGACACAGTGACTTATTTCCATTGGGGTCCTTTATAGTATATCTATTGCACTAGTTAATAGTTCTTGATTATTTTATTATTTACTATGTATGGGGCTGTTTTTAATTTTACTATTCACCACAAGTACTGTACCATGAATACCCCAGATGAAAAATCATAATTTTAGCAAAATTAATAAAGAGAATAGAAGTCTAATGCATTTGATAGTGTTATTGAATGGGAATTTTGGAGGTTCAAAAGTGCATTGCTTTCATTTCTGCTCTTTTGGAAATTCAATAAGAGAGCAATCAATGTCACATATGATAAGTGAGACACTTGTGCAACATTCAGGTATCTTTATTCTGGAAACTTCTCGCCAGCCAGTGGCTTCTTCAGTCCAATGCAGAGAACGATGGAAGATGAGGAGGAGTTTAAGGTAATCAGTCCCTTAGCGGAGGAACTGATTATCTCAAAATCCCAATGTTGCATATGTTGGTGGGAATCAACTGAGGTGGTATGTTGTGAACTAACAATGTCAAGAATGTGTGTTTAGATTTTCTCATATGATGTATCCAACTTTTATGTTGCCTGTTTTTTTCCCTATGAAAACACAAAATTCATTTTGTTTTATCCTTCAGTAAAATTTATATAGAAAACTTTAAATTGTAAGGGTTTAATTTGTTATTTTGGATATTTACATGTTCTATTTGAGGCTGTTAAGTTATCACAAGAACTGAAAAATAAAATATACTTTAGTAACTAATGTAATGTAACAAGTGGCATTCCACAGGGATCAGTCTTGGGCCCGTTGTTGTTTATAATATATATCAATGATCTTGATGAGGGAATTACTAGTGAAATGAGCAAATTTGCTGATGACACAAAGATAGGTAGGATAATTGATTCAAACGTAGATATCAGGGAACTTCAGGAGGATTTAGACAAACTCAGTACCTGGTCAGAAAAGTGGCAGATGCAGTTCAATGTAGATAAATACAAGGTTCTGAAGCTCGGGAGTGTCCATAACCCTAGCACTTATAAGATAAATAATGTAGAACTTAGCCATACAGATTGCGAAAAGGGCTTGGGGGTTATGATAAGCAGTAACCTTAGACCAAGACAGCAATGCCTAAGTGTACGTAATAAGGCAAACAGATTACTGGGATTTATTTCAAGAAGTGTAAGCAACAGAAGTTCAGTGGTTATATTACAGCTTTATACATCGTTAGTAAGGCCTCGCATAGATTACGCAGCTCAGTTCTGGTCTTCATATTACAGAATGGACATAAATTCATTAGAAAACATTCAGCATAGAATGACTAAATTAATACATAGCATTAGAAATCTTCCTTATGAAGAAAGATTGAAGACCCTTAAATTACATTCACTTGTTAGATGAAGAATGAGGGGAGACATGATCAAAATGTATAAGTGGAAGATGGGTATTAATAAAAGGGATATAAATGAGGTCTCTACAAGAGAGAACCCGCAGTAATGGATTCAAATTAGAGAAGTTAAGATTTAGAAAGGATATAGGAAAGTGTTGGTTTGGAAATAAGGGTAGTTCATGAGTGGAACAGTCTGCCTAGTTGAGTTATTGAGGCTAAAACCTTGGGTGGGTTCAAATTTAGATGGGATAAATACATGAGTGAGAGGGGTTGGATTTGAGTGGGACTTGCATATGAGTGGATAGAGTTATCAGAGCTTATTTCTTGGGTGGCATTCAAAATCGGGTTGAGCAAATATTTTGTTAGTGGGATGGATTGTAAAGGACCTGCCTAGTATGGGCTAACAGGCCTGCTGCAGTGTTCCTCCTTTCCTATGTTCTTAAAAATATTTATTAAAATTTGTCTTTTAATGATTGTTGTAAAGAAGCACTGCACTTTCTAATATTCATAAATCAATTTTAATACACTGTAGAGTGGAACCTCAAAAAATCAAACTGCTCCCAACACGACCAATTATGTAAATGTATTTTTGTAAGTGCTGTTATAAGTGTATTTTTGAGGGTCTGAAATGGACTAATCTAATTTACATTATTCCTGATGGGAATAAATTCATTCGGTAAAGGCACTCGAACAGCCTTCTGGACCGAAGAAAGTTCGATATTTGAGGTTCCACTGTATACATGTCACTGTGCCTCGGTGGGAGATGGCTGGTGTGTCAGAAAAAAAAAAAAATATTATCTTGACAGGGTGTTAGTAGAATAACAAATGAAGTGATCCTCGAGCAGATTGAATTAGAGGCAAAATCGCTGGGTGTCGACGCTTCAGTTGCGGCCAGGAGCTTGGTCCTGGCACAGGTTAAAGTGCTGGCACGCCTTCTTCATGATGAACATGACTATATGTGGTAATACACTACAATAGAACTTTATTTCTTTTCTGCAGTATACAAAACGTAATAAAATATTGTTAAGAACCAAAGAAAGCCACTAGCATGCTGTGTGAAAAAAAAATGGTTATAATAATAGCCATTAATTTTTAAAGGGGTGGAGAGGTAAACCAGCAGAAGGTCTCAGTCAAATGAGCAAATGCTCCAGTACTACATCATCATATAACTAAAACCTGCGTCAAGAAACACTTGTCCTGTTTCCTGACAAACCTTCCCTTAGGTAAGCATACTGTGAATTTTGGGCACATTTGTGAGTTTCTTGGGAGTTTGATTGTAAAGTTACTCATGCATGCTAGTGGCTTTGGCTTTGTCTAGTATATAAATTACAGTTTATGTACTAGACAAAGAAATAAAAATATTGAATTTGAATTTTGAAAAAGGTTAAGTGGGACCATTTGTAATCAGGATACAGTAATAGTAACTCAATGATGTTGATTCCATTTCAGTCAAAGATTTTGTCAATAAATTTGAAACTACTTGAAAAAGTACAGATGACATTTGAAGTTCTTTGTTACTATAGAGATTATTTTGCAATGTCTGCAGATGCAACAAAGCTCTATTTAGGTTAAAAAATAATTTTTTAGTAGAAAGCTTCCTGCTATGTATGTTTTACATTCCTGGAGCATACCTGGAGGGGGTTTCGGGGGTCATTGCCCCCACGGCCCGATCTGAGACCAGGCATCGTGGTGGATCAGGGTTTGATCAACCAGGTTGTAAATATACCAGTAGGCGGCATACTGTATGTTATATTTATACTTTATACCCTTTTTTAATTAGTGACCTAGAGGGACTCGTCACTACTACACGGTTTTTGGTTGCAAGAAAAATATTAACTACAACAGATATAGGAGAACAGTTACTCAATGAAACAGCATTTCTGGGCCTCTCACTTACATCTCTGTGGAGGTTCACTAACATTGGAGTTGTATCACTAGAGCAGATCATTAAATGGTATGTAATTTTTACTAAGCTTTTTGTTGTACATATCTGTTTTGAGTATTTTTAAATAGTTGTTAAAGCTAGACCTGCCAGACAGTCTCCCACAAAGCTTAAAGCTCTTGCCGTAAGCTGCAATTTTAGCACTGACTGTCTCCCACTGAGGCAGGGTGACCCAAAAAAGAAGAAACAAAAGTTTTTCTTTTTACATTTAGTAATTTATACAGGAGAAGGGGTTACTAGCCAGCCCATAGCTCCTGGTATTTTAGTCGCCTCTTACGATACACATGGCCAAGGAGGAAGGATTCTTTTCCACTTCCCAATGGAGAAGCTGAAATCAGATTTCAGAATATTCCTCAACTAAAAGCAATTTAATGATCATAAAAAATACAAAATATATTACCAGAGACTGCAAGAAAGGCATTTTTCCATTTTTTCTTCATAAATTGGCCTAGTCTGTTTCTAACAAGGATTATTTTTTTTCTTAAATTTTCAAATTTTTCTGATTTTCAAAATTTATTGTTGATAGGTCTGTAAATAATAGTCAACAAGAAAAACATTTCCTATTATGGCATCAAATTCAATTATTTTTAGATGTAGATAAAGATATCAACTTTTACATTCTTTTGGTGAGAGGACAAAATTTAAAGCCCTGTTTTTTGAGGAAGAAGGAAAACCAAATAACAATGTTTTTTTTTTTTTTTTTTTTTTCAACAAGTCGGCCGTCTCCCACCGAGGCAGGGTGACCCAAAAAAGAAAGAAAATCCCCAAAAAGAAAATACTTTCGTCATCATTCAACACTTTCACCACACTCGCACATTATCACTCTTTTTGCAGAGGTGCTCAGAATACAACAGTTTAGAAGCATACACATATAAAGATATACAACATATCCCTCCAAACTGCCAATATCCCAAACCCCTCCTGTAAAGTGCAGACATTGTACTTCCCATTTCCAGGACTCAAGTCCGACTATATGAAAATAACCGGTTTCCCTGAATCCCTTCACTAAATATTACCCTGCTCACACTCCAACAGATCGTCAGGTCCCAAGTACCATTCGTCTCCATTCACTCCTATCTAACACGCTCACACAGGCTTGCTGGAAGCCCAAGCCCCTTGCCCACAAAACCTCCTTTACCCCCTCTCTCCAACCCTTTCGAGGACGACCCCTACCTCGCCTTCCTTCCCCTATAGATTTATATGCTTTCCATGTCATTCTACTTTGATCCATTCTCTCTAAATGACCAAACCACCTCAACAACCCCTCTTCTGCCCTCTGACTAATACTTTTATTAACTCCACACCTTTTCCTAATTTCCACACTCTGAATTTTCTGCATAATATTTACACCACACATTGCCCTTAGACAGGACATCTCCACTGCCTCCAACCGTCTCCTCGCTGCTGCATTTACCACCCAAGCTTCACACCCATATAAGAGTGTTGGTACTACTATGCTTTCATACATTCCCTTCTTTGCCTCCATAGATAACGTTTTTTGACTCCACATATACCTCAATGCACCACTCACCTTTTTTCCCTCATCAATTCTATGATTAACCTCATCCTTCATAAATCCATCCGCCGACACGTCAACTCCCAAGTATCTGAAAACATTCACTTCTTCCATACTCCTCCTCCCCAATTTGATATCCAATTTTTCTTTATCTAAATCATCTGACACCCTCATCACCTTACTCTTTTCTATGTTCACTTTCAACTTTCTACCTTTACACACATTCTCAAACTCATCCAATAACCTTTGCAATTTTTTTTTAGAATCTCCCATAAGCACAGTATCATCAGAAAAAAGTAACTGCGTCAATTCCCATTTTGAATTTGATTCCCCAAAATTTAATCCCACCCCTCTCCTGAACACCTTAGCATTTACTTCCTTTACAACTCCATCTATAAATATATTAAACAACCATGGTGACATTACACATCCCTGTCTAAGACCTACTTTTACCGGGAAGTAGTCTCCCTCTCTTCTACACACCCTAACCTGAGCCTCACTATCCTCATAAAAACTCTTTACAGCATTTAATAACTTACCACCTATTCCATATACTTGCAACATCTGCCACATTGCTCCTCTATCCACTCTATCATATGCCTTTTCTAAATCCATAAATGCAATAAAAACTTCCCTACCTTTATCTAAATACTGTTCACATATATACTTCAATGTAAACACTTGATCTACACATCCCCTACCCACTCTGAAACCTCCTTGCTTATCCGCAATCCTACATTCTGTCTTACCTCTAATTCTTTCAATTATAACCCTACCTTACACTTTTCCTGGTATACTCAGTAAACTTATTCCTCTATAATTTTTACAGTCTCTTTTGTCCCCTTTCCCTTTATATAAAGGGACTATACATGCTCTCCGCCAATCCCTAGGTACCTTCCCCTCTTTCATACATTTATTAAACAAAAGTACCAACCACTCCAACACTATATCCCCCCTTGCTTTTAACATTTCTGTCATGATCCCATCAGTTCCAGCTGCTTTACCCCCTTTCATTTTACGTAATGCCTCACGTACCTCCCCCACACTTACATTCTGCTCTTCTTCACTCCTAAAAGATGGTATACCTCCCTGACCAGTGCATGAAATTACTGCCTCTGTTTCTTCCTTAACATTTAAAAGTTCCTTAAAATATTCTCGCCATCTACCTAATACCTCCATCTCCCCATCTACTAACTCCCCTACTCTGTTTTTAACTGACAAATCCATACTTTCCCTAGGCTTTCTTAACTTGTTTAACTCACTCCAAAATTTTTTCTTATTTTCATTAAAATTTCTTGACAGTGCCTCTCCCACTCTATCATCTGCTCTCCTTTTGCACTCTCTCACCACTCTCTTTACCTTTCTTTTACTCTCCATATACTCTGCTCTTCTTATAACACTTCTGCTTTGTAAAAACCTCTCATAAGCTACCTTTTTCTCTTTTATCACACCCTTTACTTCATCATTCCACCAATCACTCCTCTTTCCTCCTGCCCCCACCCTCCTATAACCACAAACTTCTGCCCCACATTCTAATACTGCATTTTTAAAACTATTCCAACCCTCTTCAACCCCCCCACTACTCATCTTTGCACTAGCCACCTTTCTGCCAGTAGTCGCTTATATCTCACCCGAACTTCCTCCTCCCTTAGTTTATACACTTTCACCTCCCTCTTACTTGTTGTTGCCACCTTCCTCTTTTCCCATCTACCTCTTACTCTAACTGTAGCTACAACTAAATAATGATCCGATATATCACGATATATCAGTTGCCCCTCTATAAACATGTGCATTCTGGAGCCTACCCATCAACCTTTTATCCACCAATACATAATCTAATAAACTACTTTCATTACGTGCTACATCATGCCTTGTATATTTATTTATCCTCTTTTTCATAAAATATGTATTACTTACTTCCAAATCTCTTTCTACACATAGCTCAATTAAAGGCTCCCCATTTACATTTACCCCTGGCACCCCAAATTTACCTACTACTCCCTCCATAACATTTTTACCCACTTTAGCATTGAAATCCCCAACCACCATTACTCTCACACTTGATTCAAAACTCCCCACGCATTCACTCAACATTTCCCAAAATCTCTCTCTCTCCTCTACACTTCTCTCTTCTCCAGGTGCATACACGCTTATTATAACCCACTTTTCACATCCAATCTTTATTTTACTCCACATAATCCTTGAATTAATACATTTATAGTCCCTCTTTTCCTGCCAAAGCTTATCCTTCAACATTATTGCTACTCCTTGTTTAGCTCTAACTCTATTTGAAACCCCTGACCTAATCCCATTTATTCCTCTCCACTGAAACTCTCGCACCCCCTTCAGCTTTGTTTCACTTAAAGCCAGGACTTCCAGCTTCTTCTCATTCATAACATCCACAATCATCTCTTTCTTATCATGTGCACAACATCCATGCACATTCAGACTTCCCACTTTGACAATTTTCTTCTTATTCTTTTTAGTAATCTTAACAGGTTACTAGCCCATTGTTCCCGGCATTTTAGTTGACTTTTACAACACGCATGGCTTACGGAGGAAAGATTCTTATTCCACTTCCCCATGGATATAAAAGGGAAAGTAATAAGACCAAGAACTATTAAGATAAAATCAAAGAAAACTCAGATGAGTGTGTATAAATAAATGTGTACATGTATGTGTAGTTTGACCTAAGTGTAAGTAGAAGTAGCAAGACATACCTGTAATCTTGCATATTTATGAGACTGACAAAAGACATCAGCAATCCTACCATCATGTAAAACAATCACAGGCTTTTGTTTTACACTCACTTGGCAGGACGGTAGTACCTCCCTGGGTGGTTGCTGTCTACCAACCTACTAATATCTGTGGCAGATATTAATTTTTTAATAAGTAGTTTCACCAAATGCTGTAAGTCACTAATTGTTCGTATTGTTTTGAAGTAGTAATTTAGCTCTCTTTTTTTTGTTTCAGCATTCATGATAGCGGGAACACCACCCATTCAATTGTGGATGGTCTTTTTGACTTGATACTGCATGGCAGGAAAGATCATGTGGACACCTCAGCTGTTAGTGATATTCTTTCTGTTCTTATATGTATTGCTTATGACTCTGCTGAGGATGATCATGCCTCATTGTGCAAATTTGCTAATCAGGCACTCTGCTCATTAACAACAAGATTACTTAATCACATTCTGAACTGGGAAACGGAGAAGAGAGAATATGCGACTATACTAGGCACTGACAGCACGAGTTTGAAATCAGAGAGCAAGTGCAAAGGGAATGTTACCAAATCCACTAATGAATTATCTGAAGATGGTGTCACTGAGGTGATGAACATATATGAGCTGGTGCTGAACAATCTTAGCATAACATCAGAAGCACTGGAACTTTACTGCTCTGGTCAGTTGATGAAACTTCTCACCCACTGTCCTGAGCTGCAGCTGGGTCGAGTATTGAGGCATCAAGAAAAATGGAGATCAACAAAAGCCAACACTGCACTTTCAGCTTGGATGCAGAAGGTATAGTAACTCTTCCAGCCCCCCCCTCCCAAAAAAAAAGACAAAAATCTTGTATTGTTTACAAAAAAACAATATTTTTTTTATTAACACATCGGCCATTTCCCACCGAGGCAGGGTGACCCAATAAAGAAGAAAGACTTTTGTCATCATTCACTCCATCACTGTCTTGCCAGAGGTGTGCCTACACTACAGTTAAAAACCCTTAGCATATCAGCACCTCAATTTATAGCATATCAATGTTATCTCCAAACACGATATTGATATTGATTCTTAGCCAAGATCACTAAACACTTGAGTTCTTCTTTATAATTCTTAAATAAAACATGATATAAACGTGTACAACATAACTGGGTATACAGCTGTATTCAAATGTATACACAACTATACATGTCATTAATGGTTAGTAGATTTAGTGATTTGATTATGGGCACAGTGTATTGCCTAAAATTTGAGTTCATCATGAGTAATAGTTTCTTTTTGTTATGTGATTACTGCTTTAAGGTGGAGAGTTGAGGTAGAACCCCCAAGCACAAACTCTATAGGCAAAATAGGGGTGAATGAAAGAATGTAATATAATATCTTTGTTTACAAGTACATGTACATGTTTCTACATGTACAAGGTATACAAGCCTAGCTGATTTCAGTGACATACTGCTTTATAGAAAGCCACTTGTTATGCAGAGCATTTTGGGCAAATTAGGTCAGTTTTGTCCCAGGATGTGACCCACACCAATTGACTAACACCCAGGTACCCATTTGACTGATGGGGAATATAGACAACCGGTGTAAGGAAACATGCCCAACGTTTCTACCCTCACCATGTGAAGTGAGACCGTTAGCCACCAGGCCATGGAGTAGTGTTTGTAGTATAGATTGGGGAACATAATAGGGAATTTTGCAGAACATACCTACAGTTTTAGAGACTTGTTAAATGAGCTGGATTTGAGTATTAAATTTGAATTTATTATTTGTGAGCAGATATAGAAACTTTTTTTTTTTTTTCAGCACAGTGGTCGTATCCCACTAAAGTAGGGTGACCTAAAAAGAAAACACGAAGGTTTTTCTTTTTAACTTTAGTAATTTATACAAGAGGAGGGAGTTACTAGCCCCTTGCTCCAGGCATTTTAGTCACCTCTTACAACATGCATTGCTTATGGAAGAAGAATTCTTTTCCACTTCCCCATGGAGAATATAGGGACTTATTCTCATTAGATTCACTGAGTCTGATGTCTAATCATGAACATGGTTTATTCTCAAAAGTCATATTGAATGTTTTTGCAGGAGTGTTTATTTGTTTTCCAGGTGAAAAATATAATGTAGGTTGTTTCACTAGCAAAGAATACAGACTTAAGGTGCTGGTTGGCATTTGGTAAGTTACAGATATAGAGGAAGAGGAAGAGACAAGGGCCCAAGATGCTATTTTGGGGGACACTTAACCCTTTGACTGTCGCGGCCGTATATATACGTCTTACGAGGTACCGTGTTTGACGTATACATACTCATAAATTCTAGCGGCTTCAAATCAAGCAGTAGAAAGCTGGTAGGCCCACATGTGAGAGAATGGGTCTGTGTGGTCAGTGTGCACCATATAAAAAAAATCCTGGAGCACGCAGTGCATAATGAGAAAAAAAAAACTCCGACCGTTTTTTTTAATTAAAATGCCGACTTTGTGGTCTATTTTCGTATAGTATTTATGGTTGTATTCTCGTTTTCTTGGTCTCATTTGATAGAATGGAAAACATATTATAGAAATAGAGGTGATTTTGATTGATTTTACTATAAAAAGAACCTAGAAATGGAGCTCAAAGTAGGGGAAATGTTTAATTTTTGCCAATGTTCAAAAGTAAACAAATGATGCCTTTGTCCAATAAATGTCAAACTAGCCATTCTAATATGCAGTCATGAATGGGTTGATGTTATTTATACAATTATTACAGTATTGCAGTAGTCTGCATAATAGTAAGTCTTCTATTTTTTGTTTGAATAAAAATTCAAAATAGAAAGCAAGAGTAATATCAGAGGGGCCTGGAGACATGACTGATGAGCAAAGAAAATGTTATTTTAGAGCCAGGAATGTCTGCATTGTTCATTCTGGACCTTATTTTGAAATTGTCATATTTTTTAGTTTTCGTGAAATTGGCCAAATTGCAAATTTCTGACCACATTATTAGGTAGTTGAAATCGGTAAATGGGCAGTTTCTTGTGCTCAATCGATAGAAGAAATGGAGTTCTAAAGAAATAGCTATGAGTTTGGGCGACTGGAACAATGGAATTAGCCGAAAATAGGGCTCAAAGTGGGCGAAATCGCCGATTTGTAAACAGCGCCGAGGTCGCTAACTTCGTGAGAGCATAATTCCGTCAGTTTTTCATCAAATTTCGTTTTTTTGGTGTCATTACAATCGGGAAAAGATTCTCTATCATTTCATAAGAAAAAATAATTTTTTTTTTTTTTTAAATTTTGCGACACCAGGAGACACCTCAGGAATGGGGGTTGCGACAGTCAAAGGGTTAATTTAATTAACTGAGTGCTAAAGGAAGTGCCATTTATACTAACGTACTGGTGTCTGTGTAAATAGAATTTGAGGTAGCTATATGCGAGTTCGCCAAGTCTCTGGTGATTAATTTTGGTCATCCTTATCAAAAGCCGTACACACATCAGTAAAAATTCACTTAGATACTTGTTTCTTTCTAGTGCAATGTAGAGGCATAATTGAAATTAGATTTATTTGCTGAAATTTATTTAAACAGTTTGCAGCCAAACAACTCAGACCCTTATTACAATTAGAGCGATAAACAAAATTCCTCAGCCCAATATTTTAAAGTTCCTTGATAATTTTGGAGACCCAAGGAATTGTAGCTACTCTCCATTTCCATGGATCAAACTTGATTACTTTCTGTTCCTCATGTACTGTATAACCCTGAATAATATCTACACATTAGTATATGGCCAGCAGTGACTGTATTAAAAGTCAGGTGGGGGGAGCTGTATAGAGAGTTTTGGTCATAATTTGAAATGTCCATATTAGCGGAATGCCATAAGACAAAATGCTGTAAAGTGGGGCCCTACTGTATATTAATAACTGCTTATTTTTCATTGGTTTTGCTCATTGGTCGCTTTGTTGACTTTCAGTTGCTTGTGGCACTTGGTTATGAAGCAGCTTTAAGTACACTGGAGATGGTGGTTAATAATGAAGAGGTTAACTGGGCGTGTGTCCTCACACTTGTTGCCACAGCACTCAACTGTCATCGGGCAACTGTTGCCATTCTCAAAGGTTAGATGTAATTAGATATTAACTTTTTAATGGGAATTAACTTAAGAGATAAAATATGATATAATACTTTCACTTTAATTTAATATTTTATAAAGAATAATCAAATGACAAATTTATGTTACCGAACCTTAAATATTTTTTTTATTTGGGCAGATAGCTGTTCAATACTAACTTCTTATTACAGAGTTCAGCTCTCTACAGCTGACTAATCATTGACCTTGATATGGTGTGGTACTCACATACAGTATGTTTTCTCTAAATTAATTATTGGGAATATAGACAAATGGTTCAGAAAACTGACAAGTTGATAAATTAGACATATGTAACACTTGAGTATGTTGAGGAAATGTTTCACCACGCAGTGGCTTCATCAACCCTATACAAAGAATAATGATGAAAATCAGAAGGAGTTTGAGGTAATAAGTCCCTCAGCCTGGAATTAATGTAATCAATCCATCAATCTTGAAAAGAATGCAGCATATGCACGAAGAAGTGGCTTATATACTGTAGATGTGTGAGGTGAAGCAGGTGTAGGCAATATCACAGTGGACAGATCCACAGGTGGAAGTAGGTCATGCCTATAGGTTCAGCAGAGGGAAGGGAGACAGCAGGCCTGCTGCCTCCCTTCCTTCTACCTCACTCCAGCAAGGATGTTCCCTGTGACTGTATTTACCTGAACCTCCTCCTCTTTTCTGCATCATTGCAAGCTCCTGATGATGTGTTGATTGCAACATGAAATGCCTAGACCTGTCATTCAACTCCCCCCATAGTTGTTTTGTATCTTGTATCGCCTGTTCATGATATTTTCATATGTTAGTATGTATGTATACCCTTAAAAACTGTGATTTTTTTTTTAATAATGGCCATATCCCACTGAGGTAGGGGGACCTGAAAATAAGAGGAAACACATTCTCCGTCATTCATTTAATTGCTGTCTTGCATTGGGTTTATAGGCAACTAAGGAGTGAATAACTGGGAATGTGTTTTCTGTTTCTGAGTTCCATTGCCTTTGTGAAAAGCAATGTATGTTAGAAAAACTAAATCATGAAAATGTAAGACAGTTTTAATAATCCTAAAATATTTTCCTCTCTGAAATTTAGCGTGTGCTTACTGTCTTTGCCAGGGATGATAGAGCGCAACATTCGTCGTGGGTGTGAGGAGCAGGAGATGGATTCGCTGATCATAGGGTTCCTGTTTGCTAGACATGCTGGCCAGGAGGGACGTCACATCTTCCCATCTTACTCTCAGTGGTTCAACACACTCTTTGCAACAGAGTCGGGAAGTCCTGTACCAAACAAGCAGGCTTTCACTTTCTTGGTCAGTTTGGTACTATTTATTGGATTAATCCTTCTTGGAACATGTGAAATCACTACTTGATAACAGTCCAGGATGGGCCATAACAGTTTAATTTTATATCCAATTTGTGGCTTAGTTGCGAATTGTTTCAGTCACGAGATTGTTCCAGCCATGGTGTTGTGACTTTTATTCTTCATAGGATAAGTCATACCCTCTCTGTTGCATTGTACAGTATTGTTTATTGTTCAGAAAATTTTTTCACTTCAAATTAAGTAAAAGTATTAGTTAATTTGTAAGACTTATTGATTTATTTAGTTTTTCTGAGTAGATCTAAGCAAGCTGTTGAAACAACAGACTAAAATGAATGACCATTAAAAGGCTTCTCCACAAGCTGTTAGTGTTATGGATTAGCAGATAAAACAAAAGGGTGAATCTGTAGGTATGATTATGTAAACTATCTTTCAGATCCACTTCTTGACAGAGCTGGTACCCCATGAGCCAGCTTACTGCCTTCGTGCTCACCTCACAAATCAGATCTTTGTACCGAAGGGATGTCAGGAGGTAATCTTCATTTTTTGTTGCTTTATAAGCTCTGTGTAACTCATTCGAGTTTAGCTTCTTTTTTAATATAATAATAATAGAACAAGGGACCAGTAACCCCTTCTTCTGTATAAATTACTAAAATTTAAAAGAAAAACTTTGGATTTTCATTTTAGGTCACCCTACCTTGGTGGGAGACAGCTGGTTTGTTGAAAAGAATAATAATAATAATAATAATGTTGTTTTATAACAACCTTCAGTATTTTGTTACAATTTTAATTAGGAAATCTATACGGTGTTTCTTTCTTTCAGCGAACTTAAGTGTTCTTCATATTTCTGAGTAATATTCATTATCTAATAATGGCAGATGAACAATGAAAGATGTGAAATAACCACAGAGGGAGTTAAATGATAGCCCTAGGCCTTTTGTGTTGCAATCAACACATCATCAGAAGCTTGCAATGTTGCAGAAATGAGTAAGAAGTCCAGGTAGATTCTATCTGGACTTCCTACTCATTTTTGTGCCCGATGATGTGTTGATTGCAACAAGAAAGGCCTAGAGCTATCATTCAACTACCCCTGTGGATTTTGTATTTATTATCTATTTCCACATTTTGTGGTCTCTTTAGCATTACCATACATTCATGCTTTTGAAAGCAGCTTTGCTGGGCAGTTTTACACAATCTTTGTGTAATTTATGGTAATTCTGTAGTATGAAAATAAATGGTATAAAATACTGACACAATGGAAACATAAACACATATGCAGTTTAATGTGATCCTTTATTGCAGTGGTTCCCAAACTTTTTCAGCTTGTTACCCAATTTAACATGCCACATAAAGCATGTAACCCCTTTCACAAAATGTTGTTATTATTGATATATATGGCTAAACGTGAACGTATACAGCCTCGCATACTCTGCTAATCCTAGCAAAACCATTGAAAACGTAAGAACCACACATACATTATATATAAAATTAATAATAGCTACAAATTCACAGTATCAGTGGGTAAATACTAACTATATACTGCACAGGGCAGTACACATACATACCAGCTTATGTCTACCTCGCCTGATGCTCACAGATAAACTGACAGTGTGAAATAGAGGCAGCCTCAGGAAGTGAGTGACGTGTACTGGACAGGTCGATCTGGGCTACTGAGTGACTTTTGTCCTGAAGCATACTTGTCAAAATACTTTTGGGTTTCCACACACTTAGCTATATATTTCTTCTTTTCTAATACTGTATATTAGTTTTTGATGTTTATTGTTATTTGGTTTAACTTTATTACTTACTTATAATAGGTTTACTTTACAACTTTATATACTAAGACAAAGTTAACAATAATCCTCATACCGGGTACCGCATTGTTTTCTTGATTTTCAGAATTCATAACTTTTTTTCTGTCACCCCTCCATTACCCCCCAAAAATGGTTAAATTACCCCCAGGGGGTAATTTACCCCCAGTTTGGGAACCACTGCTTTATTGACAACGTTTCACCCACACAGTGGGCTTTTTCAAGTCACACACAGATCTGTGTGTGATCACATTAAACTGCATGTGTTTATGTTTCCAATTCTGTAGTATCTTATAATTATCATTTAATTCTCTCTTAGGTTTTGAGAGAGTATTGTTACTTAGCCAGAGCAAGACTTCAAGAACTGAAGGACACACAGCACATAGACTCAAGTCATCTGTCAACTCATGCCTTAAGTACAGTGAGTCTTTACTTCTCACAAATAACCCAGACTCAAGTAAAGAAGTTTATAATGATATTTCAGTCCATCTTGGGTCATTGTCAAGTCACAACTGAGAGAGAAAAAGCAGAGATCAGAAGATAGGTTGGGGTCCATTCTCTTGACCTGCCTTCTGTTATTTTCAGCTTTTTTTTTTTCTCTCTCAGTTATGACTCAACACAAGCTTCCTCTCCTAAGTGCAGATTATTTGAAAATTTTTCCAGTTATGGCATTGCTTTTATTATTCTTTGTATTTATATGTGTTCTAGGTAGTAGGTTGGTAGACAGCAACCGCCCAGGGAGGTACTACCGTCCTGCCAAGTGAGTGTAAAACGAAAGCCTGTAATTGTTTTACATGATGGTAGGATTGCTGGTGTCTATTTTTCTGTCTCATAAACATGCAAGGTTTCAGGTACGTCTTGCTACTTCTACTTACACTTAGGTCACACTACATATACATGTACAAGCATATATATACACACACCCCTCTGGGTTTTCTTCTATTTTCTTACTAGTTCTTGTTCTTGTTTATTTCCTCTTACCTCCATGGGGAAGTGGAACAGAATTCTTCCTCCGTAAGCCATGTGTGTTGTAAGAGGCGACTAAAATGCCAGGAGCAAGGGGCTAGTAACCCCTTCTCCTGTATATATTACTAAATGTAAAAGGAGAAACTTTCATTTTTCCTTTTGAGCCACCCCGCCTCAGTGGGATACGGCCGGTGTGTTGAAAGAAAGAAAGATTTGTGTGTGTTTGCACCTCTGTTGAAATGATCACAGCTTTCTAATTTAAAACCTGTATGTGAAAGTTCTATAGCAGCAGGTACATTTTTCTGGGGTCATTTGAAAGGTTGGAAGACTTGCAGCTGTTATCTTTAATGTGTCATAAGTTTAACAAATGTTATTACTTTCATCTCACTGAGAATATAAAATAAAATTAAAACTATTAGAGTAGGTCTTTGCCAGAAGGCAGAATGCCATGAGCATATGTCTGTTGCTGTAGCTATGAGAACTGAAGATAAAACACCACAAGTATAGCTCCGTTCTTTTAGATTCAAGTAGATAATCACATTTTTTTTATGTTTATGTTGCAGGTGGCTGATGAGGTAGAGGCTGCAGTGAATCACTTCAGTCAAACTGGTAAAATACCAAATTTCGTCACAGAAGCATCAATATTCCGTAACCCGTACTTTCGCTCGTCCTTCCTGCCTGCTTTACTAGCACCCAGGTACATGTGAATTATTTAATTCTTTTGAATTAATAGTTTAGAAAACTGACACGTTGATAAATGAAGAACTTGTGCAACATTTGCGTATCTTTATTCTGGAAACGTTTTGCCAGCCAGTAGCTTCTTCAGTCCAGTGAAGAAAAGGTGGAAGAAGAGGAGGCATTTTAGGCAATCAGTCCCTCAGCCTGGAGTTAAAGTGTTCAGTCCATCAGTCCTGCCCTCCAATCTGATATCCAGTTTTTCCTTATCTGAATCGTTTGATGCCCTCATCACCTTACTCCAGTGTAATTTACTAAATGTAAAAAGAAAACCTTTAGTTTTTCTATTTAGGTCACCCTATATTGGTGGAAGATGGCTGGTATGCTAAAGAAATAATAATAATAATAATAATAGTGATAATCCTTCGCAGGCCTTTACCAGATGTTCCAGATTCTCGAGCAAAGCTGATTTCTGCCCTCCATTCCACAGGAAAAATTCCATCTAACATGTTCAATTATTATGTTGAAGCTTGTCAGAAGGAAGCCTCAGACTTGTTAACAGGTAAGAAGAAGTTATTACAATTGAAAATAATTTTATAATTTGGCTGTTTAGGACACTCCAGTACGTTAAGTGTTTGCACTCTAGCAGCAGTCAGAATCTTTCCCAAGGTAACTGCCTGCTCTCTTGTCTTCTTGTTCAAGTGATGACTGTTGCTCCTTTCTTTTCATCTTATAAACCTGCAAGATGACAGGTAAGTATTGTGAACATCTGTTTTCAATTGCTTTTACACTTAGCTGTACAGTGAACTCTCGATATTATGGGCAAAATTCACTAGCTAGATTGCATTATTAAATCCTTCATTTTTCCAGCAGTAATGTTAAATGATCAGTTATGGAAGGAGAAAAGAGAATATGAATGTGTAAATTCAAGAATTATGTGGATTAAAGTAAAGGTTGGATGCGAGAAGTGGGTCATAATAAGCGTGTATGCACCTGGAGAAGAGAGGAATGCAGAGGAGAGAGAGAGATTTTGGGAGATGTTAAGTGAATGTATAGGAGCCTTTGAACCAAGTGAGAGAGTAATTGTGGTAGGGGACTTGAATGCTAAAGTAGGAGAAACTTTTAGAGAGGGTGTGGTAGGTAAGTTTGGGGTGCCAGGTGTAAATGATAATGGGAGCCCTTTGATTGAACTTTGTATAGAAAGGGGTTTAGTTATAGGTAATACATATTTTAAGAAAAAGAGGATAAATAAGTATACACGATATGATGTAGGGCGAAATGACAGTAGTTTGTTGGATTATGTATTGATAGATAAAAGACTGTTGAGTAGACTTCAGGATGTACATGTTTATAGAGGGGCCACAGATATATCAGATCACTTTCTAGTTGTAGCTACACTGAGAGTAAAAGGTAGATGGGATACAAGGAGAATAGAAGCATCAGGGAAGAGAGAGGTGAAGGTTTATAAACTAAAAGAGGAGGCAGTTAGGGTAAGATATAAACAGCTATTGGAGGATAGATGGGCTAATGAGAGCATAGGCAATGGGGTCGAAGAGGTATGGGGTAGGTTTAAAAATGTAGTGTTAGAGTGTTCAGCAGAAGTTTGTGGTTACAGGAAAGTGGGTGCAGGAGGGAAGAGGAGCGATTGGTGGAATGATGATGTAAAGAGAGTAGTAAGGGAGAAAAAGTTAGCATATGAGAAGTTTTTACAAAGTAGAAGTGATGCAAGGAGGGAAGAGTATATGGAGAAAAAGAGAGAAGTTAAGAGAGTGGTGAAGCAATGTAAAAAGAGAGCAAATGAGAGAGTGGGTGAGATGTTATCAACAAATTTCGTTGAAAATAAGAAAAAGTTTTGGAGTGAGATTAACAAGTTAAGAAAGCCTAGAGAACAAATGGATTTGTCAGTTAAAAATAGGAGAGGAGAGTTATTAAATGGAGAGTTAGAGGTATTGGGAAGATGGAAGGAATATTTTGAGGAATTGTTAAATGTTGATGAAGATAGGGAAGCTGTGATTTCGTGTATAGGGCAAGGAGGAATAACATCTTGTAGGAGTGAGGAAGAGCCAGTTGTGAGTGTGGGGGAAGTTCGTGAGGCAGTAGGTAAAATGAAAGGGGGTAAGGCAGCCGGGATTGATGGGATAAAGATAGAAATGTTAAAAGCAGGTGGGGATATAGTTTTGGAGTGGTTGGTGCAATTATTTAATAAATGTATGGAAGAGGGTAAGGTACCTAGGGATTGGCAGAGAGCATGCATAGTTCCTTTGTATAAAGGCAAAGGGGATAAAAGAGAGTGCAAAAATTATAGGGGGATAAGTCTGTTGAGTGTACCTGGTAAAGTGTATGGTAGAGTTATAATTGAAAGAATTAAGAGTAAGACGGAGAATAGGATAGCAGATGAACAAGGAGGCTTTAGGAAAGGTAGGGGGTGTGTGGACCAGGTGTTTACAGTGAAACATATAAGTGAACAGTATTTAGATAAGGCTAAAGAGGTCTTTGTGGCATTTATGGATTTGGAAAAGGCGTATGACAGGGTGGATAGGGGGGCAATGTGGCAGATGTTGCAAGTGTATGGTGTAGGAGGTAGGTTACTGAAAGCAGTGAAGAGTTTTTACGAGGATAGTGAGGCTCAAGTTAGAGTATGTAGGAAAGAGGGAAATTTTTTCCCAGTAAAAGTAGGCCTTAGACAAGGATGTGTGATGTCACCGTGGTTGTTTAATATATTTATAGATGGGGTTGTAAGAGAAGTAAATGCGAGGGTCTTGGCAAGAGGCGTGGAGTTAAAAGATAAAGAATCACACACAAAGTGGGAGTTGTCACAGCTGCTCTTTGCTGATGACACTGTGCTCTTGGGAGATTCTGAAGAGAAGTTGCAGAGATTGGTGGATGAATTTGGTAGGGGTGTGCAAAAGAAGAAAATTAAAGGTGAATACAGGAAAGAGTAAGGTTATGAGGATAACAAAAAGATTAGGTGATGAAAGATTGAATATCAGATTGGAGGGAGAGAGTATGGAGGAGGTGAACGTATTCAGATATTTGGGAGTGGACGTGTCAGCGGATGGGTCTATGAAAGATGAGGTGAATCATAGAATTGATGAGGGAAAAAGAGTGAGTGGTGCACTTAGGAGTCTGTGGAGACAAAGAACTTTGTCCTTGGAGGCAAAGAGGGGAATGTATGAGAGTATAGTTTTACCAACGCTCTTATATGGGTGTGAAGCGTGGGTGATGAATGTTGCAGCGAGGAGAAGGCTGGAGGCAGTGGAGATGTCATGTCTGAGGGCAATGTGTGGTGTGAATATAATGCAGAGAATTCGTAGTTTGGAAGTTAGGAGGAGGTGTGGGATTACCAAAACTGTTGTCCAGAGGGCTGAGGAAGGGTTGTTGAGGTGGTTCGGACATGTAGAGAGAATGGAGCGAAACAGAATGACTTCAAGAGTGTATCAGTCTGTAGTGGAAGGAAGGCGGGGTAGGGGTCGGCCTAGGAAGGGTTGGAGGGAGGGGGTAAAGGAGGTTTTGTGTGCGAGGGGCTTGGACTTCCAGCAGGCATGCGTGAGCGTGTTTGATAGGAGTGAATGGAGACAAATGGTTTTTAATACTTGGCGTGCTGTTGGAGTGTGAGCAAAGTAACATTTATGAAGGGATTCAGGGAAACCGGCAGGCCGGACTTGAGTCCTGGAGATGGGAAGTACAGTGCCTGCACTCTGAAGGAGGGGTGTTAATGTTGCAGTTTAAAAACTGTAGTGTAAAGCACCCTTCTGGCAAGACAGTGATGGAGTGAATGATGGTGAAAGTTTTTCTTTTTCGGGCCACCCTGCCTTGGTGGGAATCGGCCGGTGTGATAATAAAAAAAAAAAATAAATTTTTCCATGTTTATTGCAATGTATCTGTCAGTTGTGTGTACAGTACATTGATACGCATAGAGTACGTTAGTATATTTTTTTGCTATTTTTATGCATTATTCTGATTTAATGGGCACTTAGACAGTCTCCCCTATTTGTTCATTATAGCAAAGATATGCTGTAGATCACTGATTATATGGAAACTGGCATTAAACATTTTCAGATGGTTTTGTTTAATATGGCCATCTGAGCTATGATGTCGGCACACTTCTGGCAGTACAACGTGTGTTTCGTGCATTTTTTTGTTTCATGTGCATTTCATACGTGTTTTGTATGTGTTTCATGGGTGTTTTGTATGTGTTTCATGGGTGTTTTGTATGTGTTTCATGTGTGTTTAGTGTGTGTTTCATCTTTTGTTTGGTCTTTCTACCTCAGCAAAAGATGGCTGGTGCATTAAAAAAAAATTTCCATCTGGCCATTGCTTTGCAGAATTCAATCCAGTTTTTAAGTTCATCTTACATAATATTAAAAAATATAACTAAAGATAGAGGTATTTGGTAAGTTCTGAGATATTTGTCTAAATAGTAGAAAGTAGGTGTAAGATATGATTTAGATGTCATTACATTTCAATGAACTCATAGCAGGTTAATATTTTTAATGTTAAATATTGTCAAGATGTATTTTTAATCCTTATTACATTCTTCTTGAAGAGGAAGCAATATTAATTATCACATCTGTGTCTGTACATCTTCATATTCACATCATAAAAAAAAGGCATCAGTTAGTTAAGAATCCTAAATGAATTTAGTACAAAGAATTTCTTTTGCCTGAACTAACGCACAGTATATTTTGTAAGTTGAGCCTTTTTTATGAACAATTTTGCCACCTGTTTCAGTGGTGTGTATTCAGCTCTCAACTGAAAAAGCTTTGGTTCAATCCCAGGCAAGTCAAGACACAGTAGGGAAAGGTCTCCTTGTACTTTCTGCCCTTGTTCACCTAGTAAATAAGTATCTGGGTATTACTTATCCTTGTAGGTCACATCCTCAGGAAAGAGGACCAGAGGACTCCAGTGGAAGTAAGCGATTAGATTTGACTTACTTGGGTTATGCTGGATTAATAACCCACTAGGGGTAATAGGAGTCCTGCCAATTGGCCTGGTACATTCGATTTCAACTCTCGTTTGGAGTTCGTCAGTTCGAACATGCAGTATTGAGTTGTAATATTTGTCTTTTTGAGTTAATATGAAGAATTTCTTATACTGAGGGAGGGGTGGGATATTTGCAGTTTTGAACTAGAGTATCAGGACCCCTCTGGCAAGACTTCAACATATGTGTACTCACCTAGTTGTGGTTGCAGGGGTTGATTCACATCTCTTGGACCCACCTCTTCCCTGGCTGCTACTAGGTCACTCTTCTTGCTCCATGAGCTGTATCATACCTCTTCTTAAAGCTATGTATGGTTCCTGCCTTCACTACATCACTTCCCAGACTATTCCAGTTCCTGACAACTCTGTGACTGAAGAAATACTTCCTAACATCCCTGTGATTCATCTGAGTCTTCAACTTCCAATTGTGTCCCATCTCCGGAACATCCTGTCTCTGCCCACCTTGTCAATTCCTCTCAGTATTTTATGTGTTGTTATCATATCCTCCCTATCTCTCCTGTCCTCCAGTGTCACGTGTGTGTGTGTGTGTGTGTGTGTGTGTGTGTGTGTGTGTGTGTGTGTGTGTGTGTGTGTGTGTGTGTGTGTGTGTGTGTGTGTGTGTGTGTGTGTGTGAGCATTGCATGATGATGACAGTGTGGTAAATGAATGTGCATTATATTTCATCTTCCATTCTCTTTCAGGTGTATTTATTGATGTTAAAGAAGACATTATTATTGAAGATCCTGTCACAGAGCTCTCTCATCAGCTCCAGGACTTAATTAAAGAAGCCACAAGCTGCCAGGATAGAGATAAAACCTCGTTATCTGCGATGCTCCCGACTCTCTCTCGAATTTCACACAAGATTGAAGAAATAATGAAGTTATCAGATTCTAAACTAAGACATATTAAATATTTATCCCTAGATGCAAGAAAATTCAATACAAAACTGGTATCTTATCAGGTATGTATAATGATATAGGGTATAATTAATAATACAATAACAATAACAATGTTTTGTAAAGGGATTCAGGGAAATTGGTTAGCTGAACTTAAATCCTGGAGGTGGGGAGTATAATACCTGCACTCTAAAGGACGAGCTTGGGTTATTTACTTTTTAGTGACGTCTAAACTGTCGTATCTGCACGCCTCTGATAAGACTGATAGTGTGAATGATATTAACCTGTAAACGGTCCAAGCAGATCTACGTTCACATGTGTAGTGCTACAAAAGTAGATCTATGTTTTTTTTTACATATTTTCAAATATAACAAAAAAAACCAGTAGATCAAAGTTTTTTACGCATTTTCATAAGTAAAAAAACAAAAAGATCTACTTTTTTACATACTTTCAAATGTTGAAAAAACGTATATATACGTTTGGACAGTTTACGGGTTAATAATAATAATTTTTATTTTAGCATGATACATGTTTATACTAAGGAGTGTAACAGTTGGGTGTACACGCCAAAAGCCCCTTTGTATGCAGAGCATTTTGGGAAAACTTAAGACTAACTTTGAAGATTAATAAGGCAATAACAGTGCAATAATTATACATATGGTCATTAGGTGAGTTACAGTTAATACAAGAAAATTGAATATTCTGTTAGTTCATGCTATATGGCTTTAATAAGTTTGGTAGAGAAGAATTACAGTTTTGATTATTAACCTAAGGTGGACATAATGAAATGATTAAATAACAAAAAGGCACAATACCGTGACTGGAACGATACACAAATAACCCGCACATAAAAGAGAGAAGCTTACGACGACGTTTCGGTCCGACTTGGACCATTGACAAAGTCACACTGTGACTTTGTCAATGGTCCAAGTCGGACCGAAACGTCGTCGTAAGCTTCTCTCTTTTATGTGCGGGTTATTTGTGAACTGATTAAAATTTGAGAGGATTACATATATTGAGAGTAAGTACATGTATTTATTGATTATAATGTTTTACCTATGTTCATGATATTGAGCAAATGCATGTATGGTTTTTATATATTTATTTATGGTGCGCTATGTTAGGTTAAGGAGATAAGGTTTTTTTTAACTGTAGTTTTAAAAATGCAAGCTGAGCCAGTGGTTCTGGAGATTTCTGGCAGAGAGTTCCAGATTTTGGGTCCTTTTGTGTACAGTGAGTTTTTGAAAAGATTTAACCTGATACGGGGAATTTCATAGAGATTTTTGTGTCTAATATTGTGTCCACGGGTGAAAGCGTTTCTTTTTCAGGTCACCCTGCTTTGGTGGGAGATGGCTAGCATGTTTAAAAACTAACAATAATAATAATAATATTAATGTAACCTAGGTAGTAGGTTGGTAGACAGCAACCGCCCAGGGAGGTACTACCGTCTGCCAAGTGAGTGTAAAACGAAAGCCTGTAATTGTTTTACATGATGGTAGGATTGCTGGTGTCCTTTTTTCTGTCTCATGAACATGCAAGATTTCAGGTACGTCTTGCTACTTCTACTTACACTTAGGTCACACTACACATACATGTACAAGCACATATATACACACACCCTCTGGGTTTTCTTCTATTTTCTTTCTAGTTCTTATTCTTGTTTATTTCCTCTTATCTCCATGGGGAAGTGGAACAGAATTCTTCCTCCGTAAGCCATGCGTGTTGTAAGAGGCAACTAAAATGCCGGGAGCAAGGGGCTAGTAACCTCTTCTCCTGTATATATTACTAAATGTAAAAGGAGAAACTTTCGTTTTTCCTTTTGGGCCACCCCGCCTCGGTGGGACACGGCCGGTGTGTTGAAAGAAAGAAAAGATTAATGTAACCTAGGTAGTAGGTTGGTAGACAGCAACCGCCCAGGGAGGCACTACCGTACTGCCAAATGAGTGTAAAACGAAAGCCTGTATTGTTTTACATGATGGTAGGATTGCTGGTGTCTTTTGTCTGTCTCATAAACATGCAAGATTTCAGGTATGCCTTGCTACTTCTACTTACACTTAGGTCACACTACACATACATGTACAAGCATATATATACACACACCCCTCTGGGTTTTCTTCTATTTTCTTTCTAGTTCTTGTTCTTGTTTATTTCCTCTTATCTCCATGGGGAAGTGGAACAGAATTCTTCCTCCGTAAGCCATGCGTGTTGTAAGAGGCAACTAAAATGCCGGGAGCAAGGGGCTAGTAACCCCTTCTCCTGTATAAATTACTAAATTTAAAAAGAGAAACTTTTGTTTTTCTTTTTGGGCCAACCTGCCTCGGTGGGATACGGCCGGTTTGTTGAAAGAAGAAGAAGAAGAATATTAATGTAAATATATGTCCACAGGTGACAGAAAAAATAATTGAAACTGTACAGAAATTGTGCATCACCTCTACCCCTGAGAAGAGTATAAGGAAAACGCGACCTGTATTGTCTCTCTCAGTTTGTGTCACTGGTGTCTTCGAGCATCACCCTGCAGTGTGCATTCTTCACCCACCTATTGCATACACTTAGGATTGGTCAACATGATGAGCTTCCTGATGAGCAAGTGAGTGACATTGGCAATTCTCTGATGATATTAATAAATAATTAAGACGTACAGTACCGCATTTTTTTAAATCTGCATACTTTTTCTCTTTTTTTATTTCACTGGGCTGGTTATTGTAATTTGGTGTAGTAGTATTTGTGTTGTGGGTTTCTTTGTACATAGTTTCAAGAATAGGTATGATAGGGCCCACTTGCCTAGGAGCTAGGCCTCGACCCTAGTAACCACATATAGATGACTAGATTTAGGCAAGCACAATGAAGGTGTTGTGAAAATATCACAGCTACTACTGTGGGCACTTTTATTCCACCAGGCAGTGGATTACAATCCTGTATTCATAAACACTTCACAAAAGGCAACTAAAATGCTAGTAACATCATTTTATGTATCAGTTACTAAAATAGAAAAAAAAAAAAAATAGCAAAGCAGCTGTTGAATGAGTGTCCTCGGACAAGGACCACCTAAATCCTCCCTTCTAGGGAGTACAGGTATTAAGGACAGTATGTATCAGATCCTAGGTAGTAGGTTGGTAGACAGCAACCGCCCAGGGAGGTACTACCGTCCTGCCAAGTGAGTGTAAAACGAAAGCCTGTAATTGTTTTACATGATGGTAGGATTGCTGGTGTCCTTTTTTCTGTCTCATGAACATGCAAAATTTCAGGTACGTCTTGCTACTTCTACTTACACTCAGGTCACACTACACATACATGTACAAGCGTATATATACATACCCCTCTGGGTTTTCTTCTATTTTCTTTCTAGTTCTTGTTCTTGTTTATTTCCTCTTATCTCCATGGGGAAGTGGAACAGAATTCTTCCTCCGTAGGCCATGCGTATTGTAAGAGGCGACTAAAATGCCTGGAGCAAGGGGCTAGTAACCCCTTCTCCTGTATATATTACTAAATTTGAAAGGAGAAACTTTGGTTTTTTTCTTTTGGGCCACCCCGCCTCGGTGGGATATGGCCGGTGTGTTGAAAGAAAGAAAGATGTATCAGATAAGTCAAATACAGTGGACCCCCGGTTAACGACATTTTTTCATTCCAGAAGTATGTTCAGGTGCCAGTACTGACCGAATTTGTTCCCATAAGGAATATTGTGATGTAGATTAGTCCATTTCAGACCCCCAAACATACACGTACAAACGCACTTACATAAATACACTTACATAATTGGTCGCATTGGGAGGTGATCGTTAAGCGGGGGTCCACTGTATATCTAAAGCAACATCTTTATCTTGATTCCACTTAGCACTGGAATCAATATATTATAATCATCCACTTATTGTAACCTCTGTATTTCTACCCTAAATATACATTAATTTTTTTTTAAAACATAGGCTGTTTCCCACAAGGGAAGGTGACCTGAAAATGAAGAAACGCTTTCATCACCACTCACTCCATCACTGTCTTGTCAGAGTTATGCCAGTGTACCAATACTACAATAATTGTCAATATATCTATGAACAGTATTAATATCTCTTTATTTCAGCATTGCTGCTTTAATATACAGAGTTTTGTTACTTAAAATAATAATTATATTTAATAATTTTATCTTCAGACAATTTTATTACAATATACTGAACTTAGCATTCAAATAATCCAACTTCGTCTAGTTTATAATTATATAATATCTGGTGGTCTTTAGTTTTGGTTTTGATTTGCTCAAAATGTTCTTCATAACTAAGGGCATTTCAAAAATGTGTTAAATGTCTCCTAATTGTGTAACAATTAGGCACCTTTTGTAAAATATGATTTGTTTGTCAGGAAAGAGCTTCATTCATGTCCCTTGTACTTGTCCTCTGTCCATGCCCAAAGATAAATTCCTTATTATTTGGGATATCTGATCTTGGAAAATAATACCCATGGTAAAAATGAAACTCCTCTCATAGAAAACAGAACTTTTCTGTAACCTGCAAATAGTCCCTACCTCTTTTCACTGCTTTGATAAATTATTTATTTATTTATTATCATACCGGCCGATTCCCACCAAGGCAGGGTGGCCCGAAAAAGAAAAACTTTCACCATCATTCACTCCATCACTGTCTTGCCAGAAGGGTGCTTTACACTACAGTTTCTAAACTGCAACATTAACACCCCTCCTTCAGAGTGCAGGCACTGTACTTCCCATCTCCAGGACTCAAGTCCGGCCTGCCGGTTTCCCTGAATCCCTTCATAAATGTTACTTTGCTCACACTCCAACAGCACGTCAAGTATTAAAAACCATTTGTCTCCATTCACTCCTATAAAAACACGCTCACGCATGCCTGCTGGAAGTCCAAGCCCCTCGCAAAACAAAACCTCCTTTACCCCCTCCCTCCAACCCTTCCTGGGCCCGACCCTACCGCCTTCCTTCCACTACAGACTGATACACTCTTGAAGTCATTCTGTTTCGCTCCATTCTCTCTACAGGGTCCGAACCACTCAAAAAACCCTTCCTCAGCCCTCTGGACAAAGTTTTGGTAATCCCCACCTCCTCCTAACTTCCAAACTACGAATTCTCTGCATTATATTCACACCACACATTTCCCTCAGACATGACATCTCCCCTGCCTCCAGCCTTCTCCTCGCTGCAACATTCATCACCCACGCTTCACACCATATAAGAGCGTTGGTAAAAACTATACTCTCATACATTCCCCTCTTTGCCTCCAAGGACAAAGTTCTTTGTCTCCACGACTCCTAAGTGCACCATCACTCTTTTTCCCTCATCAAATTTTATGGGTTCACCTCATCTTTCATAGGGCCCATCCGCTGACACGTCCACCCCAAATATCTGAATACGTTCACCTCCTCCTACCCCTCTCCCTCCAATCTGATATTCAATCTTTCATCACCTAATCTTTTTGTTATCCTCATAACCTTACTCTTTCCCGTATTCACCTTTAATTTTCTTCTTTTGCACCCCTACCAAATTCATCCACCAATCTCTGCAACTTCTCTTCAGAATCTCCCAGAGACAGTGTCATCAGCAAAGAGCAGCTGTGACAACTCCCACTTTGTGTGTGATTCTTTATCTTTTAACTCCACGCTCTTGCCAAGACCCTCGGGATTTACTTCTCTTACAACCCCATCTATAAATATATTAAAAAAACCACGGTGACATCACCACATCCTTTTCTAAGGCCTACTTTTACTGGGAAAAAATTTCCCTCTTTCCTACATACTCTAACTTGAGCCCCACTATCCTCGTAAAAAACTCTTCACTGCTTTCAGTAACCTACCCCCTACACCATACACTTGCAACATCTGCCACATTGCCCCCTATCCACCCTGTCATACGCCTTTTCCAAATCCATAAATGCCACAAAGACCTCTTTAGCCTTATCTAAAAAACTGTTCACTTATATGTTTCACTGTAAACACCTGGTCCCCCACACCCCCTACCTTCCTAAAGCCTCCTTGTTCATCTGCTATCCTTTCTCCGTCTACTCTTAATTCTTTCAATTATAACTCTACCATTTCACTTTACAGGTTACACTCAACAGGGCTTATCCCCCTATAATTTTTGCACTCTCTTTTATCCCCTTTGCCTTTATACAAAGGAACTATGCATGCTCTCTGCCAATCCCTAGGTACCTTACCCTCTTCCATACATTTATTAAACAATTGCACCAACCACTTTCCCAAAAAATATATCCCACCCGCTTTTAACATTTCTATCTTTATCCCCTCAATCCCGGGTGCCTTACCCCCTTTCATTTTACCTACTGCCTCACGAACTTCCCCCACACTCACAACTGGCTCTTCTCACTCCTACAAGTGTTTATCCTCCCTTTCCCTATACACGAAATCACAGCTTCCCTATCTTTATCAACATTTAACAATTCCTCAAAAAATTCCTTCCATCTTCCCAATACCTCTAACTCTCCATTTAATAACTCTCCTCTCCTATTTTTAACTGACAAATCCATTTGTTCTCTAGGCTTTCTTAACTTGTTAATCTCACTCCAAAACTTTTTCTTATTTTCAACAAAATTTGTTGATAACATCTCACCCACTCTCTCATTTGCTCTCTTTTTACATTGCTTCACCACTCTCTTAACCTCTCTCTTTTTCTCCATATACTCTTCCCTCCTTGCATCACTTCTACTTTGTAAAAACTTAGTAACTAATCTATTTTATCCATGGGGATAAAATAATCTATTTTATCCATGGGGAAGTAGAAAAAGAATCCCTCCTCCATAAGCCATGCATGTCATAAGAGGTGACTAAGATGCCAGTAGCAAGGGGCTAGTAACCCCTTCTCCTCCTCTATAAATTACTAAATGTAATAAGAAGAAATTTTTTTTATAAAACTGTTTGTTTCTTTTTTGGGTCAACCTGCTTTGGCTGGTGTGTTGAAAAGCAAACTTAGCTGTTCATTAGTAAATTTTTTTCATTTATTTTATTATTTTTTAACGCATAAATCATCTTCCTACCATGAGCAGCACTGTCACCTTCGTTTTTCCTAAAATGTGTCTGACAGGGAATTATTTCTCAAAAATAATTTTTGTTCTAATTGTGTGTATCAACCTAGTGCTAATAATAATTTCCACTTTATAAGATTAGTATAGCAAAGATAACACAGCTGTGTATTACATATTTTGATATCTTGAATTAGTTAAGTAAGGCAAGTAGTGGTAGTGACACAGGAGACAGAAATTGGAGTGAATTGAGGCGGGAGGCGGTGATGGCGGCTCCAGCAGCAGAGAGGATGGAGGAGGAGCAGGTGGCATGTCGTGGTCATTGTTGAAGGACAAGAAAAGGAGCACTGCAGAAGAACTAAGGGGCCCACAATACTCCACTTCTACCACTTCTTCATTGCTACTACTATTATTGCCTTGCTTGAATTAGGTCATGTCATCAGCTGTGCATATATTAAGTTTTGTGAATTAAGATAAATAAACTACTAAGAAATTAAGAAATTTTAGTCTCGCATATTTTGCAAAAATTCATTTTAAATTAAAATAGCTTCTTATTATATTTCATTAATGAATATTTTTTAGTACTTAACTAACGTCATTTTCCAATATTTCAGAGTGAGTGTCATGGAATAATTATGTCTGAGCTGTGGAAGATTGAAGGTCTTTTTCTTCCTGTCATCGATGCTTCTGTACCAGAACAGAAGCCTCAGTCTTTCATCACATTCTACTTGCACAAGTTACAGTTTAACTCCTATCAGGCTTGTATCTTTGCCTGTAGGTTAGTTTCACTGTTTTTGTTTTTCAACACACTGGCTGTCTCCCACATATCTTACAGCAGAAAGATTCTCTTCCACTTCTCCATGGAGAACTAAAAGTAATATGTTTTTGAAACTGGCAAGACAGTGATGGAGTGAATGATGGTGAAAGTTTTTCTTTTTTGGGCCACCCTGCCTTGGTGGGAATCGGCCAGTGTGTTAATAAAAAAAAAAATAAAAATATAAGGAGCACTGTGGGCTAAATTTGTAGCCCTGTATTTGCAGTTATGCATATATACCAATGGTATCCAAATGTGTGTATAAAGTCAGTACAATCCTGGATTTACAAATGTGCTTCAAAAGTTGGTACAATCCTGGACTTGCAAATGCAAAGACTTGGGCTCTGTCTCCAGTTCTTACACATCATATCTTCATAATATAGTGACAGTCATATTTCATTAAGAATGTAAATAGTGCACACAATGCAGGTTATGGCATTTTATTATTAAGACATTTCATCCTCCGCAGATGACTGCATAGTCTCCGGTTGATAAACTGTCTTCGCAATAAATTACCATAACCTGTATTGCGCATCATATTTCCATACTATCTGTATTCTCTACCATTGTATTATCATATTCCAATATAATTTTGGTTGTTGTATATCTTCACTGTGCTTAATTTGACTAAAATACTCTGTATATCACTAGTGAATCACTACATATATATAAAATTTTATCTGTACTGCTACCACTACTTTACAGTTCTCTCAGCCTTTAGCAAGTGTAGAGGCATAACAGTGAAATGACTTGATATACTGTAATGATATGAGTGTAAATAAGTCACCACACAGAGGTCTGGAATCCATGGCATGCTAGTACAAATACAAATCAAATTTTTATGTCTTAGCATTGGTTACAATGTGTGATTTTCATTTTATAAAGTGTTGTTAAGTTGTCACAGACTACTGATTGTTAAAACTCATTCAGTTATCTGTTTATAATAGAAATAAATAATTATTATGGAATCTAATACTAATAATAATGTATCTAATTTTAAAAAGATAGGTAAAATATGATTATGGATTCTTCAACATAGGTTATAGAGTGGTTAATTCAACATAGTTTATAGACAGGTTATAGAGTGGTTAATTCAACATAGTTTATAGACAGGTTATAGAGTGGTAAATTCAACATAGTTTATAGTCAGGTTATAGAGTGGTAAATTTTAATTATTCATTATTTTACCTTATTACTAAAATGAGGTAGGAATGTTGTGCCATTGGTTTGAACCCTTTGTGTGGTGAATAGGGAAACAGTTTATATACAGACAAAATAGTCTGTATTAACTTTTGACAGATCACTCACAACATAAGAACAGAACTGGCTCTAGAAGCTTATTGAAAAATGTGCTAACTGGATTTACTAGATCCTTAAGCTATTCTTCAGCATACAGGTGCTTCTCAACTTATGATGGTTTGACTTATGATATTTTGACTTTGCGATGGTGCAGTAGCAATTACTTTGGAGATGAAATTAAGATAGTTACCTAGCATGAAGGCAGCAAGTCCGTAACTTGTATTCATTTAGTTACTTTTTATTACTGGTACGTATTTAGTTTTTTGCATTAATTATTTGTTGATTTACTTATTCAGTGACAGTAGTTATTTAATAACTTATTTATTATATCATATTCAACTTACAATATTTTCGACTAACGATGGATTTATCTGAATGTAATCCCATCGTAAGTCAAGGAGCACCTTTACTTGTCTTATCAACTTCAGTATTAATGTCAGTAAAAAGCCAACCTTAAGCTTGATTGTATAAATATTAGTACAATTTTTTTTTTTTAGCACAATAACTGTCTCCCACCAAGGCAGGATGACCAGAAGAAGAAAGCAAAGTTTTTCTTTGTTTTACAATTAGTAACTTACACATGAGAAAGGGTTAATACTAGTACTGTCTGTATTAAAAAATGTCAGTATTTTAAATCCTTAAGTGACATAGTAATCGATGTACATTTCTACACTTGTTCTTGCAGTATTCTGAATACTTGGCTGCAGTGGTCCATAGTGACTGAAGATCAAGCATATAATATAGAACCTCCGTTGCCCTCTCTTCCAGCCGAACTTCTCAATTTGTATTGTTGCATTGCCCCAAGGCTGGCACTTATAAGCAGCCACCAAGGTGATACACATTGAAACCTTTCGTGCTTTTTTTTTTTTTTCCATGTTGAAGGTTCTTTATAAGCCCATGGAGGCTTTACCACAAAGAGATGACTGAGAATTTTCTCCTTGTTGTTGTTGTACTCCAGCAGTTAGCACCATAGTTAAGTGTTATAGCACCCTATATATATATATATTTTTATTAACATATCGGCCATACCTGTAACTGTTTTGCATGATGGTAGGATTGCTGGTTTCTTTTTCTGTCTCATAAACACGCTAAGATAACAGGGATATCTTGCTACTCCTACTTACACTTTGGTCACACTTCACAGACACGCACATGCATATATATATATACATACATCTAGGTTTTTCTCCTTTTTCTAAATAGCTCTTGTTCTTTTTTATTTCTTCTATTGTCCATGGGGAAGTGGAAAAGAATCTTTCCTCCGTAAGCCATGCGTGTCGTATGAGGCGACTAAAATGCCGGGAGCAATGGGCTAGTAACCCCTTCTCCTGTATACAATTACTAAAAAAGAGAAGAAGAAAAACTTTATAAAACTGGGTTGCTTAAATGTGCGTGGATGTAGTGCGGATGACAAGAAACAGATGATTGCTGATGTTATGAATGAAAAGAAGTTGGATGTCCTGGCCCTAAGCGAAACAAAGCTGAAGGGGTAGGAGAGTTTCAGTGGGGGGAAATAAATGGGATTAAATCTGGAGTATCTGAGAGAGTTAGAGCAAAGGAAGGGGTAGCAGTAATGTTAAATGATCAGTTATGGAAGGAGAAAAGAGAATATGAATGTGTAAATTCAAGAATTATGTGGATTAAAGTAAAGGTTGGATGCGAGAAGTGGGTCATAATAAGTGTGTATGCACCTGGAGAAGAGAGGAATGCAGAGGAGAGAGAGAGATTTTGGGAGATGTTAAGTGAATGTATAGGAGCCTTTGAACCAAGTGAGAGAGTAATTGTGGTAGGGGACTTGAATGCTAAAGTAGGAGAAACTTTTAGAGAGGGTGTGGTAGGTAAGTTTGGGGTGCCAGGTGTAAATGATAATGGGAGCCCTTTGATTGAACTTTGTATAGAAAGGGGTTTAGTTATAGGTAATACATATTTTAAGAAAAAGAGGATAAATAAGTATACACGATATGATGTAGGGCGAAATGACAGTAGTTTGTTGGGTTATGTATTGGTAGATAAAAGACTGTTGAGTAGACTTCAGGATGTACATGTTTATAGAGGGGCCACAGATATATCAGATCACTTTCTAGTTGTAGCTACACTGAGAGTAAAAGGTAGATGGGATACAAGGAGAATAGAAGCATCAGGGAAGAGAGAGGTGAAGGTTTATAAACTAAAAGAGGAGGCAGTTAGGGTAAGATATAAACAGCTATTGGAGGATAGATGGGCTAATGAGAGCATAGGCAATGGGGTCGAAGAGGTATGGGGTAGGTTTAAAAATGTAGTGTTAGAGTGTTCAGCAGAAGTTTGTGGTTACAGGAAAGTGGGTGCAGGAGGGAAGAGGAGCGATTGGTGGAATGATGATGTAAAGAGAGTAGTAAGGGAGAAAAAGTTAGCATATGAGAAGTTTTTACAAAGTAGAAGTGATGCAAGGAGGGAAGAGTATATGGAGAAAAAGAGAGAAGTTAAGAGAGTGGTGAAGCAATGTAAAAAGAGAGCAAATGAGAGAGTGGGTGAGATGTTATCAACAAATTTTGTTGAAAATAAGAAAAAGTTTTGGAGTGAGATTAACAAGTTAAGAAAGCCTAGAGAACAAATGGATTTGTCAGTTAAAAATAGGAGAGGAGAGTTATTAAATGGAGAGTTAGAGGTATTGGGAAGATGGAAGGAATATTTTGAGGAATTGTTAAATGTTGATGAAGATAGGGAAGCTGTGATTTCGTGTATAGGGCAAGGAGGAATAACATCTTGTAGGAGTGAGGAAGAGCCAGTTGTGAGTGTGGGGGAAGTTCGTGAGGCAGTAGGTAAAATGAAAGGGGGTAAGGCAGCCGGGATTGATGGGATAAAGATAGAAATGTTAAAAGCAGGTGGGGATATAGTTTTGGAGTGGTTGGTGCAATTATTTAATAAATGTATGGAAGAGGGTAAGGTACCTAGGGATTGGCAGAGAGCATGCATAGTTCCTTTGTATAAAGGCAAAGGGGATAAAAGAGAGTGCAAAAATTATAGGGGGATAAGTCTGTTGAGTGTACCTGGTAAAGTGTATGGTAGAGTTATAATTGAAAGAATTAAGAGTAAGACGGAGAATAGGATAGCAGATGAACAAGGAGGCTTTAGGAAAGGTAGGGGGTGTGTGGACCAGGTGTTTACAGTGAAACATATAAGTGAACAGTATTTAGATAAGGCTAAAGAGGTCTTTGTGGCATTTATGGATTTGGAAAAGGCGTATGACAGGGTGGATAGGGGGGCAATGTGGCAGATGTTGCAAGTGTATGGTGTAGGAGGTAGGTTACTGAAAGCAGTGAAGAGTTTTTACGAGGATAGTGAGGCTCAAGTTAGAGTATGTAGGAAAGAGGGAAATTTTTTCCCAGTAAAAGTAGGCCTTAGACAAGGATGTGTGATGTCACCGTGGTTGTTTAATATATTTATAGATGGGGTTGTAAGAGAAGTAAATGCGAGGGTCTTGGCAAGAGGCGTGGAGTTAAAGATAAAGAATCACACACAAAGTGGGAGTTGTCACAGCTGCTCTTTGCTGATGACACTGTGCTCTTGGGAGATTCTGAAGAGAAGTTGCAGAGATTGGTGGATGAATTTGGTAGGGTGTGCAAAAGAAGAAAATTAAAGGTGAATACAGGAAAGAGTAAGGTTATGAGGATAACAAAAAGATTAGGTGATGAAAGATTGAATATCAGATTGGAGGGAGAGAGTATGGAGGAGGTGAACGTATTCAGATATTTGGGAGTGGACGTGTCAGCGGATGGGTCTATGAAAGATGAGGTGAATCATAGAATTGATGAGGGAAAAAGAGTGAGTGGTGCACTTAGGAGTCTGTGGAGACAAAGAACTTTGTCCTTGGAGGCAAAGAGGGGAATGTATGAGAGTATAGTTTTACCAACGCTCTTATATGGGTGTGAAGCGTGGGTGATGAATGTTGCAGCGAGGAGAAGGCTGGAGGCAGTGGAGATGTCATGTCTGAGGGCAATGTGTGGTGTGAATATAATGCAGAGAATTCGTAGTTTGGAAGTTAGGAGGAGGTGCGGGATTACCAAAACTGTTGTCCAGAGGGCTGAGGAAGGGTTGTTGAGGTGGTTCGACATGTAGAGAGAATGGAGCGAAACAGAATGACTTCAAGAGTGTATCAGTCTGTAGTGGAAGGAAGGCGGGGTAGGGGTCGGCCTAGGAAGGGTTGGAGGGAGGGGGTAAAGGAGGTTTTGTGTGCGAGGGGCTTGGACTTCCAGCAGGCATGCGTGAGCGTGTTTGATAGGAGTGAATGGAGACAAATGGTTTTTAATACTTGACGTGCTGTTGGAGTGTGAGCAAAGTAACATTTATGAAGGGATTCAGGGAAACCGGCAGGCCGGAGTTGAGTCCTGGAGATGGGAAGTACAGTGCCTGCACTCTGAAGGAGGGGTGTTAATGTTGCAGTTTAAAAACTGTAGTGTAAAGCACCCTTCTGGCAAGACAGTGATGGAGTGAATGATGGTGAAAGTTTTTCTTTTTCGGGCCACCCTGCCTTGGTGGGAATCGGCCGGTGTGATAATAAAAAAAAAAAAAAATAAATAATCGGCCATTTCCCACCAAGGCAGGGGTGGCCTGAAAAAGAAAAACTTTCATCGTAATTCACTTCATTACTACCTTGCCAGAGGCATGCTTACACTACAATTATAAAACTGCAGCATTAACACCCCTCCTTCAGAGTGCAAGCACTGTACTTCCCATCTCCAGGAATCAAGTCCAGCCTGCCAGTTTTCCTGAATCCCTTCATAAATGTTACCTTGCTTAAACTCCAACAGCATGTCAAGTTCTAAAAACCATTTGTGTCCATTCTCTCCTATCTAATACACTCACGCATAGTTGCTGGAAGTTCAAGCTCCTCCCTAGAACAAAGCTTTCCTAGGCCAACCCCTACCCTGCCTTCCCTCCACTACAGATTTATACACTCTCAAAGTCATTCTATTTTGTTCCAACCTCTCTGCATGTCCGAACCACCTCAACAACCCCTCCTCGGCCCTCTGGATAATAGTTTTGGTAATCCCGTACCTCCTCCTAATTTCCAAACTATGAATTCTCTGCATTATATTCACACCACACATTGCCCTCAGACATGACATCTTCACTGCTTCCAGTCTTCTTCTTGTTGCAACATTCACCACCCATGTTTCACACCATATAAGAGTGTTGGTATAACTATACTCTCATACATTACCCTCTTTGCTTCCACAGACAAAGTTCTTTGTCTCCAAAGACTCCTAAGTGCACCACTCACCTTTTACCCCTCTTCAGTTCTGTGATTCACCTCATCTTTTATAGACCCATCTGCTGACACGTCCACTCCTAAATATCTGAATACATTAAAAAAAAAAAAAAAAAACATTCACCTCCTCCATGCTCTCTCCCTCCAACCTGATATCCAATCTTTTGTCACCTAATTTTTTTTTGTTATCCCCATCACCTTACACTCTCTTATATTCTTCATTTACATACCCTACCAAACTCATCCATCAGTCTCTGCAGCAACTGTTATAACTCCCACTTTGTGTTAGTCTTTTTCTTTTAACCCCAAGCCTCTTGCCAACACCTGAGCATTCACTTCTTTTACAACCCCATCTATAAATATATTGAACAACCATGGTGACATCACAAATCCATGTCTAAGGCCTACATTTACTGAGAAATAATCTCCCTCTCTCCTATATACTCTAACCTGAACCTCACTATCCTCATAAAAACTCTTCACTGCTTTCAGTAACCTACCTCCTATTCCATACATTTGCAACATCTGCCACATTGCCCCCTTATCCACCCTGTCATATTCCTTTTCCAAATCCATAAATGCCACAAAAACCTCTTTACCTTTATCTGAATACTGTGTGTTTCACTGTAAACACTTGGTCTACACACTCCCTACCTTTCCTAAAGCCTCCTTGTTCATCTGCTATCCTACTCTCCATCTTACTCTTAACTCTTTCAATAATAACTCTACCATATGCTTTACCAGGTATACTCAACAGACTTTACTTTTTTTTTTTTTTTAACAAGTCGGCCATCTCCCACCGAGGCAGGGCGACCCAAAAAGAAAGAAAATCCCCAAAAAGAAAATACTTTCATCATCATTCAACACTTTCACCTCACTCACACATAATCACTGTTTTTGCAGAGGTGCTCAGAATACAACAGTTTAGAAGTATGTATGTATAAAGATACACAACATATCCCTCCAAACTGCCAGTATCCTAAACCCCTCCTTTAAAGTGCAGGCATTGTACTTCCCATTTCCAGGACTCAAGTCTGGCTACATAAAATAACTGCTTTCCCTGAATCCCTTCACTAAATATTACCCTGCTCACACTCCAACAGCTCGTCAGGTCTCAAATACCATTCGTCTCCATTTGCTCCTATCTAACAGGCTCACGCACGCTTGGTGGAGGTCCAAGCCCTTTGCCCACAAAACCTCCTTTACCCCCTCCCTCCAACCTTTTCGAGGACAACCCCTACCCCGCCTTATTCCCCTATAATTTTTGCACTCTCTTTTGTTCCCTTTGCCTTTATACAAAGGAACTATGCATATCCTCTGCCAATCCCTAGGTACATTATCCTCTTCCATACATTTATTAAATAAAAGTGCCAACCACTCCAAAACTATATCCCCTACCTTCTTTTAACATTTCTGTCTTTATCCCATCAATCCCAGCTGCCTTACCCACTTTCATTCTACCCACTGCCTCCCGAACTTTCCCTACACTCACAACTGGCTCTTCCTCACTCCTACAAGACGTTATTCCTTCTTGCCCTGTACATGACTTCACAGCTTCCCTATCTTCATCAACATTTAACAATTCCTCAAAATATTCCCTCCATCTTCCTGGTACCCCTAACTCTCCATTTAGTAACTCTTCTCTCCTATTTTAAGCTATCAAATCCATTCATTCCCTTGGCTTCCTCAACTTATTAATCTCACTTCAAAACTTTTTCTTATTTTCAACAATATTTGTTGATAACATCTCACTCACTCTCTCATTTGCTCTCTTCTTGCATTGCTTAACCACTCTCTTAACTTCTCTTTTTCTCTTCATATATTCCTCCTTTCTTGCATCACTACTACTATGTAAAAACCTCTCACATGCTAACTTTTTCTCATTTTCTACTTTCTTTACATCATCATTCCACCAATCGTTCTTCTTCCCTCCCGCACCCACTTTCCTGTAACCACAAACTTTTGCTGAAAACTCTAGCACTACATTCTTAAACCTACCCCATACATCTTTGACCCCATTGCCTATACTCTCACTAGCCCATTTAGCCTTCAATAGTTGTTTATATCTTAACCTAACTGCCTCCTCCTCCAGTTTATAACCCTTACCTCTCTCTCTTACTTGCTGCTTCTATTTTCCTTGTATCCTATCTACCTTTTACTCTCACTGTAGCTACAACTAAAAAGTAATCTGATATATCTGTGGCCTCTCTATAAACATGTACATCCTGAAGTCTACTCAAAAGTCTTTTATCTTCCAATACATAATCCAGCAAAGTACTGCCATTATGCCCTATGTCACATTATGTATACTTATTTATCCTCTCTTTCTTCACATATGTATTACCTGTAACGAAACCCCTTTCTATACAGAATTCAATGAAAGGGCCCCCATTATCATTTACACCTGTTATTGTTTATTAATGTAGTTTTATGCTCTTTACTTATGTGAATTTCACCGTGTGGAATAAATGTTTGTATTTTTATTTGCTAAACATGTAAATTATTTGGCTAGCCAGACTCGAGTCCTGGAGGTGGGAAGTACAGTGCCTGCACTCTGAAGGAGGGATGGGGATATTTGCAGTTTTGAACTGTAGTGTTGGCACTTCTCTGGCAAGAAAGTCATGGAGTGAATGATGGCTAAAGTGTTTCTTCTTTTTGGGTCACCCTACATCAGTGGGAGATGGCCAGTTTGTTAAAAAAAAAAAACAATTATTTTGACAAAGTTCTCAAGTTTTAAAACACTCGCATACATGAGAAAAATTTGGGGAATACTTGACACGAGCCACTACTCCAAGTCAATCTTCAGGGGCAACAAGTTATCAGACATAGACTAAATCAATATAAAATGTAATAAGATAAAAATTGATCATATCTCAGGGTTGTTTACTTTATTATTTAATGTCGTAGGTAAAAGACTCGTTTGAACAGTTCTAGACATTTACCATGGAAAATATTTCCCTAATAATTGTCTTGATCAGTGCATGTGTGTCAATTACCTACCCTTATTTTTTTATACAAAATCCTTGTAATTATTACCAGATTATAATCACTGATTTTATTTAATAATTTTTATATCCTATTTAGACGAGAGAGAAAAAACAGTGGCCGATGTGTATTTGTGTCTTGAAGGCTGTGATGTACCTAGGTGTTCTGAACTTTACTTCCAGCAGACAGCTGCTTGCATACAACAACACAAGGTATGTCCAGAAGATTGCTGTTAGATATGGTTTTAAGTGGTATTGATTGTTAGATATTGGTGTTTCATCCTGAGTATATTTAAGATTGCTCTTCTTTGGGTAAACTCTTAGCAGACAGAGATGATCCACCACCAGTTCTTGTGCACAATGACAACCCTTGTGTTTACCATTTCATATAAGTTTGGAATAAATCACGACTGGTAGTGCACTCAGTTCACATGCTGAGGTCTGGGGGTCGATCTCCGGTTGGGGTGGAAACATTAGGACATGTTTCCTTAAGACACCTGCTGTCCCTGTTCACCTAGCAGTAAAAGAGGTACCTGAGTGTTATTGACTGGTCTGGGTTATGTCTTGGGGACAAAATTGATTTCATTTGCCTGAAATCCTCTGCATAACACCTGCTTTCTATGTAGTAGTATGTCATTAGTGTCAGCTGTAGTCTGCATAAGTTGCATCATGTACTTGTAGAAATAAAGATTATTTATTTATGATTGCAAATATATAAAAATAACAGTGAAAATAAGAACACCTGAGATCTTTCATGTTCTTACACACACATCTGGAGATGTATGTAAGCACACGAAAGCACTCAGGTGTTTTCCCTATTTTTACTGAGGCATTTTTATATTCAGATTGTCATCATTATGTTTATGGTGCTTTGACTGCCACATTAATTAACAATGAAAAATGCTCTCTGTACACTAGATCATCATCTTATTGATATATTGTATAGAAGATTTAGTTTTATATTATATTATTGAAAGACTGAATAATGTGGGTGAACAATATTGATGGCTATTAATAGTGATATTTAAACACTCGCTGAACAATGAACTGTACAGCCAGTGCAAGGGTAGAAAGATTAGGCATGTTTCCTTACACCGGTTGTCTGTGTTCACCCATCAGTAAATGGGTACCTGGGTGTTAGTCGACTGGTGTGGGTCACATCTTGGGACAAAATTGACCTAATTTGCCTGAAATGCTCTGCATAACAAAGGGCTTTCTATGTAGTAGTATGTCATTCATGTCAGCTAGGCCTTTATTCCTTGTACATGTACTTGTAGAATTTAATATATTATTATACTATTATCAAATCCGCACAGTTCAAATTATATATAGTTTTTGCACGTGATTTGAAGAGTTTTGGGGCAAAAAACTAGCATTAACCCTTAAACTGTCCAAACGTAGATCTATGGTTTCACGCATAGCACTCCAACCTTGATTTTTCTCCATAAGAAAGCATGTAAAGAAAAATGTAGATCTACGTTCGGAGTGCTATGCGAGCGAATGTAGATCTACGTTTGGACAGTTTAAGGGTAAATTAATTTTGCACTAAAGCAAAGCTCGCACTCTTTGAACTCACACTAATCGAGACCTGGATGTTTTGACACCGACTGTATTCCACCAAGGCAGGGTGACCTAAAAAGAAAAATGAAATATTTTTTTTTTTTTTTTAAAAAAGGGGCTAGTAACCCCTCCAGTATAAATTACTAAATTAAAAAAAAAAGAAACTTGTTTTTATACTGGAGAAGGGGTTGTTAGCCCCTTAATCCCAGTATTTTAGTCACCTCTTATGACACACATGGCTTATGGAGGAAGAATTCTTATCCACTTCCTCATGAAATATTTTCTGTATGTGTTCAGATAAATTCTAGGTAGTAGGTTGGAAGACAGCAACCGCCCAGGGAGATACTACCGTCCTGCCAAGTGAGTGTAAAACGGAAGCCTGTAATTGTTTTACACGATGGTAGGATTGCTGATGTCTTCTTTTTCTGTCTCATATACATGCAAGATTTCAGGCACGTCTTGCTACTTCTACTTACACTTAGGTCACACTACACATACATGTACAAGCATATATATACACACACTCCTCTGGGTTTTCTTCTATTTTCTTACTAGTTCTTGTTTATTTCTTCTTACCTCCATGGGAAAGTGGAACAGAATTCTTCTTCCGTAAGCCATGCGTGTTGTAAGAGGCGACTAAAATGCCGGGAGCAAGGGGCTAGTAACCCCTTCTCCTGTATATATTACTAAATGTAAAAGGAGAAACTTTCATTTTTCCTTTTGGGCCACCCCGCCTCGGTGGGATACGGCCGGTTTGTTGAAAGAAAGAAGTTTAGATAAATATTTGTAGGCAAGACAGCTATTAAATAAATAATGGTGAAGGTGTTTCTTTCTTTGGGTCACGTTACTGTGGTAGGCAGTAGCCACTGCAGTAGAATTTTTTGTTTTTCCTGCGAATAGATTTGGGTGGGATGTTGCACTTAGAGTATTTAAATTAATATATCCGTGCACATCTAAAAGACAGCTAGGGGTTGATTGACGGTGAGCACATTTTCTTCTTTGAGTCATCTTACCTATGTGAGAAGCGGCCTTTGTGTTGAAGAAAAATGTTTGCAAAAGGCATTGTTTTGTATCCTTTTTCCACGAAGTGTATAGACATCACAGTTTGAATAACCCTCTAAATTGCGATACTTCATCCATATTTGGTAAAATGTATTCTAATTATTGTATATTTTACCAGATTCCTCTTGAGAAATGGATTGCTTTTGAGCTGCAAGCCACTTGGGCAGAAACTTCTATAGATGTGCAACAGGCTTACCTCAAGTGCAGGGTGCTCAAGGATTTTGTGTCTGCAGACGAAGACGTTGGTGCAGACAACACAGTCGAGATGATCACCACAAGTGATGACATTTCTCTCTCTCTCACTCAGATAATAATAGAAATGGTCTTTACTTTTCTAAAAGTTGGTCTGAAGAAGGTAACTGTATTTTTCATTCAGTGTTTATGGAGGTAAAATGATACAAAAATTGTTTTGGGTAATATCACTAGCTTAGTATTACCTATAACATCTCTTCTAATATATTTACAGCTCCTTTTTAATATTGGAAAATGGGGCTGTTTTTTTAATGTTGGAAAATGAGGAGGTTCCTTTTTCAGTATTGAAAAATGGAGCCATTTCAGAAATATTTATACAGGAAATATAATATAATCACTTCTTAATTTCTCAGTTTAAAATTATATCAGTGCACCATGCAGAAACAAGTGAAGGTATATACAGTGAAAGACTGCAGTCAGCAGGATTCAAACCCACGTTTGGAAGGTGGCATAATTCTTTACAAGACACCTTTGACCACTAAGCCACATGCTGAGTGGTCAAATGCTGACATCAAAGTTCATATGACCCTCCAGGTTGTAACATCCTCACTCCTCCTTTAGAATTCAGGCACTAATAGTTTATTTAAAAACTGCTCTTATTTTCACAAATTACAATGAAAATCATAATTGTTGTTTGTAGAATATTAATTTACAAGATGCTAATTTACAAGGTACTAACTTACAAAATACTAATTTATGAGATACATATTTCTAAAAGTCTCTAGCTGATATTTATGTTTAATTCTAGGAAAACTCCAGCGAAATATTGCTGCTCATACAATCACTTGCGCAGCATAATCTCAACCCCAGTATCTGTCTTCTTGAGGAATGGTATAAACGTCACACAGAAAGAACCATCAGTGATATTTCGGTTTTGTCTTTCATGAGGTGAGTATAGCAAGAAAGGCATGCTCTTCTGCTTCACTCTGTTTCAATGATTTTTTTTTTTTACATGGTTGATTTAGCAAATAGAGGGTAAGAGAGGGTTTATGTGAGAGTAGGTAAGAGTGGGTGTGAGGGTGATTGTTGTCATTGTGTAGTGTTCTGTATTAGTCCAACTGTTTATCAAACATGTAAATAACACAGCTAGCTGTGCTGATTGGGGGCCTCCCCCACCAGGCCAACAACCAACCCATCCCACCTTAATAATACACCAACCTCCACCAGATCTGTCAACCAATGATGTACCAATGCAACATAAATATTAAATCTTAAGTTTTTGAACAATCTTTACTAAACAAATATGAGTTTTCCGTACATGCTTTATGCATGAACCTAAACAGAGTTTAAATGCATTTTGTAAAAACTGAGAAAAATATATTATTTACACCTAAGAATATAATAATTGGTTCCAAATTCCCATTGTCATAAGTGCTAAGCCTCATAAGTAGGAACTCTGCTGTACTGTGCATATGCCAGTACTAGTTACCTTGTGTGTCTCATGAGTGATAATTTATTCCTATACGAGTGTATATTTATAAATGGCCTGCCTTGGTGGGATACAGCCGGTTTGTTGAAAAAAAAGAATTATAAATGTTGTAACATATCATGTTTAATTTACTACATGTGAAAAGAAAAACTCATTTTCCATTTTAGGTCACACTGTCTTGGTGGGAGATGGACTGTGCGTTGAAAAAAATATATTTAATGTTTAATTTATAATTTTTTATTTGACACAGCATGTGTAGATAAAGTGAAACTTAGGTAATTATGAAAACGAGGACTTACTGTTCCCGCATACAGGTGTCCCTTGCTTTATGTGATAGGCACATTCCAGGCCCATGGTGCATGTGGTAGGGAAAGACAAAATAGATTTCATTGCAGCAACATTTTTCTCACTGTAGAGCAGAAATTGTCAGCCTTTTGTAGTTCAGGATCCACCATGTATGTCTCAGGATGAGAACTCACCATGTGTTTTATGACATATTTTGAGTGTATGTTAGTTTATGAACACTCATAGATGCCGAAACACTAGATTACAATCACTACGCATCAGATTAATTATGTCTTTACGTAAATAAGAATTAATTGGTAATTACTGGGTAACAATACTTGCATGTAGAGCAACCCCCTCCAATTAGAGCCACAGAGTGAAAATGAGTTAAGCTCATAGTGAGAAATTCTTCACATGACCTGTTCTCTGTGGAAAACATGATGTGTTCTGTGGAGAACATGACCTGTTCTCTGTGGAAAACATGATGTGTTCTGTGGAGAACATGACCTGTTCTCTGTGGAAAACATGATGTGTTCTGTGGAGAACATGACCTGTTCTCTGTGGAAAACATGATGTGTTCTGTGGAGAACATGCCCTGTTGTTCAAAGGATGAAACAGTGTGCCAATAAAAACTTGTTCTACAGCCTGTCTCTTCTCTGTTGGTAGCAGTTGGAATGCTTCACCTTGTTCCATGTAGCCTTCACTCGTGCTTTGCAAAATGCACTGAAATTGTACACAAGTTAATTTATGTTGCACATAGGGAATTACTGTTAACAATAGGGACATTACAGTTCAGCAAATTCACACAGCGAACATTACATACAGCAAACAAACACATACACGCACCCGCACCCACACACGCACACGCACGAACACACACACACACACCAGTAAGACTGGACTTAGTATTCACCTTGAGTAGTGCAGATATTGAGGACATCACATATGAAAGACCCCTTGGGGCCAGCGATCATGTGGTTTTAAGCTTCGAATACACAGTAGAGCTACAAGTGGAGGGAGAAGCAGGAAGGCCAGGACGAATGAAGCCAAACTACAAGAAAGGGGACTACACGGGAATGGGGTTCAGTGGGACAGAGAACTGGCAGGGAAGCCAGTTAATGAGATGATGGAATATGTAGCAACAATGTGCAAGGAGGCTGAGGAGAGGTTTGTACCCAAGGGTAACAGGAATAATGAAAAAGCCAGGATGAGCCCATGGTTCACCCAAAGGTGCAGGTAGGCAAAAACCAAGTGTGCTAGGGAATGGAAGAAATATAGAAGTCAAAGGACCCAGGAGAATAAGGAGAGCAGTCATAGAGCCAGAAATGAATATGCACAGATAAGAAGGGAGGCCCAATGACAATATGAAAACAACATAGCAGCGAAAGCCAAATCTGACCCAAAACTGTTATACAGCCACATCAGGAGGAAAACAACAGTCAAGGACCAGGTAATCAGGTTAAGGAAGGAAGGAGGAGAGACAACAAGAAATAACCTTGAAGTATGTGAGGAACTCAACAAGAGATTCAAAGAAGTGTTCACAGAGGAGACAGAAGGGGCTCCAGAAAGACGGAGAGGTGGGGCACACCACCAAGTGCTGGACACAGTACACACAACCGAGGAAGAAGTGAAGAGGCTTATGAGTGAGCTAGATACCTCAAAGGCAATGGGGCCGGATAACATCTCCCCATGAGTCCTGAGAGAGGGAGCAGAGGCACTATATGTACCCCTAACAACAATATTCAATACATCTATCGAAAAAGGGAGATTGCCTGAGGCATGGAAGACAGCATATGTAGTCCCAATCTTTAAAAAAGGAGACAGACATGAAGCACTAAACTACAGACCAGTGTCACTGACATGTATAGTATGCAAAGTCATGGAGAAGATTATCAGAAGAGTGGTGGAACACCTAGAAAGGAATGATCTCATCAACAGCAGCCAACATGCTTTCAGGGTCGGGAAATCCTGTGTCACAAACCTACTGGAGTTCTATGACATGGTAACAGCAGTAAGACAAGAGAGAGAGGGGTGGGTGGATTGCATTTTCTTGGACTGCAAGAAGGCGTTTGACACAGTTCCACACAAGAGATTAGTGCAAAAACTGGAGGACCAAGCAGGGATAACAGGGAAGACACTACAATGAATCAGGGAATACTTGTCAGGAAGACAGCAGCGAGTCATGGTACGTGGCGAGGTGTCAGAGTGGGCACCTGTGACCAGCGGGGTCAGTCCTAGGACCAGTGCTGTTTCTGGTATTTGTGAACGACATGAGGGAAGGAATAGACTCCGAAGTGTCCCTGTTTGCAGATGACGTGAAGTTGATGAGAAGAATTCATTCGATCGAAGACCAGGCAGAACTACAAAGGGATCTGGACAGGCTGCAGACCTGGTCCAGCAATGAAGATTGGGGAAGAGCAAAGAAGACTGCAGATGGAGTACAGTCTAGGGGGCCAGAGACTACAAACCTCACTCAAGGAAAAAGATCTTGGGGTGAGTATAACACCAGGCACGTCTCCTGAAGCGCACATCAACCAAATAACTGCTGCAGCATATGGGCGCCTAGCAAACCTCAGAACAGCATTCCGACATCTTAATAAGGAATCATTCAGGACCCTGTACACCGTGTACGTTAGGCCCATATTGGAGTATGCGGCACCAGTCTGGAACCCACACCTAGTCAAGCACGTAAAGAAACTAGAGAAAATGCAAAGGTTTGCAACAAGACTAGTCCCAGAGCTAAGAGGTATGTCCTACGAGGAGAGGTTATGGGAAATCAACCTGACAACACTGGAGGACAGGAGAGATAGGGGGGACATGATAACAACATACAAAATACTGAGAGGAATTGACAAGGTGGACAAAGACAGGATGTTCCAGAGATTGGACACAGTAACAAGGGGACACAGTTGGAAATTGAAGACACAGATGTATCACAGGGATGTTAGGAAGTATTTCTTCAGCCACAGAGTAGTCAGAAAGTGGAATAGTTTGGGAAGCGATGTAGTGGAGGCAGGATCCATACATAGCTTTAAGCAGAGGTATGATAAAGCTCACGGCTCAGGGAGAGTGACCTAGTAGCGACCAGTGAAGAGGCGGGGCCAGGAGCTTGGACTCGACCCCTGCAACATCAACTAGGTAAGTACAACTAGGTGAGTGTACACGCATGCACACACACACACACACACACACACACACACACACACACAGAGGTATGATAAAGCACACGGCTCAGGGAGAGTGACCTAGTAGCGATCAGTGAAGAGGCGGGGCCAGGAGCTCGGACTCGACCCCCGCAACCTCAACTAGGTGATACGTACACACACAACACACACACACACACACACCACAACACACACACACACACACACACACACACACACACACACACACACACACAACACACACACACACACACACTCAACACACTCACTCACTCACTCACTCACTCTCTATAGGCTAAGTGGACAAAGACTACAGACCTCACTCAGGGAGAAAGACCTTGGGGTAACCATAACACCGAGCACGTCACCGGAGGCACACATCAACCAAATAACTGCTGCAGCATACGGGTGCCTGGCAAACCTGAGAATAGTGTTCCGATGCCTTAATAAGGAATCGTTCAAGACACTGTACACTGTGTATGTTAGGCCCATACTGGAGTATGCAGCACCAGTCTGGAACCCACACCTGGTCAAGCATGTCAAGAAGGTAGAGAAAGTACAAAGGTTTGCAACAAGGCTAGTCCCAGAGCTCAGGGGAATGTCGTATGAGGAAAGGTTGAGGGAAATCGGACTGACGACACTGGAGGACAGAAGGGTCAGGGGAGACATGATAACGACATACAAGATACTGCGGGGAATAGACAAGGTGGACAGAGATAGGATGTTCCAGATAGGGGACACAGAAACAAGGGGTCACAACTGGAAGCTGAAGACTCAGACGAGTCACAAGGACGTTAGGAAGTATTTCTTCAGTCATAGAGTCGTCAGGAAGTGGAATAGCCTAGCAAGTGAAGTAGTGGAGGCAGGAAGCATACATAGTTTTAAGAAGAGGTATGACAAAGCTCAGGAAGCAGAGAGGAAGAGGAAGAGGACCTATTAGCGATCAGTGAAGAGGCGGGGCCAGGAGCTGAGTCTCGACCCCTGCAACCACAATTAGGTAAGTACAATTAGGTGAGTATACACACACACACACACACACACACACACACACACACACACACACACACACACACACACACACACACACACACACACACACACACACACACACACACACAGCATGTATAGAATGTTCAAGTGTTGATTCATTCGAGTACTGAACAAATTTTGCCCAACCAATTTTCTTTTTGGGTTGCTATTATCACAAATTTTTGTAGGCTCCATGGTGACTTATTTATACAAATAATATAAAAAAAATGCGAAGAAACATGAAATAGTTTACAGTGAAATTCTGGCAGGTCATGTTTGTTTGGTCGACTGCCGAGCAAATGGTTGACTACCAATCGATTTTTTTAACCGAACAAAGTGTTTGAATACCAAATTGTTCAAGTAGGGAGCTGGTTGAGTACCAAGGTTCCACTGTATTATTGTCTTTTCACTACATGAAATAGGGAAATAAGGCACAGTGTAAATTTTTTTTTTTCAACAGGTCAGCCATCTCCCACCTAGGCAAGGTGGCCCAAAAAGAAAGAAAATCCCCATAACGAAAATACTTTCATCATCATTCAACACTTTCACCTCACTCATACATAATCATTGTTTTTGCAGAGGTGCCCAGATACAACAGTTTAGAAGTATATATATAAAGATACAGTATAAAAAGTGACCTGAAATAATTACAATATCAGGGCCCCAATTACGTATATATATACCATCCTATTATACATCCCACCAAACTGCCAATATCCCAAACCCCTCCTTTAAAGTGCAGGCATTGTACTTCCCATTTCCAGAACTCAAGTCTGGCTATATGAAAATAACTGGTTTCCCTGAATCCCTTTACTAAATATTACCCTGCTCACACTCTAACAGCTCGTCAGGTCCCAAAAATCATTCGTCTCCATTCACTCCTATCTAGCACACTTATGCATGCTTGCTGGAAGTCCAAGCCCCTCACCCACAAAACCTCCTTTACCCCCTCCCTCCAACTTTTTCGAGGACGACCCCTACCCCGCCTTCCTTCCCCTACAGATTTATACGTTCTCCATATCATTCTACTTTGATCCATTCTCTCTGAATGACCAAACCACCTCAACAACCCCTCTTCAGCCCTCTGACTAATACTTTTATTAACTCCACATCTTCTCCTAATTTCCACACGTCAAATTCTCTGCATAATATTTAAACCATGCATTGCCCTTAGACAGGACATCTCCACTGCCTCCAACTGCCTCCTCGCTGCAGCATTTGCAACCCAAGCTTCACACCCATATAAGAGTGTTGGTACCACAATACTTTCATACATTCCCTTCTTTGCCTCAATAGATAACATGTTTTGTCTCCACATATACCTCAATGCACCACTCACCTTTTTTTCCTTCATCAATTCTATGGTTAACCCCATCCTTCATAAACCCATCTACTGACACATCAACTCCCAAATACTATCTGAAAACATTCACTTCTTCCATACTCCTTCTCTCCAATGTGATATCCAATTTTTCTTTATCTAAATCATTTGATACCATCATCACCTTACTCTTATCTGTGTTCACTTTCAACTTAAAATATATATATATATATATTTATATATATATATTTATATAGGTATTGAGTTCGTGGAAATGGGAGTACAACGTCCTGCACTTTAAGGAGTTTGGGATATTGCAGTTTGATGAGGATTGTTGTGTATCTTTTTTGTTTGAATGCGTTTCAGTACGTTTGTATTCTATCACTTGGCCCAAACACAGTGAATAATATGTGGGTTTTGTTGAATTTTCTTATAGTATTTTCTTTTTATTTTCTTTCTTTTTGGGGTCACCCTGAAGCCTCGTGTGGAGGAACTAACCCGGACACGACCTTCTTGAAAATACTAAAAAAAAAAAAAATTTACCGTTATATTGGCTGTGGGTACTCCTACAAAAATGGCCAGGGTTGGACCTCTCAAAAGAAAAATAAAATTATTTCTTTTTACGCATTTAAGTTAATTTTATGTTTTCAGTGAGAAGGGGTAAAATATATAAATCTTTTCCAATATTTAATTTCAAATGAAAGCCAGTAATCAAGTAATGTGTCATAGAACATGACATACTCTTCTTAATCTGTCAGTATTTGCCGCTGCCTGCCACCAGCACTCTTCTTGAGAGGGGAACAGCTTCTTCATCTCTCAGTAGTCCTGAAAAGCCTTGTGGATCAGCTTCAGGCAAGTGATCATTGTATTTTATCATTTTGACTTAATTAACAAAATGGGATTAATGTGTAGTTATGGAGAAAGGCATCACATCTGAGCAGGTGGGCGCCAGCAATGAGGAGAGCCGGTGCTCTACCATAGTGGAAAAGAGACTCAGATGTAGTGTTTTGCAGTCTTTTAATAATGACGTTTTACCCACGCACTGGTCTGTTTCATCTAGTCACATCTGTTTGTAACTTGATAAAGTTCACTGTGTTGGGAAACATCATCAGTAATGGATTACATTATACTACAACTATGTCTATTTTTTTTTTCTGGTGTCGGTAATTTATACCATTTACTCTGCCACAGATAATCTATGACCTTGAATCAGCGACAACTTTTTTAAGTAGTGGCATAGCTTTAAGGATGTGGTGACCCTATTAATGCCTTATTAAGACTCGCATTAGGAGATTTTTTTGTATATATATATAAACTGACAATGGTGGAGGAATTAAAGGAGACTGATTTCTCTTGGTTAGTTATCTATCTTTCAGACACACCCAATGAAGTACTCTTTATCAAGCCATAATATTACCTTCAAGATGGTGCATAAAGAATGAAAAGGCAAAATACCATTACTGGAACAGTACACAAATAACCTGCATATAGGTGAAAGAAACTTATGACAATGTTTCCATACAATTTGGTTCATTAGCTAGACACACTGGTATTTAACGGTGTGTCTAGTTAATGGTCCGAGTCAGACCGAAACGTCGTTGTAAGTTTCTTTCTCTTATGTGCAGGTTATATGTGGATTCAAGATGGTGCCTTGGTGCTGGTGAAGGACTCTTTAGCCTTGTAATTAGAGTTATTCTTCATTTCCTTGAATTAAACCTAATCATCTCTCATTCTCTAGATGCTATGTGATGCCTTAAATTCAGTTCTTAGTAGTGAATCCACTTATTATTTAAAGCACTAGCCACTCTGTACTTCCTATCTAACCCCTTTATTCCCATCGTCTCTCTTCCCCCTCTAATTCCTCCCCATCCTTATCACCTTCTCTCTTCTCCTTTACATCATTGTGTATCTGAGAAATGTGATTTTTTTTTTAAAATGCCATACAATCTACTAATATATGGGACACAGCCATGACATAGAATGTTTATGGTAATAATAATTAGTTTTAATTGACAGGTCATTTATTTGGTTCTTTTGTGCATGTTGTTTATGGTGATACTTACTCTTTGTCAAAGCCATAATTGTAGAAATTACAATCCCTACTTAGCAAGATTGTGTTGTGTGTTTCTGTGTAGGACTTTGTTAAAACTTTCACTCTAGTGAGAGGTTATCTGATAAATATTTGTTTGGTTAATTATATCGACTTTACCCCTGGGATTTATTAATCAGTATTCTTTGGCGTTGCAACTTATCATTGTCAGGTTATTACACTCGTGTCTTCCGTCTGGGAGATCGAGGGATAGGTAAGTCTCAGGAGATTTGAGCCTTTGTTGTTACTACTTACGTACTTGCATCCAGAAGTAACAGCCTGTTTGATCAGGCCCTGATCCACCAGGAGGTCTGATCAAGGACTGGGCTGCTGGGGCATTGACCCCTGAAACACGCTCCAGGTAGACTTCAGTCTAAAATTATTTCATTCATAGTATTTACCCTCATTTTCCTCCAGATTTTGCAGTTAGTATTTTGTCTTGGCATGAGATATGTCTTAAACATCATTTGAGTTGCAAAAGCTACTCTGTGTGAGTTTCTGTGCTCTTTGTTTTCAGGCTGCCAGCCAAGACTTACAATTAAATTTGTGTGATACTGTATTCCTGTGCTCATCATTGCTGAGTGCTGCTGCAAGTCCTGTGGCGAAGAACCTTCAAGTGCAGCAGTGTCTTATGCCTCTCAGGACAGCTATTGTGGTAAGTGATTTAGTTTCATTTTACTCTTCTTCATTAATTCTTAAACTGTTTCCCATGCAGATATGTGACTTGTTACAAAAAATCACACAACAAATTATACAAGAACACTGAACACAGATTAAGCTGGAGTATTCCTTTAGATAATAGTTTAGTGGTTCAAGCATAACATTATTTATTCAAGTTTTACATCTACCACAGGAATAGCCTATCATGGATAATAAGCCTTTAATTGGCATGAGTTAACTAGCCAAGAGAAAGTTCGTGTTCAATTGGTCATTGTTCCAAGTAATGGTCAGCCCAAGTGGTGATTAACCTGACAGAGCAGTGTGCACACTATCCATAGCATACACTATTAATTTTTTCCTCTGGTATTTTTCTTAGGAAATAAATCAGTATGAAGGATACTATGCTATAGCTAATGTTTATTAACAATTACCTAATTTCATATTGTTTTCTCAGTTCCATTGGGAATCACTCAGCAGTTTCTTCAAGAATCACAGTACCATCATCAACAAGCACAGTTGTTTAGAGATTTTGTGGAATACATTGAAAACACTAAGCTTGAAAACTATCACTTCTCTCAGTCCAGAAGAAGCTGGCATCAGACTCTTAGCACTGACTTTACGAACTTCAGTCAGCGAGCCAGAAATAAAAGCCATGGTGTCCATTGCTGGGGGTCCTGTGTATGTTAAATGGCTCTTGGCTCATATAGGCTTGCAGCAAATGAGAGGCAGCTTTCCATTTTTTCCAGACAATAAAAAAACATTTCTTGACATGCCAATTCAAAGTAAGAGAATAATTTCCTTCTGCCAGGAAGAACTTCATAAAATTTTAGCTGTATCAGAGCCAGCAAAACTCGTCAGTGAAATTTTTCCACAAATAACAGACACACATCTAGCATTAAAATCTATCCCCACTGCTTGTGTCCTAGTTCTTCTTTGCAGCAGCAGTAATATGCCAAATTATGGAGAGACTGATATCAAAGATAGCAAAAAGGTATTGAAACAATTTGACCTTCTCTTACATTGTCATTTTTTTCTCAGTCGCTTGTTTGATTATAAGGGAGGTTTGAATGACAACTCTGAGTTGGTGAACACATCATTAGCTAGAAGACAGGTAGAGTCACAGAATCTAGAATATTTGGCAACTCTAAACTGCAAAATATTTTCACAATTATCAAAAATACCTCCTAAAATATTAATTAAATTATCGAAGAATACATTTTTTAAATGTGACAGTGAACTACAAGCCGCAATAAAATTTAAATTGCAAGTGTAAATAATCATGAAAATTTCAAATTATATGTGCAAAAATGAATAAATTTTTCTTTCATATGCGTACTGTAGTTTAAATGTATTGTATCAATTTAGGCTGACATATTGTACTCACTGCCTTGTTCTAAATAATTTAGATGAATAGTATTGTTATATAATATTTTATATGTTCAATATTGATAGGAATGATTAAAGCAAACAATATTAGTTTAATTAGAGGTTTCTTGTATTAATGCATGTAGTGGAAAATCACAAATGCGCAGAGAAGAGTGCATCTCTGTGTATATACACTGAAGGATACAGATCTCTGTGTATGCTCATTTTTTTTTTTTTTCAACAAGTCAGCCGTCTCCCACCGAGGCAGGTGACCCAAAAAAGAAAGAAAATCCCTTGTATGCTCATATGTACTGTATTTTTCTGTCTTATGAGGCAGCCCTTTTTTTCTCCTCACAAAAAGTCTTTGATAATCAGCCTGTGCCTTATATCCTCAAGGTCAGGCTTTGGGTTACACTTGAGTTTTTTTTTTACAGTACAAATTTTGTTACAACTGCTTGGAAACACTGTCTTATATGTCTCGCATGATCATGCACTTTTGCCAGAAAATACAGTATATGTCGAGTATTTTGACACTTATAGAAGTTAAAGTATTCTTGACTTGTATACAGGAGAAAGAACTCAAATGACTCTCGTGTAGTCAGTAGGCTTGAAACCTGACAAATTGACTGTGTAGTAGATACTTGTGGCAGAATCATAAGCTGAACTTCCCTTCAATGGTGGTGAATGGCTCTTGATCCAAGAAAGTGAACCCCTCTCCTTCCTTGGATTGAACCTATTACCTCCTATTTCCAAAATGCTGCACAACTCCAGTGGGTGCTGTACATTTCCAAGAATAATTGTGAATTCGATGTTACAGTATTGTTAATGATAGTGAAATACCAGATATAACATAGTAAATTTATTTTATCAGGCAAATATAGATTTAAATAAGAAATATGTACAAATTTAATTATGAAAACTTTTAGGTACTTTCCAGGGAGGGGGAAATACCTTGATACTGAAAGACTCACAAGTCAAAGAATTTCAGCTTCCTTCCCCTACCTCAGATCAAAACTGGTTACCTCCCATTCCCCAGGTGCTGCATGACACCCCATGGATTTAATACTTCTCTATGTTTGTAAACTGGTAATTTTGTGCACCTACCTGTGAGGGTATTTTCCCCTGTGTGTAATGTGCAGAGTTAAGTAGATATATCATCCTGAAAGGGCAAAAACTTGGATTCATGGCTTTATTTATTGGTAAATATTAATATCCAAGATATCATTTTTCAGAATAACACAAGCACAAGTCTTTGGTGGCTTTATTTACAACACGTTTCTCCTTTGGGCAAGTAGTCTTCAGTCGAGTAGAAGTGATTAAAATACTTGAAGAAGATATAGAGGCGTTCAGTCCCTCATTCTTCATAGAGGCTATTGCATTGATCTTTCTGAGGTAGAAGCACGTTGATGGAACAACACACACACTGGACCAGAAGTGAAATGCAGCAGTGGGAGGTGGTGTTACAGAGAGGCAGTGCCAACTACCAGACCTACAGGCCCATGCTAGGCAGATACAGTACTTCTGAAGTTCAGTGCTTCTCTCACATAACATGTTAATAACTTGTAGAGTGATATGGTTGTATTAATTTAACACTGAAGTATCTTGCTGTATAGGACATTTTCCACAACTATATTATTCTACAACTTATTGGCGTGTTCTTGTGTGTAAAAAGGGGTTGTATTTGAGAAGGCCCTATTGGCCACCTAGCAGTGGCCAATAGGCCTGCTGGTGGATCCTGTCGTCTTTGACACCATCACTAGCTGCTTTATCTTACTTCTGGTCCAGTATGTGTTGCTCGGCCATTATGCTGCTACTTCACAGAGATCAAGAATATGGAACTGATCTCCTGAAAAGTACTTATTCATTTTTAATCAAGGCTGAGGGACTGAACACCTCAGTTTGTCTCCCATATTTTAGTCATCTGTTTTACTGAAAATATTTTACACAGGGAAAAATGTTTTGGAAATAAAGGAACTTAAATGTTTCACATGGATCATATCCATTTTTTTTTTTTTTTTGTAAATTAACAAAAAAAAAAAAATTAATTTTTTTAAATCCTTCTAGTGTTGCTTCAGGTCTGAAGGGATCTTGATCTAAGGAACAGGAGGTACTTCTTCCCTTAATCAAACCTGATTATCTCCCTTTTCCCAGGCTCTGTGTAGCTTGCACATAACAAAAGTATTTTATAATTATGCTATCAAAAGTTAGCAAAATATAACCTATATTACATGTTAGTGAGTTAATAAAGTTTGAAAAATTTAGATAATTTTTGTTTAGGATATTGGTGCAGTTCAGTTTGTGTGCACTGTATGTTAAACCTCAGAAATGCTGCTATATACACAATAAGTTCAGCTTCCAAAAATTTTTAAAGAATAGAGTTATTCAGCATATTGCTTGCTCATTACATATCTACTGAGCAAGGTGGGCTGTCTTGATGCAGGTGAAGGGCTCTTGATCCAAGGAATTATAGCTATCTTTTCCTTGGATCAAACCTGATTACTTCCTATTCCCAAGGTGCTGTCTGATCCTTGTGGGTTTAGCACATTCCAGTGAATACAATATGTACATGTTATATACATATTTTAACAAAATTATATTACAGCAGATATAGTTTATCAGTACTGTTGGTTGCAGTGGGAGTACCAGAGCAGGAACAATGTAATGCTGATACCGCTCCACTTTTATCTTTAAGTCGGTCACTTTGAGAATACATCTTTTGTCTCTCACAGGAAGCTTGCATACAAGGGACTCCTGCTAATGGCTCACTTATGGAACATGAGCAATTGTCTGCAATCTTATTACCAGATGTTATGTATGATACAGTTGAGAATGATCTCCTCCTAGGAATTGTATTTTTACACTTATCACAGAAGAGAGTGGAAGTCTCACATGCTTGACACTTGTCACTTGACAGGAAGGAAAGTGAAGCGCCTTCAAATTCTGTTGGTGGTGGGATTTTTGCACAGCACGTGTGAGAGTCTGTGTAACACGTGCCTGCCAGAGGGGTAGCGTTTACACACGCCGAGGAAATTAATCTCCGAGGGGAATATTCTCTCTTTTCCACAGCTTTACCTGTCTCGTCCTCAAGATTATTAACAACCATTTTGGGGTCACGGGTTCGTGGGAGCGTGTTATATTTTCTATACATTAGATCGGATTGAATCCCTGTATCATAATTTGCTTCCCCAGTATTCATTTGGAATTCACATGAATTTTCTTTTAATTTGTTGGATGGCGAGGTACACTTTTTGTCATTTCCCCTTGCACTAAACGAGGGTAATGGATTGCCGTAACTATCGGACACTGGGGCAGCGGATTTCTGAGTGCTGCACTGGGCTGCCGAGTGAGAGTCTTGCTGTCCAGTAAGACAGTTCAGTAATTCAGCAACATCTTGAAAACCTCCAAGAAACTGCACTTCCTCAACTTCTTCAACACCTGCAAAATTAATTTGAAAGATGAAGTCAGACAGAAAAGTGAAGATTGATAATAGTCTTGCATTCAAAGTGCTGTACTAAAGTTATACATACAATGGTAATGGCTAATTTAAGTGATTGACTATATCTCATGAGCATAGCTTAGTGTTAATTGCAAAACAAGGTAATGGCTCAACCACTATGATCCCTATGGGGTTAGCATTTCCCTATGAGTACTGCACTTTAAGACCCATATGGGTTTAGCTCTGTTCAAATACGTACAGTATAATAATAATTCCCCATAATTATAAAAACATTATCCGTACATACTGTTTAAGTATTAAAGAAGGTGCTAGGCTTAAGCTTGAAAGGTTATATTACTGAGGTTAAGCCAAGCAATGTGGCTTATTTACATTGGGATACTTCCAGTCCTTTCCCTGAATGCATCCCTCAACCGTTGTACTAATTATCTGGTAACTACTTACTGTTAGGGGGATGAGTTGTAAGGAGACGTGCCACAAGTTTCATCAAACCTGGGTTCTTTTGGTTGTAAACTGAACTACGAGGAATTATTAGGTTACGCTGTTGAAATGCGAGTAAGTTAACATTTATGATGGGAGTCAGTGTATTAGTAGTGACCAGGGACAGATATACTATGAAGCTTAAGTTTCAGGGGCCCCTAATCTCGAAAGTGCCCCAGAAGCGACTTTAGTCCACATTAATTAAAAATTTTGGGTCTACTGTATGCGATGGGGGTCCCCATAACAGTTCAGGCTTCAGGGCTCCAAGAATGTAGATCTGCTGCTTTTAGTGATAATGTAGCACTGTTGCTTAGATCACTCAATGCTTACAACCATTAAAAACAAGGATAAATACTCAACACAAATACTATCATACTAAATTAAAATAAGATAGTATTAGCTGAAAACTCCATTAAATTAGTAATGTCAAAAGGCTTCTGTAAAAGTTGAGGCCTTTACAGGCACCTCAGTAATTGTAAAAATATAAAGGCAGAAAGGCTTAAGCTGGGGGCAAACTGCTAAAATATAATCCACAGTCAATGGCAAATCACAAGGTAAACAGGCAAGTGTGGGTCTACATGTGGTGGTGGGGGGGGAGAGTTCAGGAAACCAGATGTGGGAAATACAATGCCTGCACTCTAAAGGAGATAGGATGTTGCAGTTCAGAGGGCCATCCAAACTGTGATGTCAGCATGCTCATTGGGAGAGTGATTGAATGATTGCAAATGCACTTTTTTCCTTTGGGTCATCCTACCTCAGTGAGAGACTGCCGGTGTGTTAAAAGAAGACCCACCTGAGCAGCAAGATGAGAGAGAGCCAGGAGAACTTCCGTCACCTTCGTAAGCATAGTAGCGAAGGTCATCAAGGGAGGGTAGGTGAGGGCAGCCACAACCTCCATCAGCACCTATAAGCTTCTTCTCGCCTCTCTTGTCCTCCGGCACCACCTCCACACCTGACAACAGAGTTTTCCTTCATAATCACAACTGCATGCAATCTTCTCTGTTATAATCCCCACTTCTTAAAGAAATGGCCCCATGCATAATCTTTTGTAAACATTTCAACTGTTAAACAATGAATAAAGAAATATAAAACACACACTGGCCACTTTATTAGGTACACCTGCTCATTAATGCAAATATCTCATCAGCTTCTTTTTGATTATTATAATCATCAGTTGGCTTAGCACTTCTTTTTGATTATAATAATAATATAATCAATTAATTTAAGAGGCAGCAGCACCTGTGTCTAAAAGCAATTAGACATAGTCAAGAAATTCAGTTATTGCTCAGATTGAACATCAGAATGGGGAAGAAATGTGATTGTTGATGCCAGACAGACAGGATGGTGCGAGTATCTCAGAAACTACTGATCTGAGATTTTCACACACAACAGTCCGAGAGTTTACAGAGTATGGTGTGAAAAAACAAAAATATCCAGTGAGCGGCTGTTCTGTGGGTTAAAATACCTCCTGTTATAACAGGAGGTAGAAGAGCATCTCTGAATACACAATACATTGGACCTGGAAGTGGATTGGCTACAGCAGCATATCACACTAGGTTCTACTCCTGTTAACTAAGAACAGGAGACTGAGGCTACAGTGGCAGAGGCTCACCAAAATTGGACAGCTGAAGATTGGTAAAGCATCACCTGGTCCAACAAATCATGATTTCTACTGTCATGCAGATAGCAGGGCCAGAATTTGGCCTAAACCTTTGGTATGTAGTGAAACAGGAGATTCACAGCATGAATCTGCAGCAACTGCCTGATGCTATCATATCAATATGGACCACAATATTTAAAGAATGTTCCCATCACCATGTCGCATTCAGGCTGTTCTGGGGGCAAATAGGGCCCCTACCCAGTACTAGAGAGTGTACCTAATAAAGTGTGCCACTGAGTGTGTATATTACACGTGTGTGTGTGTGTGTTTAATGTACAAAAATAATCCATGCGGGTTTAGCGGTTGTTTTACAATGGAATGCACGTAATCCAATCTAAGACACACTTGCACTGTAGTCCACCATAATGCTAACTGCCACCATAACCTCCACGCATTCTCTCAGGCACCACCACAGTGCCAATTGGCACCATGCCTTCACCCAGGTGCCACCATAGTGCCAACTGGCGCCAATGCCTCTCGCAGGTGCCCCCGGGCACTACCTCCGTGCCTTGCAATTAGTGAAAAAAAACTGATCCTATAGGGATTAGAGAAAGGATTTGTGAAAGCTCGAATCTCCCTTATTTTAAGTATTAGATACACCGGCTCCAATAAACCATCTAGAACCGGGTTTAAATGCCCCAGATAAACCAAGGTTGAGACACTGGCTGGTTTAAATGTTTTATGCTGGTGTTAGAAAAAGCCAGGCTGTGAGTAGGTTCTGAGCATCAGCACTCCATTACTCGTGCTGATCGACCCACACGAGTTTAGAGCTTCAATTGAACTATGAAAGCTTCCATGGAACAATTCACATTAACCCAGAATACCGTAACAGCTTACAACCCACAAAACTTGAGCTGGAACAATTCACAACCCAAAGTACCCTGACGAACAATTTACAATACCATGCACAATTCACAACTCAAAATACCATGGCTGGAACAATTCACAACTCAATATCATGGCTGGAACAATTCACAACCCTCGACACTACGCCTGGAACAATTCACAACTCAATATCATGGCTGGAACAATTCACAGCCCACAATACTACGTCTGGAACAATTCACAACCCTCAATACTACGCTTAGAGCAATTCACAACCCTCAATACTACGCCTGGAACAATTCACAACCCTCAATACTACGCCTGGAACAATTCACAACCCTCAATACTACGCCTAGAACAATTCACAACCCTCAATACTACGCCTGGAACAATTCACAACCCTCAATACTACGCCTGGAACAATTCACAACCCACAATACTACGCCTGGAACAATTCACAACCCTCAATACTACGCCGCTGTATAGCCCTTGTGGCTTAGCGCTTCTTTTTGATTATAATAATCAATACTACGCCTGGAACAATTCACAACCCACAATATTACGCCTGGAACAATTCACAACCCTCAATACTACGCCTGGAACAATTCACAACCCTCAATACTACGCCTGGAACAATTCACAACCCTCAGTACTACTACTGGAACAATTCGCAACACAATACTACGCCTGGAACAATTCACAACCCTCAATACTACTACTGGAACAATTCACAACACAATACTACGCCTGGAACGATTCACAACACACAGTAACTTGGCTGAAACAGTTCACAACTAATATTATGATCATGAGGGAGCGCTAAACCCATAGGATTATCTGTACTCCAGGGAACTGGAGCACAGATCCAATTCCCTAGATCAAGAGCCCCTCACCAGCATCAAGGAGAGGAATTAACCTACAGTATTTCAGTCCCCACCTAACGTTGCCCTGGCAACGGTTCTGGAACTATTAGGTGTCCCGTAGTTCGATGGGTAGCGCACTCACATCAAACATTAAGGTCCGTGGTTCGATCCCCGGTACGGGTGGAAAACATTAGACTCTCTGACCGCGGGTTCAAATCCCGCCCGTGGTATGGTTTTGCAATCGTGTCATTACGATTTCGTGAGTAACATTAGGACACCTGCTGTATATGTTCACCTAGCAGTAAAATAGGTACCTGGGTGTTAGTGGACTGGTGTGTGTCGCATCCTGAAGGGGCAAAACAGACATAATTTACCCGAAATGCTCTTCATAAAAAGGGCTTTCTATATAGTAATATGTGAGGGATGCCAGCTATGGTCTGTATAAGTTATATCATGTATTGACCGATAGCACTAACATCCCACGTCATAAAATCTTTGAAAGTGTTCCAAGAAGCAAGATCGTCACCCACGTTGATACCCATCTATTGCATAACCAAGGGCAGCATGGGTTTAGAACAGGCCACTCCTGCCTATCAAAGCTACTGGACCACTATGACAATGTCTTGGATGCTCTAGACTCTAGAGGACAAACAAAATGCAGATGTAGTATAGAAGACTTTGCGAAAGCCTTCAACAAGTGCAATTATAGTGTAATAGCACACAAAATGCGTGATAAAGGAATAACAGGAAAATCTGGTAGATGGATCTATAACTTCCTAACAAATAGAACACAAAGAGTAATAGTAAACAATAAAGTCAGAGGCGGCTACAGTGAAAAGCTCTGTTCCACAAGGTACAGTACTCGCTCCCAGCCTGTTCCTCATCCTCATATCTGACAGATGTAAGCCGCAGTACCGTGTCATCCTTTGTAGATGACACCCGAACTTGAATGACAGTGTCATCCATCGAAGACACTGCAAGTTTCCAGGCGGACATCAACCAAATCTTTAAATGGGCCGCAGAAAACAATATGAAGATCAATGAAGAAAAATTTTAATTACTCTGCTATGGAAAATTCGAGGAAATTAAAACTGTATCGAAGTATAAAACAAATTCCAGCCACACAACAGAGCCAAAAACTAATGTGAAGGACCTGGGAGTGATAATGTCAAGAGGATCTCACTTTCAAAGGTCCCAACCACATATCTACCACATTTTTTCTTTAACACATCGGCCAATTCCCACCAAGGCAGGGTGGCCCGAGAAAGATAAACTTTCATTATCATTCACTCCATCACTGTCTTGCCAGAAGGGTGCTTTACACTACAGTTATAAAACTGCAACATCAACACCCCTCCTTCAGAGTGCAGACACTGTACTTCCCATCTCCAGGACTCAAGTCCGGCCTGCCGGTTTCCTTGAATCCCTTCATAAATGTTACTTTGCTCACACTCCTACAGCACGTCAAGTATTAAAAAACCATTTGTCTCCATTCACTCCTATCAAACACGCTCACGCATGCCTGCTGGAAGTCCAAACCCCTCGCACACAAAACCTCCTTTACCCCCTTCCTAGGCCGACCCCTACCCTGCCTTCCCTCCACTACAGATTTATGCACTCTCGAAGTCATTCTGCTTTGTTCCAGTCTCTCTACATGTCCAAACTACCTCAACAACCCCTCCTCAGCCCTCTGGATAATAGTTTTGGTAATCCGACATCTTCTCCTAATTTCCAAACTACGAATTCTCTGCATTATATTCATACCACACATTGCCCTCAGACATGACATCTCCACTGCCTCCAGCCTTCTCCTCGCTGCAACATTCATCACCCATGCTTCACACCCATACAAGAGTGTTGGTACAACTAACCTCTCATACATTCCCCTCTTTGCTTCCACGGACAACGTTCTTTGTCTCCACAGACTCCTAAGTGCACCGCTCACCCTTTTCCCCTCATCAATTCTATGATTCACCTCATCCTTCATAGACCCATCTGCTGACACGTCCACTCCTAAATATCTGAATACATTCACCTCCTCCATACTCTCTCCCTCCAATCTGATATCCAATCTTTCATCACCTAATCTTATTGTTATCCTCATAACCTTACTCTTTCCTGTATTTACTTTCAATTTTCTTCTTTTGCACACCCTACCAAATTCATCCACCAACCTCTGCAACTTCTCTTCAGAATCTCCCAAGAGCACAGTGTCATCAGCAAAGAGCAACTGTGACAACTCCCACTTTATGTGTGATTCTTTATCTTTTAACTCCATGCCTCTTGCGAAGACCCTCGCATTTACTACTCTTACAACCCCATATATAAATGTATTGAACCACGGTAACATCACACATCTACCACATCTGCTAGGAAAATGGTAGAATGGATAATGAGAACCTTCAAAACCAGGGATGTCAAGCCCATAATGATTCTCTTCGAATTGTTTGTTCTCTCTAGGCTAGAATATTGCTGTACACTAAAGGCCCCTTTCAAGTCAGGCGAAATTGTAGACCTGGAGAATATACGGCATTTATAAGTACGAAAAAGCACCTAAATTACTGGGAACAGTTGAAGTCCCTTGATTTGTATTCCCTGGAACGCAAGAGAGAAAGATACAGGACAATATACACTTGGAAAATCCTAGAGGGACTAGTCCCAAATCTGCACACGAAAAGTCACTCCCTACGACAGCAAAGACTTGGCAGGAGATGCAACATCCCCCCAATGAAAAGCAGGGAAGCCACGAGTACACTGACACCAAGTGTCAGGGGCCCCAAGACTGTTTAACTGCCTCCCATCATACATAAGAGGGATAACCAATAAACCTCTGGCTGTCTTCAGGATGGTGCTGGACAGGCACCTAAAGTCAGTACCTGACCAGCTGGGCTCTGGCTCGTACGCCTGTTTACGCGCGGCCAGCAGTAACAGCCTGGTTGATCAGGTCCTGATCCACCACAAGGACTGGTCACGGCCAAGGCAGCGGGGGCGCTGACCCCCGAAACCCTCTCCAGGTATACTTTTAGAAATTAAGATTATTATTAGTCACCTCCCTCAGTCCCCACCTCAACAGGATCGTACATACAATACCAACCAGCTAACTTAGTATCCCCGTCGACTGAAGGCTGCTGGTGACTCCTGAAGGTACAGGTGATCTTGACTTCAGCGCTATCAGCATCCAGTGAGTCGCCAGCCTCACGGTCTTGGGAGATCTTGGCAGACACAAATTCCTCTGCAGCTTCCATAGATTTTCTGATCTTCCTCTGACGACGATGCACCATCACGTAAATTCCCATCACCATGGCTGTGAAAAATGAATTTTTAATCCAAATTGCATATATTAACCATTATTCATTCACATGCATAACAGATAATCAAGCTTGACGAAGCTTGATTGGTAGCGCACTCGCCTCACACACTGACTGTACGTGGTTAGATTCCCGGTACGGGTGGAATCACTGGGGCGTGTTTCCATAAGACACCTGATGTCCATGTTCACCTAGCAGTAAGTAGGTACCTGGGTGTTAGTTATCTGTAGCGAGTGGCATCCTGGGAGGTGCTAGTTCACCTTGGATAAAGTCATTTACAATGAGTTGAGGCAGGATAACAGCTCCGTAAATCTAACTGAAAATAAGATCGTAAATATAATTTAAATAAAAACGCAAGCATTTAACCAACTTTAACATAGATACCTTCGGGGTTTCTTGACGTGGCGAAGACCTTTTGATCCAAGGAGTTGGAGTTAAGCACCCCCTCCTCGAATCATGCCTGACTACCCCCACCCCCCACTTTCCCAGGCGTTGTAAAACCCTTACTTTTGAAGCGCTTCCCCATAAATATAATATACAATAATAACGATGATAATTAAAGATTGGGAGTAGAGAAAGAAAGGTTAACTAACCTGTCCACCTCAAGTGTATTTTTAAACAAGTCTGTTTCCCCCCGTCAGAGTAACGAGAGAGGAACCCAGTAAGCATCGCCCTTTGTATTTCCCTTACTTTCCTTGCAATAATTACCATAACTACGAGAGTGTGCAACTACTGGTCTGCTGCAATGTCCTGCCATATACAGAGTGTACTTACCCAGTATTATTAGGGATAAGACGAGCACGATGACCATGGTAGTGAAGGAGAGAGTGAGAGTGGTGTAACCAGTGGCTGGAACCTCACAGTGCTCACCTGCAAACAATAACACTTGTGTATTACTTCCTCTTGTTATGTTCGGTGAAATTTCATGGCTGAAGAGCTATTGTCCTACACCTCGGCTTATATTACCAACCCAGAGATATTATTGTATAATAGCCCATTCACAAGCCTGGCTAAGATCATTATTGAGAAAAATTAAGTTACCTAAACACATTCCTTGGACCTGCTCCGGGAGACAATAGTCACTGATGCCCAGTCCATGCATTTCCCCACCACATTAACTTGTCTCAGCTCCAGGTGTGCAAGTAAGTTTATTCAGGTATACGCAAATACACTTACATAGATTATCATACATAGCAGCATATGTGTAGAGAACCTGGGATAACTCAAAAAAGAGTCAGAGTGACTCATTTCCATTGGGGTCCTTTACCTTATCATTATAATATAAAGGTGATAATATCTTATTATTATTCTACAATGAAGATAACATCTTATTATCATACTAAAAAGACTATATACAAAACGCAAGTGTTGTGTGTGTGTGTGTATATATATATATATATTATATATATATATATATATATATATATATATATATATATATATATATATATATATATATATATATATACGCAAGTATAGAATAACAGAGACAAACAGGCACACTGCTTTTGTGTGTGTGTTTGCGTGTGTCACACTTACCACTGAAGGACTTGGGACACACACACACGTATCCTGGCTCTTGATTCAAGCAGGTTCCTCCATTGAAACAGGGAGACCAGACACACTCGTTGACGTCTCTGCAGGTACCAGTCTCCCTCATCAGCGCGGCGCCCTCACCACACCTGTTTTTATGAGAATTTGAAGGATTTAATATTCAGTCTTAACCCGGCTGCAACGATGTCCTAAGGTGAACTAAGGAGAGCCACACGGAGTCAGGAAAACAGTGCTGTAAGAGACTGGAGTTTACCTGGAGAGAGTTTCGGGGGTCAACGCCCCCGCGGCCCGGTCTGTGACCAGGCCTCCTGGTGGATCAGCGCCTGATCAACCAGGCTGTTGCTGCTGGCTGCACGCAAACCAACGTACGAGCCACAGCCCGGCTGATCAGGAACTGTCTTTAGGTGCTTGTCCAGTGCCAGCTTGAAGACTGCCAGGGGTCTGTTGGTAATCCCCCTTATGTGTGCTGGGAGGCAGTTGAACAGTCTCGGGCCCCTGACATTTATTGTATGGTCTCTTAACGTGCTAGTGACACCCCTGCTTTTCATTGGGGGATGGTGCATCGTCCCGCCAAGTCTTTTGCTTTCGTAGTGAGTGATTTTCGTGTGCAAGTTTGGTACTAGTCCCCCTAGGAATTTTCCAGGGGTATATAATCATGTATCTCTCCCCTCCTGCGTTCCAGGGGAAAACAGGGTTTAGAAACCTCAAGCGCTCCCCTAAATTGAGGTGTTTTATCTCCGTTATGCGCGCCGTGAAAGTTCTCTGTACATTTTCTAGGTCGGCAATTTCACCTGCCTTGAAAAGGGGCTGTTTGAGTGCAGCAATATTCCAGCCTAGATAGAACAAGTGACCTGAAGAGTGTCATCATGGGCCCTTTTGGGCCCCCCTAGTTTTGAAGGTTCTCATTATCCATCCTGTCATTTTTCTAGCAGATGCGATTGATACAATGTTATGGTCCTTGAAGGTGAGATCCTCCGACATAATCACTCCTAGGCCCTTTGACGTTGGTGTTTCGCTCTATTTTGTGGCCAAAATTTTGGGTTTTGTACTCTGATGAAGATTTAATTTTCCTCATGTTTACCATATCTGAGTAATTGAAATTTCTCATCGTTGAACTTCATATTTTTTTTCTGCAGCCCACTGAAAGATTTGGTTGATGTCCGCCTGGAGCCTTGCAGTGCCCTGCAAGGGAAGACACTGTCATGCAGATTCGGTGTCATCTGCAAAGGAAGACACGGTGCGTGGCTGACATCCTTGTCTATGTCGGATATAGGATGAGGAACAAGATGGGAGCTAGTACCTGTGCCTTGGGGGACAGAGCTTTTCACCGTAGCTGCCTCGGACTTTACTCTGTTGACGACTACTCTCTGTGTTCTGTTAGTGAGGAAATTATAGATCCATCGACCGACTTTTCCTGTTTTCCTTTAGCGCGCATTTTTGCCGCTATTACGCCATGGTCACACTTGTCGAAGGCTTTTGAAAAGTCTGTATATATTACATCGCATTCTTTTTGTCTTCTAGTGCATTTAGGACCTTGTCGTAGTGATCCAGTAGTTGAACAGACGGGAGCGACCTGTTCTAAACCCTGTTGCCCTGGGTTGTGTAACTGATGGGTTTCTAGATGGGTGGTGATCTTGCTTCTTGGGACCCTTTCAAAGATTTTTATGATATGGGTTTGTTAGTGCTTTTGGTCTGTAGTTCTTTGCTGTTGCTTTACTGCCCCCTTTGTGGAGTGGGCTATGTCTGTTGTTTTTAGTAACTGAGGGACGACCCCGGTCCATGCTCCCTCTCCATAGGTGGAAAAGGCTCGTGATGGGGGCTTCTTGGCAGTTCTTGATGAACACAGAGTTCCATGAGTCTGGCCCTGGGGCAAAAGTGCATGGGCATTGTCATTTATCGCCTGTTCGAAGTCATTTGGCGTCAGGATAACATCGGATAGGCTTGTGTTTTGCCAAATTTTGGCTCTCTCATAAAAAATTCATTTTGGTCTTCGACTCTCAGTCTGGTTAGCGGCTTGCTAAAAAAATGATCAATTGGGACTTGAGTAGCTCACTCATTTCCTTCTGCATCTGTGTAGGACCCATCTTGTTTAAGTAGGGGGCCCAATACTGACGTTGTTCTCATTTTTATTTGCAAGGAGAAGAAAAACTTTGGGTTTCTTTTGATTCATTTATGGCTTTTAGTTCTTCCCGCGATTCCCGGCCCTAAAGGGTTCTTTTCTTAAGTTCGAGCTTGTATTTCTCTGACCAGTTCTCCCTGCCATTTCAATAATTTTTACCTCTTTAGCCGCTCTGTTATTCTTTTTTCCCTCGCCTGTAAAGGGGGCGCCTGCTCTTTCTTTTTACATCTACTCCCCCCCTTTTTCTTAGAGGAAAAGCCTTTTGCATACACAGGCCACCGAGTTAATCTGTTAAAGGGATAAGTTTGGGGCTGTGTTTCTAGTATACTTCCCAGCTTATATCGGGTTGGACTTGTTTACTTGGCCCACTTTAGTTTTTGGTTTTTGAAGTTGAATTTGGGGAATGCTCCCTCATGACTATCTCATTTTGTCGTCTGGGCCCATGCAACATGTCTGAACCTAAATTATTTTGTGTCTAGTAATTGTTTTTGATATGGTGCATTTTTTATCAGATCATATGTTAGTAAAGATGAGGTCTAGTTATTCTCCATCTTGTAGCTCTATTATTTGCGGTTTAAATTTGAATTTTGTGCAGGTTTTTAAAAGCTCTGTGAGTGTGATTTTTTCATCAGAGCTCCCTCCTGGGTTTTTTCTGCAACAATATTATTTGCTATATTCCTCCATTTTGGGTCCCTTAAGTTGAAATCCCCCGGGAAAGCAAGATTTTGGGGTGCAGGACGGAAATTTCCAGACAGGGGGCCCAATTTTTTAACACTGTTCCGGGAAATTTTGCGGGATGTTGCATCCGGAGGCTTGAGACTACCACAAAAAAGGGTTTTGGTTCTCGACCTTTACTCTAAAACTTCCAACGTCATTTGAGGCATTAAGCTTTTTGTGAAAACAATGACCGCAATGTACGGGCCAACCCCCCCCCTTTTGCCTTTTCCCACCTGTCACTCTGTATAGTTGTAACCTGGGACCATACTTCGTTTCCAAGTGACCATGTGGTCTCAGGAAAGCCGCAACATTGCCTTTCCTCTGCAAGCACCACGGATGAAAGGTATTTTTGTTGTTGTAGCTGGCTTTAGACCCTGTAATTTCAAAGAAGAAGTTATCGACGGTGGTTTTGGGGAAACTGGGGGGGGATTTTTTTTTTGATTATATTTTTCGTTGGTTTGGAGGGGAGCCATCGACTGGGGTTTCCACTCCGGGAATGACGGGATTTGGGTTAGATTTCTCCCATTTCCTGCCAGTTTTTTTTCCTTCCGGGCCTAAAAAACCTCTCCCTCTTGAGTGGCTGTGGCTACCCGGGTTTTCCCCCCTGGCCTGATGTTTTTACTTTTTGTCCCCTTTAATGGTATGCCTGGAAATTTAAGTTATAGCCCATCCCCCCCCTGTACGAAGGGTACACATTTCAGGTGAAAAATTTACGGGAAGGGAGTTTGCATTTTCCTTTTTTCATATGGGCAGGGCATTTTCAGGGGGGGTCATAGTTGCATGTCCATCTTTTTTTCCAATTTCCCATGCCAGCAGATACCAATCAAATATGTGCCAGTTTTGGTTTCCGCTTCCCCTTGGGGTTTCGTGACTTATTCCCTGTTGGTGCTTTTTTCCCTGCTTACTTCTATCCCCCTACCCCAAACAATGGAGCTCCCCCATGTTTTGGTTTTTTCCTCACTATTGCATTTGGGTCCTCTTGTTTCTATTTCCCGCGGTTTTTCTAGTTTTTCAAATTGGGTTTTTTCTTACTTTTACTAACTTGTTTTCCCTAAAGGCTCCTGTCCCCTATTGAGGGCTTTTAGTATTCCCTTCCTGCGTAAATTCCCACTCCCTGGGAAAAATCCCACTTCACCTTTCTGTCTCCCAGGACAGTACTCCCTTCACCATTTTTTTTCCCCAGGGCAAACCTCCACTTCACCATTACTGTCTCCCAGGGCAGTATCTCCAGCTTCACCATTTTTGTCTCCCAGGACAGCACCCCAGCTTCCCATTTCTGTCTCCCAGGACGATCTCCCAGCTTCACCATTTCTGTCTCCCAGGGCACACCCCCAGCTTTACCATTCTGTCTCCAGGGGCAGCACCTCCAGCTTCACCATTACTGCTCCCCGGGCACACCCCAGCTTCACCATTACTTCTCCCAGGCCAGCACCTCCAGCTTCACCATTTCTGTCCCCGGGGCAGCACACACCCCACAATTTTTTGACTACCAGGGCATCACCTCCACCCTTTCGTTTTTTGACTACTGGGCCGTATCAAGGGGAGTACCATTCAGCCCAACATTTTATGTTCCCATCTTTGAAAAAGCTTCCCGGTTTTCTATGAAAGCACTTTGATGTTTTCCTCTTTTAATACCCCTTTTGATTTTTGTCCACAGTTTTTCCTCATTTTTGGGAAACCCAAAAACACTTTTCTGTTTTAATACTGCTTGTAGCTGTTCTGGGATATCGCACAAGGGGCGTGACACCAATTTCCACAAAAAAGACAAATTTTTCCATGGGAAACCCGTTGTTTGACTACCCCAGACTACACAGGCTTCATAATGATTTGAATGGGTTTATTTTCTGCAATTCTACAGCAACTTACACGTTTCGGGCTCGACTTTAACCATTTACAAAAGCACTCAAAAAAATTTCACGTCCCCACACATAGAAAATTTTCAAAACTCAAATCACCCAACTTAACCCTACACACCAGCAAAAATTGAGTGTGACTTTGTAAATGGTCCAAGTCGGAGCGAAACGTGGTTGTAAGCTTCTATGTGCTGCGGGTTATTTGTGTATTATTCCAGGTCACGGTATTTGGCCTTTTTCTCTTTAAGACTGTACATTTCGACCTATGAGTTTTTCACTGAATAACTCGGATGGAGAGCGAAATATACAGTCTGATGAAAAAATGGGTTTCTGTCTCAGCGAGGGTTTCCTGAGTTCGTCAACAACTGTCCACTACACTCTTACCTTTCACCTTCAAATATGTCCTGTTCTAACACCCTTCAAGCAGGTAGGGAAGCGGTGCCTTGATCTTGCTGAAGGTTCCTTTATCCCATGAACTGGCGGATCCCTCCCTCTTGACGAAATCGTAATGACACGATTGTAAATTGGTGTAGAAATGTAAATAGTTGGATGAATTGTTAGGTAAGACACATATGCAACAGTTAGACAACTTTATTCCGAAACGTTTCGCCTACACAGTAGGCTTCTTCAGTCGAATACAGAAAATAGGCAGGAACAGTAGAGATGTGAAGACGATGTAATCAGTCCATCACGACTACAAGGGTGATGGACTGATTACATCGTCTTCACATCTCTACTGTTCCTGCCTATTTTCTGTATTCGACTGAAGAAGCCTACTGTGTAGGCGAAACGTTTCGGAATAAAGTTGTCTAACTGTTGCATATGTGTCTTACCTAACAACCTGTCGGTATTGTATACCATTTTGATGTTCATTCAGTTGGATGAATCTTATTGAAGCTAGTTGGCCCAGTGGCTAACGCGACGGCCTGGAGTTTTTGAGACTGATCGCGGGTTCAAACCCCACCCGTGGTATGTTTTGTTTGCAATCGTGTCATTACGATTTCGTGAGTCAAACTGGTATGGTTTGTTTCCCTTCCTCTTCTTGGGTCGCACCTGTGAATCTCCAGTTCCACAGGTGCTGCCTTACCGTTATACGTTTGACGTAAACTATTATTACAATCAAAACTAAGCACTAAACCCACAAGAAGTAAACTCTCAGGTATACTCAAGTGTGTATATATTGAGATACAATACACAAATAATCCGCACATAGAAGAGAGAAGCTTACGACGATGTTTCGGTCCGATTTGGACCATTTACAAAGTCACACTAACAGAAAGGAGAGAGGGAGTATATATTGGTCAGCAGACATTGACGGGATCATGAGAGGTGGTGGTAGTAGTAGTAGTAGTCAAATACTAAGAAAGAAGAGCACTGCAAGGGAGTTAGGGGCCCACAGAGGGAGGGGGAGTAAAAAAAAATAATAAGAGAACAAATACCCAAGGCAGAAGAAAGAAAACCCAAAGGAGGAAAGAGGAAGAGGGAGAAGGGGAAAAAAGAATCAGGTTAAGTCACGGGTGTTCTGAAGTTCGGAGCATTTAACAATGTAATGGGAAAGGAAGGCATCTACAGAGACGAAGTCAGGACTAAGATTCATACAAGGAAAGTTGTGTATAAGGGAGGACTTAACCAGACGGCGACTGTGAAAGTCGGACCGAAACGTCGTCGTAAGTTCCTCTCTTCTATGTGCGGGTTATTTGTGTATTGTTCCAGTCACGGTATTGTGCTTTTTTTTTTTTTTTTTTTTTTGAGATACAACAGTGTAGATACCCCATACAGTAGTGAGTCTACAGTACATTTAAACAGATACGACTGACTAATAATGCTTCATTTGTGTCCTCAAAGAGGCACATTCTAAATTGCAGTTCTGATAATTAAAGTTACAGTGTTCACAGGCCTATAAGTCTGGTGAATTTTGTTATTAAATAACGAGGATGAGAGAGAAAAGTCCTTCTGGTGTGGGTCTCGTATGAAGAATATCTGTGATACAGGGAACAACTGCTACACAAAGGTGTTAGAAACTCCAGTCATATCTGGAGGGTGTTTCAGGGGTCAACGCCCCCGTGTGGCCCAGCTCATGACCAGGCTTCGTGGTGGATCAGGACCTGGTTAACCAGGTTGTTACTGCTGGCCGCAAGCAGACCGATGTATGAACCACATCTTGGCTGGTCAGGTACTGACTTCGGGTGCCTGTCTAGCTCCCTCTTGAAGACAGCCAAGATGTCATATCTTGAGCGAAAATGTCATGTATATAAAAAATCAGATTTGCTGCAGGTTTTCAGATTTACGTCAAATATTCAAGCGTTAGAAAAGGTCATTCTCACACTGTCGTGTGACTGATGTTCATTACTAAGTAATTTTTGGTCGTTTGGCTTTGCCTTCTACCTTAGCGAGTCACCCCCATTAAGTTTATTATACTGTATTAAAGTGTAGTGTTAAACCCGTTTGGGTTATCCAGCTCAAGGTGTGGTAAAGGCTTCAGTATTCATTTGGAGAGCGCGTGACCCCGTCCCCCTGTCTTATTGCACTCGGCTACAGTACAAGATTTTATTATTTAACTCGCCAGCCATCTCACCTAGGTAGGATGGCTCCCTTAAACAAGGAGAAAAAAAAAAATCCCATCATTCATTCAATCGCTGTCTTGTCGATAATGTACTGACATAACAGTTCACTTGACTACAACATCCCCCCCCATCCCTCCCTCAGAATGCAGGCACTGTACGTCCCACTTCCAGAACTGCAACATTCCCACCCCTCCTTTAGATTGCAGACACAGTTCGTTCCACCTCCAAGACTCAAGTCAGGCTAACCTGTTCCCCTTGAATTCCTTCATAAGAAAAACCATGTAATAAACGATACACCGACTGACCCACACTCATGTCTCCTCCAGACATCAATGCAGGTAAGAGGTTCCGAGCAACTGACGTTAGTGCAGACAGCTGGAGCGAGGCAAGAGGCCTGAACATTGGTAAACATTGTGGCTTGTGCCCATGACGACGTGTTGACGAGTGGTGGAAGGGGAAGACTTACTCCAGACACCCTCAAGTCATCCAGACAGCCTGAGGAATTAAAGAAAATATTCGGGTACAATTCAGAACTAGTGTGTAAATAAAATCTAAATAAATGACATTTCGGTCCGTTTTAGACCTTTATGAAATCAAGAGGAGATATGAAATGTGAGAAAGCTAGAAAACAGGTCAGGTGAAGAGGAGAAAAAAAACCTATAGAAAGTAAACATAGAGAGAGAGAGAGAGAGAGAGAAGAGAGAGAGAGAGAAAGGCGGAGCGACAAATTTAAGACCACCTACCATCACGATAATCATTGTGGACAGTGTGTAGACTGACCCCCACGTACTCTGGGGACCCACCCACGTGTACTCCCTCGTGACGGTCAACGGACAGAGATCGAGTCCAGCCTTGTAGAGCTGAGGGTGTGGATGTCGTGTTGTACAAGACACCATCACCCTCGTCTACCAGGAGTTCCAGCCACTCTCCGTACCTGCAGGTGAGAAATAACTTACTTGAAGAGCCTCTATACTCAGTACCGAAACGTAATGATCCTGAGTCTTCAACTAAGTCGGGAATAATTATAACCTGGTATTAGCTAATTTTTTCAGTCTTGATTTCAAAAGACACGTATTCGTACAGTTCTTACTCATCCTTCAAAAATCCCCACTCATCCCTCAAAAATCTCCACTCATCCCTCAAAAATCCCCACTCATCCCTCAAAAATCCCCACTCATCCCTCAAAAATCCCCACTCATCCCTCAAAAATCCCCACTCATCCCTCAAAAATCCCCACTCATCCCTCAAAAATCCCCACTCAGGATCCAATTCATCTCGTATACCACCTCACATCAATACATCATTTTCAAGTATAGATAAAAATGACAGAACGTAAAACAAGTCTTTAGTGGAACATCATTTTTATGAGCGAAACGTCGAAAGTATCCTTCAGTATTGTCTTACCTGTTAGCGTGAACATCATGCCACTTTCCATCGTTAAGATGAGCCTGTGAGAGACACAGCTGGGTGTCAGGTGTGTGGTGCAACACCAGCTGCACACACAGTCGACCCTCAACCAGCTGGAGACCTAGTTTCTCCCTCCCGTGGTGAGACATCACTGCCACCAGCTGACCTCGCTCCTCCCACGTGCGGAACCTAACATGAAGGGGCAAGACAGATCTTGAGAATAGACTAGATGTAAGTTTGAGTGTATATAACATTCCAGCAGGTACTGGAGTGTTCTTACACTGGATATAACATTCCAGCAGGTACTGGAGTGTTCTTACACTGGATATAACATTCCAGCAGGTACTGGAGTGTTCTTACACTGGATATAACATTCCAGCAGGTACTGGAGTGTTCTTACACTGGATATAACATTCCAGCAGGTACTGGAGTGTTCTTACACTGGATATAACATTCCAGCAAGTACTGGAGTGTTCTTACTCACAGTACTGAAGCGTACTTACACAGCACTAGAATATTCTTACACAGTATATAAACGTATCAGCAGGTAATGGAGCGTTATTACATATTTTCCCCAGTAGACATGACCCACAACAGTCTGTAAAAACACAAGTGTTATGAATGGTTTGAAAAACCGACAAGTTGAAGATTGAGACACTTAGGCAGCATATGGGAATCTTTATTCAGGAAACGTTTCGCCACACAGTGGCTTCATCAGTCCAATACAAAGAGGAAGGCGTAAGGAGAGGAGGAGTATGAGGTAATCAGTCCCTCAGCCTGGAGTCGATGTGTTCAGTCCATCAATCTTGTAGAATGTACAGCATATATATATATGAGTATATATCATTATGTAATAGAGTATATATCATTATGTAATGCTGCCTACAGAGGCCTGATTACCTCGGCTGAAGGCTGACTAACACTACTTTATTATTACGAACGCGGATGTAGAATAACCTTGACGTAACGGGATAAAGCGTGGAGCAAGCAAAGGACAACTGAAGTTATATGACTTTTCTCACCAAATAAACAAGCTTGTATTTGCAGTAAGTACAGCAATGTAAGAGCAATTGCGCAACACGGTGATCAAAGGAGGTAAAATGCAAGAGCCAGACAGAACACCGTGAAAGACCAACAGTCGAGACAAGGCTGCCAAAACTCGTACTGTTTCGCAGAAGTGTGAATTGCTCATTACTCTAAAATTTGTTCATGATTGCAGCCATGTATAAACGTAAGTAACCATTCTTACAGTATTCATTACCTTTGTAACTTGTGAGTTCATTACCTTTGTAACTTGTGAGTTCATTACCTTGTACCTAGTTCAGCCATCAAAACTTTGGAGCCCGGTCCCTGGACCCATTGTGTACCTCTGTAATCTGTAAATACCTTTGTAACTTGTAATGATTGTGACTAGACCTACCTGGAGTTCATTACCTTTGTAAATTGTGAGTTCATTACCTTTGTAAATTGTGAATTCATTGCCTCTGTAACTTGCTCAGCTATCAAAACTTTGAGGCCCAGTCCCTGGACCCATTATGTACCTCTGTAATCTTTTGACTACCGCCCACAGGATGGGTATGGGGTGCATAATAAACATATTAAACTAACTAACTTTCGCAGCTTTGGCGGGCTTGTCTGTGAGTGGCCGGTGAACCGAGGTATTGAAATAACGACGTGACCCCTATTGATCGTTAAACCCTTAGCATCTGGTTCGCTGGTCAGGAGGCAGCCTATATGCGAGTGTGACATACTCCGAATATAATATACTCGTAGCATGCCACACCTGCAGAGGTCATCTCAGCCGAATACTCACTAGCACTACCCTACAGGGAAGCTCACCTCAGCTGAAGAGTAGTGGTGTTCGGTGGCGGTGAGGCTGTCAGTGCCATTTTAATGTAGCTGTTTGCTGAGAATGACGCTGGTTGAGTCTTGTGGTGACAAGACTCACCAGACCGACCCAACACACACTCACACACAGGTCCTCCTCCATCCCGGCTCTCAACACACCTGTACACGAAGATCACCAATAAATTTAGGCAGGTCACGATAGAGATCAATAATATAAAACACCGTGGAAATAAATGGTATAAAATACCGACACAATGGAAATATAAACACACATGCAGTATAATGTGATCCTTTATTGACAACGTTTCACCCACACAGTCTGTGTGTGACTTGAAAAAGTCCACTGTGTGGGCGAAACGTTGTCAACAAAGGATCGCATTGTGTATATTTTTCCATCGACAGTAGGTCACATTGCCTTTTGATATATTGTAGTTTAAATCTACGTGACGTGTTATGTGGATGAGTCAGTATCATCGTTATATCATCAACATCGTTTAAAAAAAAATATTTCATGGGATACCTAAATAGGAATTTAACGAAGTATAGTATTTATAAGATTATTAGGTATCCCGGAAGGGGATACGCGTGGAGAACCATATATGTATTCTTAGATATACACTGCATACATCTGCACGAGTATATGTGTAATTTTTGAGTGTGTAGAGACATGTGTGTGTGTGTGTGTGTGTGTGTAAGTGAGGGGAGGGAGAGGTCGTACCTGGCGTGGTTGTTGCATGGTCGTCCAGCATGGAGACAAGGGTCGTCCTGAGGGCAGCCTGGGGAGCTGTTTTTGCTCAGAACTTCTCCTCCAAGGTCACGCAGCTGTATGGAAATCACTCTCGTTAGTTTATCGAACGGAGGATCGAGCCTCCTCTCCAATCACTGTGCTCAATGACACACGCATGAGCCGTGACACGACCCCTGCAACCACATATAGGCGAGTAAAAACACACACACACACACACACACACACACACACACACACACACAAAAGAGGTATGATAAAGCTCACGGAGAAGGGAGTGAGTGACCTAGTAGCGATCAGTGAAGAGGCGGGGCCAGGAGCTGTGAATCGACCCCTGCAGCCGCAATTAGGTGAGTACAACACACGAGAGTCTTACCTCACCATTAATCCGGAGGTTTCTCACGCATCCGTGGAAAGCAGAATCCGTGACAGCTGCGGGCCATCCGTGGTCTAAATAGTTGGGTGGTGCGTGGGCCATACCACCCACCTGTAGAGGCGCTGCCACCCTCAAGCCACCCACACCAGGAGGTAAGGAAGCAGCCATCCTGCACTCTCCTCCACCCTTACACGAGTCCACTATTACCTCCACTCTCTGTAAATATTACAGTAAACAGGTGATACAATAATAATAATAATAATAATAATAATAATAATAATAATAATAATAATAATAAAGTGTTTATTGCAATATACTTTCCTTAATATCAGATTCCGTATCTTTATCCTTGTTTTCAAATAAAAAAGGCACAATACCGTGACTGGAACGATACACAAATAACCTGCACATACAAGAGAGGAGCTTATGACCGAAGCGTCGTCGTGAGCTCCTCTCTTCTATGTGCGGGTTATTTGTGTATTCTTTTCATTTATTTTGCATTCATTTGTAGAAATTCTGATTAAAACAATACCTGTTGTCCCCATATAATATCGAGACGATGCCAGCGGCCGTCTGCCAGTGTGGGAGCGTGTGTCTGAGGCGTTGATGAACCATTGTTTGAAGATGCTGGCGACCCCTGGTCTGAAGATGAGGATGTTCTGTGGTCTGAGGAGGAGGATGATCCGTGGTTTGTGGCACCAGGCAACAACCCAGGATGTGTGGACGATAATGACTTAGGATGTGGGGCTACAGACGAAGATCCAGAGTGTTCGGACGACGATGATCCCAAATGCGAGGCTTCGGACGAGAACTCTGAATGCTTAGAAGACGATGGTCTGAAGTTCGAGGCTTCAGACGAGGAGCGAACGTGTTTAGAATATGTTGATGCGAAATATAAGGCTTCAGACGAGGGCCCAGGGTGTTTAGAATACAATGATGTGAAGTTTGAGGTGTCAGGGTATTTAGAAGACGAGGAGCCATAATCTTTATTAGACAATAGCCTGAAGTTTGGTTCTTTGGACGAAAACCCAGTGTGTTTAGAAGACGATGACTCGAGGCTTGAGGCTTCAAACGAAGATCCACTGTGTTGATTAGATAATGGCCTGTAGTTTGATTGCTTAGAAGACGATGGCGCGAAGTTTGAAACGTCAGACGTGAACCCAGAGTGTTCAGACGACGAGGACCCAGGGTTCAACGATACGGATTTCTTTCGACGTACGGAAGTGGGCGCCAGCAGCACTGGACTAGTACCTAAGTCCAGCATCACCCAGGGTCGTCCACCTCTCAGCTCCACACTTAACACGTCTTCCTGAACAAAAACTGTTTTTTACATTTCTTTAGCAACTAAAGCTTGGAAGGTAAGCTGGAATGCAGGTTACAGTAACTGGTTGCAGGCTTGCTCTAATTGCATTAATAATTATATTAATTTTGTGACTGCATTTATTCATGAGGTTAAAATGATATTTCCCGAGTTTTCAGGAAAAATATTCTCTAATCTTAAATAAACTTTAACTGCAACAAAATTGTATGAATCGACCAAGATAAGCACTTCTGTTATAAGCTATTACTGCCAATGATAACAATAATAATGACAATTTACCTGCATAAACTGTGTTGCTGGAGGTGTGAGTGAGGGTCCTGGACCAGCATACAAGAGGCGGCAGTCAGCGTGGGTAGTACGGAACTCCAGGCTGAGGTGTACATGAGGGCAGGTGGGTACTGAAGATACCCAAGCCCAGCCCTGACCTTCAAAATGGCGACTTAGCTGTTTGCAGATTGATCCACTCGTTCCGTGCGGGCACACGCAGCTTAGGTAACAGAAGAAGATTCGTGATGACACGAGAGATGTTTTTTTGTGTGTATTTTATCAGTATTGAAACATGAAATTGTGTTTAATAATCTAGAGAGAGAGAGAGAGAGAGAGAGAGAGAGAGAGAGAGAAATACAAACAGTGAAACAGAAACAAGAATAACGTACTGTGGTTGCTTGCTCGTTCTCAACGCCAAATGAAGTAATCTGCTGAAGAGGACACCAGTTGGAGGTCGGAAATGTGGCAAAAAGCTGTCGCTTTTGTTTCTGTCTCCATGTGGGTTTGGGTCACTTATGTTTCACTTATGTTTCACCGTCAAAAGTTTATTAAAAAAAACACAGTAGTGGAACAATACTGGAACAATACTGGAACAATTTATAACTAACACACAATGCCAGATATTTTATACCTGGCTCCACTACACTACGAAGCTAGATACCTTATACCTGGCTCCACTACACTACGAAGCTAGATACCTTATACCTGGCTCCACTACACTACGAAGCTAGATACCTTATACCTGGCTCCACTACACTACGAAGCTAGATACCTTATACCTGCTCCACTACACTACGAAGACTAGAATACCTTATACCTGGCTCCACTACACTACGAAGCTAGATACCTTATACATGGCCTCCACTACACTACGAAGCTAGATACCTTATACTGCTCCACTACACTACGAAGCTAGATACCTTATAACCTGCTCCACTAACACTACGAAGCTAGATACCTTAATACCTGGCTCCACTACACTACGAAGCTAGATACCTTATACCTGGCTCCACTACACTACGACAGAGCTAGATACCTTATACCTGCTCCACTACACTACGAAGCTAGATACCTTATTACCTGGCTCCACTACACTACGAAGCTTAGATACCTTATACCTGGCTCCACTACACTACGAAGCTAGATACCTTATACCTGGCTCCACTACACTACGAAGCTAGATACCTTATACCTGGCTCCACTACACTACGAAGCTAGATACCTTATACCTGGCTCCACTACACTACGAAGCTAGATACCTTATACCTGGCTCCACTACACTACGAAGCTAGATACCTATACCTGGCTCCACTACACTACGAAGCTAGATACCTTATACCTGGCTCCACTACACTACGAAGCTAGATACCTTATACCTGGCTCCACTACACTACGAAGCTAGATACTTATACCTGGCTCCACTACACTACGAAGCTAGATACCTATACCTGGCTCCACTACACTACGAAGCTAGATACCTTATACCTGGCTCCACTACACTACGAAGCTAGATACCTTATACCTGGCTCCACTACACTACGAAGCTAGATACCTTATACCTGGCTCCACTACACTACGAAGCTAGATACCTTATACCTGGCTCCACTACACTACGAAGCTAGATACCTTATACTTGGCTCCACTACACTACGAAGCTAGATACCTTATACCTGGCTCCACTACACTACGAAGCTAGATACCTTATACCTGGCTCCACTACACTACGAAGCTAGATACCTTATACCTGGCTCCACTACACTACGAAGCTAGATACCTTATACCTGGCTCCACTACACTACGAAGCTAGATACCTTATACCTGGCTCCACTACACTACGAAGCTAGATACCTTATACCTGGCTCCACTACACTACGAAGCTAGATACCTTATACCTGGCTCCACTACACTACGAAGCTAGATACCTTATACCTGGCTTCCACTACACTACGAAGCTAGATACCTTATACTGGCTCCACTACACTACGAAGCTAGATACCTTATACCTGGCTCCACTACACTACGAAGCTAGATACCTTATACCTGGCTCCACTACACAACACTGAGATAATTCCCTAACATTTCTAAAAACTAAGACAACCCGTAACTGTAGTCACCTAGCTGTATTGTTGTAGACAGTCTGTACTGTCTGCACAGACAGCCATGCTGTCTGCCAATTGAGTTCATATTTTGCGCCATGCTGATGCTGCCACCTATAGGCCTATCACTTCAGTATGCCCACCCCTGCATCTACCTCACACACTCAGCGGCCTAGACTCAGACAACAGGTCCCTACTCCTCTCTCCCTGGTGGCCCCTCGGGGAAGGTTCCTTGATGTTGGTGAGGGGCTCTTGATTTAGGGAATTGGATCTGTGCTCCAGTTCCCCGAATTAAGCCTGAATGCCTTCCACATTCCCCCCCCCCCAAGGCGCTGTATAATCCTACGGGTTTAGCGCTTCCCCTTACCTGGAGTTTACCTGGAGAGAGTTCCGGGGGTCAACGCCCCCGCGGCCCGGTCTGTGACCAGGCCTCCTGGTGGATCAGAGCCTGATCAACCAGGCTGTTAATGCTGGCTGCACGCAAACCAACGTACGAGCCACAGCCCGGCTGGTCAGGAACCGACTTTAGGTGCTTGTCCAGTGCCAGCTTGAAGACTGCCAGGGGTCTGTTGGTAATCCCCCTTATGTATGCTGGGAGGCAGTTGAACAGTCTCGGGCCCCTGACACTTATTGTATGGTCTCTTAACGTGCTAGTGACACTCCTGCTTTTCATTGGGGGGATGTTGCATCGTCTGCCAAGTCTTTTGCTTTCGTAGTGAGTGATTTTCGTGTGCAAGTTCGTTACTAGTCCCGCTAGGATTTTCCAGGTGTATATAATCATGTATCTCTCCCGCCTGCTTTCCAGGGAATACAGGTTTAGGAACCTCAAGCGCTCCCAGTAATTGAGGTGTTTTATCTCCGTTATGCGTGCCGTGAAGGTTCTCTGTACATTTTCTAGGTCAGCAATTTCACCTGCCTTGAAAGGTGCTGTTAGTGTGCAGCAATATTCCAGCCTAGATAGAACAAGTGACCTGAAGAGTGTCATCATGGGCTGGCATTCCCTAGTTTTGAAGGTTCTCATTATCCATCCTGTCATTTTTCTAGCAGATGCGATTGATACAATGTTATGGTCCTTGAAGGTGAGATCCTCCGACATGATCACTCCTAGGTCTTTGACGTTGGTGCTTCGCTCTATTTTGTGGCCAGAATTTGTTTTGTACTCTGATGAAGATTTAATTTCCTCGTGTTTACCATATCTGAGTAATAAAATTTCTCATCGTTGAACTTCATATTGTTTTCTGCAACCCACTGAAAGATTTGGTTGATGTCTGCCTGGAGCCTTGCAGTGTCTGCAATGGAAGACACTGTCATGCAGATTCGGGTGTCATCTGCAAAGGAAGACACGGTGCTGTGGCTGACATCCTTGTCTATGTCGGATATGAAGATGAGGAACAAGATGGGAGCGAGTACTGTGCCTTGTGGAACAGAGCTTTTCACCGTAGCTGCCTCGGACTTTACTCTGTTGACGACTACTCTCTGTGTTCTGTTAGTGAGGAAATTATAGATCCATCGACCGACTTTTCCTGTTATTCCTTTAGCAAGCATTTTGTGCGCTATTACGCCATGGTCCCCTCAAGGAAGGTTCCTTGATGTTGGTGAGGGGCTCTTGATTTAGGGAATTGGATCTGTGCTCCAGTTCCCCGAATTAAGCCTGAATGCCTTCCACATCCCCCCCCCCAGGCGCTGTATAATCCTCCGGGTTTAGCGCTTCCCCCTTGATTATAATAATAATAATACGCCATGGTCACACTTGTCGAAGGCTTTTGCAAAGTCTGTATATATTACATCTGCATTCTTTTTGTCTTTTAGTGCATCTATGACCTTGTCGTAGTGATCCAATAGTTGAGACAGACAGGAGCGACCTGTTCTAAACCCATGTTGCCCTGGGTTGTGTAACTGATGGGTTTCTAGATGGGTGGTGATCTTGCTTCTTAGGACCCTTTCAAAGATTTTTATGATATGGGATGTTAGTGCTATCGGTCTGTAGTTCTTTGCTGTTGCTTTACTGCCCCCTTTGTGGAGTGGGGCTATGTCTGTTGTTTTTAGTAACTGTGGGACGACCCCCGTGTCCATGCTCCCTCTCCATAGGATGGAAAAGGCTCGTGATAGGGGCTTCTTGCAGTTCTTGATGAATACGGAGTTCCATGAGTCTGGCCCTGGGGCAGAGTGCATGGGCATGTCATTTATCGCCTGTTCGAAGTCATTTGGCTTCAGGATAACATCGGATAGGCTTGTGTTAACCAAATTCTGTGGCTCTCTCATAAAAAAAAATCATTTTGATCTTCGACTCTCAGTCTGGTTAGAGGCTTGCTAAAAACTGAGTCATATTGGGACTTGAGTAGCTCACTCATTTCCTTGCTGTCATCTGTGTAGGACCCATCTTGTTTAAGTAGGGGCCCAATACTGGACGTTGTTCTCGACTTTGATTTGGCATAGGAGAAGAAATACTTTGGGTTTCTTTCGATTTCATTTATGGCTTTTAGTTCTTCCCGCGATTCCTGACTCCTATAAGATTCCTTTAGCTTAAGTTCGATGCTTGCTATTTCTCTGACCAGTGTCTCCCTACGCATTTCAGATATATTGACCTCTTTTAGCCGCTCTGTTATTCTTTCCCGTCGCCTGTAAAGGGAGCGCCTGTCTCTTTCTATTTTACATCTACTCCTCCTTTTTCTTAGAGGAATAAGCCTTGTGCATACATCGAGTGCCACCAAGTTAATCTGTTCTAGGCATAAGTTGGGGTCTGTGTTGCTTAGTATATCTTCCCAGCTTATATCGGTTAGGACTTGGTTTACTTGGTCGCACTTTATGTTTTTGTTATTGAAGTTGAATTTGGTGAATGCTCCCTCGTGACTAATCTCATTATGTCGGTCTGGGGCTCCGCGCATACATGACTGAACCTCAATTATGTTGTGATCTGAGTATATTGCTTTTGATATGGTGACATTTCTTATCAGATCATCATTGTTAGTGAAGATGAGGTCTAGTGTATTCTCCAGTCTAGTAGGCTCTATTATTTGCTGGTTTAAATTGAATTTTGTGCAGAGATTTAAAAGCTCGTGCGAGTGTGAGTTTTCATCAGAGCTGCCCCCTGGTGTTATTATTGCAACAATATTATTTGCTATATTCCTCCATTTTAGGTGCCTTAAGTTGAAATCCCCCAGGAGCAAGATGTTGAGGGCATGGCCCTCCCGGGCCATGGGCACTTAACACACTGCCTGTGTACCTCACGACATTGCAAATGAAGTAAGAAGCCTCTGAGACCTTTATCATTACTCCCCGCTGCAAGAACCACCCAATAATCTGGTAAACATTGTATCTGCTCCCGTTTACAGATCTTACTAGCACTCACATTATTCCTAGCCTCGTCGTGGGTCCTGTCATACCTACTCTTGAAACCCTGTATGGCTTCTGCTTCCATTATTTCCTTGTATAGGTCGCTGTGCTGAATATGTTAGTCTCAGCCATCTGATAATAGTAGATAGTCCACTATCTACTTCTCTGCTGTCATTCCCTATGCACCCTGAGGCTGAAGAAGTACTTCCTAACATCCTTATGATTACCTTGTCCTGGTCCCCTCGAGTTATTTCGAGGTTTCTGCAGTATCTCGCACGTTGTGAACATGTCTCTCCCTTGGTTCTTACAGGAGTGCCTAGTTAATTATACTAATACACTTGTGTACAAGAAAGTAACAGTATCAACAAAATGAGCGTTGGTATACGCCGGGAATTAAAAGCTTGTTCTCAAGCCCCTCAAAAGTGTATCCTAGAAGATGTTTATCAATTAATGTTGCAAAAGAATAGCCATCAAGGTTAATTAAATTCTTGTTTACTATCACGTTTTCTTTCTTTTTTTTTATCAGACCGAGTTCTGCCCCTTTGATGAACTTTCTTGAAAAGTTTACAAAGTTTTTATGCAAATAGTACTTTTTATCTGCGGGTTATTCATCGCAGATGCCTTTAGTTAAAGAAAATATAAAATATACATTTTTTAATAGACGGTAATAATGATTTACCTTATTACTTACCTGGGTCCTCTGGATTTTGTTATACAGCGGCCACCGTTGAGACAAGGATTGGGAAGGCAAGACGATGGATGGGTAACTGCAGCAACGCTAGGCTGATACACAGCGTTACTGGACGTTTGTTGCTGCTCCCCTTCCTGTTGTTGCTGCTGCTGGTGTTGCTGCTGCTGAAGTATCTGTGGCTGGCGAGTGCGACAGCTACATCCACTGGTCATAGTGCGGAACCGTGGCGTAATAACAGCTGTCTGGTTGGCATCAACAACCCAGGCTCTTGGTCCCTCAGTCTGGTCATGAGGTGGACCAGTAAGACACACTCCCACCCCCACGTCTGATATCTTCACACCACTCTCTCTCGAGACCTTAAAATATATACATGCAAAGGGTAAAATGTTTTAATTGCATCCAGAACTAACCTACAATCCGAAAAAACTGAAAACTAGACGAAGTAGTCACTGACTTTTTTTGGGTTATGCTAGAAAATCTACACATGTTGCTATGAATGATAATGTATATAACTGTATTTATTTGTTGTAAAGCCCATGCGGTTTAGTGCTTCTTTTTGATTATAATAACAATATTTGTTGTAAAGTCTAAGTATTACAAATTCAACAGAAGCCAAAATATGGTAAGATAAAAATATATAGGCAAAGTAAATTTACTATTACACGACGTTTCGCCCGCTGTTCTGCTTTCTCAGGTGACAAAGCTCCCTCCAGAGCGAGAAATCGTTAAACGAAAGGATTACTCTCTCTCTCTCTCTCTCTCTCTCTCTCTCTCTCTCTCTCTCTCTCTCTCTCTCTCTCTCTCTCTCTCTCTCTCTCTCTCTCTCTCTCTCTCTCTCTCCATGCACTTTAGATTCTTCATAAGAACACAAGAATTGAGGAGCACTGCGGCATGCCTACTGGCTCATACTTGGCAAATCTTTCCCACCCACATATCTGTCTAATAAAAGGCGTGACAGTGTGACTTTTATTCTTTTATAATACATAGAATGTTAAGATGAACATCTTACATAAAGGCAACAATAAAAGGACAGTGTATGAAATATATTGAACACATGTCGATTGGAGATATGATCCACATGGATCATAAATACAAAATAGCTTGTTCACGTGATTCGGTTTATTGAAGAGGACAACGTAGGTCTAAATCTACAGAGTGTCTGTCCTGTTATTGTCCCCATGTAGATAATGGTCTCGTGCTACGCACGAAAGTCTCACCTGGTGTCGGTGAAGGAGGAGGAGCTGGTCAAGAGGCTGACGTGGCCGAGCAGTTACCCAGAGCTGTGTCTCAGGTCCTCTGGAGGAGGCCAGACTAAGACCCTCCAGGGACACCACCATTACCTCCACTCCAGCCACCGCCTCCACTGACGCTACCAGCGCCTCCAGCAGCGACTTACCAACGTCCTGAATAGTCAATAAATACCATAGAAATCTAAATCAAGAAATATTGCCGCACCTGACCTTATATAAACAAGGATTAGATGAAATTTTAATTAGGTCATACATCAAAACATGAAATACCGTAGTAATTAAAAACTTTTTTATTAATAAAACTCTGTTGAAAAACTGCTACAGAACTGCTAGAATTATTTCAGTTGTTGTGAGTAGAGGATTTCTTACGATAATATAAAAGAAATCCATATTAACTAATCTTTCAGACGTTCACAACCTATCCATCTCTGTTGGAAAAAAGAGTTAGTTGTACTCCCAGGGTGTCGAGTCTCACCTGGTGGTATGTGATGAGACGTTGTGGTGGATGGATGGCCAGGGTAAGAGGGACGGCCCATGGGATGACTTCTTCACTGAGGCTAGTGACCAGCACACTGACGCTGGCTGCTACATCCAACTGTCCCTGTGTCTCGTCACTCACCCAGAACTGCAGCGAGTACCTGCAGACCAACTGTATTGTCTCTCACAGATTCTACACCACAATACACCTATGTAGTAGAAGCTTTTACAGGGACAGCGTTTCGCTCAGTGAGGAACTTTATAGGAGCATCACTTGATAAAGTTTTATATAGTTCAAAACATTATTGCAATAAAGAAAATCCTGTACTTCTGTGTTTTTCTCTATTTTGTCTATAGTTTGAATTGCTGTCCACAATACACCAAGCATGACATAGCAAACAAGCAAGCACTTAACGTACACACACGTACACACCATATACCTCCACTCATCACACTTAACAAGAGGCAAAATACATCCAGTATACGTTAGTTTTTTTACTGAGTAACTGTTGAACTGCTAAGAGACATAAAAGTGTATATAAGGAAATATATCGATCTCAGTAGATAATAAATCTAATATAAAGTAGTGACAGATGTCGCTTACTGATAGCTGTTTTTCATAAGAGTCAAAGTTTGCAAATGATGTTGCAGTAGCTTGGAAGAGTGTATATAACAATCCCTACGGGATCAAAAGAAAATGAATCCGAGGGACGTAGTTGATGGCTGTACTTTTGTGAATTCAGAAACTGAAGATATTGTCGTAGTTTCGGGGGGTATGCGTTATACATGTATCTTACTCAACAAGGGTTAGTGAGGAGACTTGCCTGCCATCTGTGGCGTGAGCACTCATAGCGAGTTGACCTGTGTTGTGGTCCAGCATGAACAACGGGTGCTGGTGTCCCTCTCTCCAAGACCACCTCTTGTCCCCAGCGTCCCAGTCGTCGGGGTCGTCCACGTACACACGACCTAGTGGCACCACCCCTGCCTGGCCCTGGCACCAGGGGGGCAGAGAGACTTGGTAAGCAAGAGTTAAACATTTACAGAGCACTAAGATCAAGAGAACTGCGACGTATCTCTTGAGTTTGTCTTAAAACTGCAGGGAGGCGGCACCTAGCGGAAAGTGATCTTACACCTGACAACCATGTTCAGCCAGCAATAAATAGGTACATGGGTCTTAGCAAAATGTTGTGGGTTACATCCTGGGTGGTGAAAGTATACCCTGGATATTCCAGGGCTCCGAAAAATGGAAAACTGAAGTGTAGGAAAAGAGGTGGGAACTTACTGCGATGCGTGTTACTGTGATGGTCTTGGTAGCTGGTCTCATTGGGTTGTCATTCCTGTCGGCGACGGTGACGGTAACAGTGACGGTGGCTATCAAACCCCTAGCGTCCCCCACCAGCAGCGGTAGACAGCGCTCAGAGGCCACTTCTCTGTCTAAGGGTCGCAGAGACGTGACCACCGCCACACCTCGACCCTCGTCTCCTCCTGCAGTAAGGTACATAATGCATGGCTAGGAGGCTTGTCCAGGCACTGAGGTACCTTCCTTACCGGTTGTTAAAGTCACTTGTCCATAGACAGTTGGCCTGTTCTTTGGTGTGTGTGTGTGTGTGTGTGTGTGTGTGTGTGTGTGTGTGTGTGTGTGTGTGTGTGTGTGTGTGTGTGTGTGTGTGTGCGCGCGCGCGTGTGTGTTAGAGATGTATCTGATGTGAAAATTTAGATATCCGCTGATGCGGATGCATATGCGGATATCTGTTTACAGTAAAATGCGGATGCGAATGCAAGAAATTGTGCGGATGTTGCGCGGATACGGATGTGGATATCCGATACATCTCTAGTAAGTATTGTTTTGGCTGAGTGTGGAATGAATGTGGATGCCAAGTTACTTTACTGATATCAGCTTTTTTATAGATTTGGCAGCAACAAAGCCACGAGACAAGATTGAATAGCAACACTAGGCCTTTCGCACCGTCCCCAGTACTTCGTCAGGAGCTTGCAATACGAAGAATCTAAAAACAAATAGGAGATGAAGAATTCGGGAGACAACCAGCGAGGTACAGACGAGACAGACATCACTGCCAATGGTCTTTTTAACTTGCCCAAACACACACACACATACACACACACACATATATATATATATAATATATATATATATATATATATATATATATTATATAATATATATATATATATATATATATATATATAATACACACACACACAAACACAACTAAACAAAGAAGACATGAGATGCGATCGTACTTACTAGGATCGAAATCTACAGCAAAATCCTGTTTTAAGTTGTCTGAGACATTGGTGGCCAAAGCGATGGTGAAGGGAGGTCCATGTCCCAGGGTCCAGTCATCAGCGTCGTCCAGGGTGATGTGGGCCACCTGGAGTGGTCCACTGTTCTCTGATACCTGTGGATATGGTCAATAGGTAATGTGTTGTGTTTAGTGGACGAAGGATCGAGCCTCAAAGACGGACATAGCATTCCACGTATTATAAGTGTAATAATGGCATTATATCAACTGGAAGAATTTAAAATCAACCCACAAATTATGGATGAAAACGAGGAGACATTTCGGATTTTCTTGAACCAGGCAGGACCGAAACCTCGTCCTGATTGTGGTTTGATCGTCTCGAAATAAACGGATGGGGTACCTGCAATAGGGCGGGTCCAGATACATGGGGCGCGTTGTCGTTGACATCAGTTACGGTAATCAAGAGCGTAGCGGTAGCGGTGCGTGCCGGGTCACCGCCGTCCACCGCCAATACCAGTACTGCGTGTCCAGCCGCGGCTTCACGGTCCAGCACTCGGCGCAAGCGAACCCGACCCTCCGAGTCCACGGTGAACCGCCTGCCGGGGTCGCTGCTGGGTTCAATATCGTAGTGAATCTCTCCGTCACCACCCTGTGTGTGTGGGTGAGGGAGGAGGGACTGAGGATGGTATGGAGTAATATATATATATATATATATATATATATATATATATATATATATATATATATATTATATATATATATATATAAATATATATATATATATATATACTTCTTTCTTTCAACATACCAGCCGTATCCCACCGAGGCAGGGTGGCCCAAAAGAAAAAACTAAAGTTTCTCTTTTTAAATTTAGTAATACATACAGGAGAAGGGGTTACTAGCCCCTTGCTCCCGGCATTTTAGTCGCCTCTTACAACACGCATGGCTTACGGAGGAAGAATTCTGTTCCACTTCCCCATGGAGGTAAGAGGAAATAAACAAGAACAAGAACTAGAAAGAAAATAGAAGAAAACCCAGAGGGGTGTGTGTGTGTATATATATGCTTGTACATGTATGTGTAGTGTGACCTAAATGCAAGTAGAAGTAGCAAGACATACCGGAAATCTTGCATGTTTATGAGACAGACAAAAGACACCAGCAATCCTACCATCATGTAAAACAATTACAGGCTTTCGTTGTACACTCACTTGGCAGGACGGTAGCACCTCCCTGGTGGTTGCTGTTTACCAACCTACTACCTAATATATATATATATAATATATATATATATATATATATATATATATATATATATATAATATATATATATATATATATATATATAACGTCGTGTTGAATAGGTAAAATTGGTCAATTAGCAAGAACTCATTTAAAATTAAGTCCTTTCTAAAATTTTCTCTTATATGTTTAAATATATATTTTTTTTTCATTTATGTTAATGTAAAAAATTAATAATTTTGTACCAAAAGATCCTTTGAAAACTTACCTGACTTTATTACAACAAGCGCAATTTAATTTAGCCTAATCCAACTAAATATATTTTAGATAAAATTAGTAGTAGGTTGGTAGGCAGCAACCGCCCAGGGAGGTACTACCGTCCTGTGGTAGTAGGTTGGTAGACAGCAACCACCCAGGGAGGTACTACCGTCCTGCCAAGTGAGTGTAAAACGAAAGCCTGTAATTGTTTTACATGATGGTAGGATTGCTGGTGTCTTTTGTCTGTCTCATAAATATGCAAGATTACAGGTACGTCTTGCTACTTCTACTTACACTTAGGTCACACTACACATACATGTACACGTTTATTTATACACACCCATCTGAGTTTTCTTTGATTTTATCTTAATAGTTCTTGGTCTTATTACTTTTCCTTTTATATCAATGGGGAAGTGGAATAAGAATCTTTCCTCCGTAAGCCATGCGTGTTGTAAAAGTCAACTAAAATGCCGGGAACAATGGGCTAGTAACCCCTTTTCCTGTTAAGATTACTAAAAAGAATAAGAAGAAAATTGTCAAAGTGGGAAGTCTGAATGTGCGTGGATGTTGTGCAAATGATAAGAAAGAGATGACTGTGGATGTTATGAATGAGAAGAAGCTGGATGTCCTGGCTTTAAGTGAAACAAAGCTGAAGGGGGTGGGAGAGTTTCAGTGGAGAGGAATAAATGGGATTAGGTCAGGGGTTTCAAATAGAGTTAGAGCTAAAAAAGGAGTAGCAATAAAAGAGCAGGAAAAGAGGGACTACAAATGTATAAATTCAAGGATTATGTGGAGTAAAATAAAGATTGGATGTGAAAAGTGGGTTATAGTAAGCGTGTATGCACCTGGAGAAGAGAGAAGTGTAGAGGAGAGAGAGAGATTCTGGGAAATGTTGAGTGAATGCGTGGGGAGTTTTGAATCAAGTGTGAGAGCAATGGTGGTTGGGGATTTCAATGCTAAAGTGGGTAAAAATGTTATGGAGGGAGTAGTAGGTAAATTTGGGGTGCCAGGGGTAAATGTAAATGGGGAGCCTTTAATTGAGCTATGTGTAGAAAGAAATTTGGTAATAAGTAATACATATTTTATGAAAAAGAGGATAAATAAATATACAAGGTATGATGTAGCACGTAATGAAAGTAGTTTGTTAGATTATGTATTGGTGGATAAAAGGTTGATGGGTAGGCTCCAGGATGTACATGTTTATAGAGGGGCAACTGATATATCGGATCATTATCTAGTTGTAGCTACAGTTAGAGTAAGAGGTAGATGGGAAAAGAGGAAGGTGGCAACAACAAGTAAGAGGGAGGTGAAAGTGTATAAACTAAGGGAGGAGGAAGTTCGGGCGAGATATAAGCGACTATTGGCAGAAAGGTGGGCTAGTGCAAAGATGAGTAGTGGGGGGGGGGTTGAAGAGGGTTGGAATAGTTTTAAAAATGCAGTATTAGAATGTGGGCCAGAAGTTTGTGGTTATAGGAGGGTGGGGGCAGGAGGAAAGAGGAGTGATTGGTAGAATGATGAAGTAAAGGGTGTGATAAAAGAGAAAAAGGTAGCTTACGAGAGGTTTTTACAAAGCAGAAGTGTTATAAGAAGAGCAGAGTATATGGAGAGTAAAAGAAAGGTGAAGAGAGTGGTGAGAGAGTGCAAAAGGAGAGCAGATGAAAGAGTGGGAGAGGCACTGTCAAGAAATTTTAATGAAAATAAGAAAAAATTTTGGAGTGAGTTAAACAAGTTAAGAAAGCCTAGGGAAAGTATGGATTTGTCAGTTAAAAACAGAGTAGGGGAGTTAGTAGATGGGGAGATGGAGGTATTAGGTAGATGGCGAGAATATTTTGAGGAACTTTTAAATGTTAAGGAAGAAAGAGAGGCGGTAATTTCATGCACTGGTCAGGGAGGTATACCATCTTTTAGAAGTGAAGAAGAGCAGAATGCAAGAGTGGGGAGGTACGTGAGGCATTACGTAGAATGAAAGGGGGTAAAGCAGCTGGAACTGATGGGATCATGACAGAAATGTTAAAAGCAGGGGGGGGGGGGGAATATAGTGTTGGAGTGGTTGGTACTTTTGTTTAATAAATGTATGAAAGAGGGGAAGGTACCTAGGGATTGGCGGAGAGCATGTATAGTCCCTTTATATAAAGGGAAAGGGGACAAAAGAGATTGTAAAAATTATAGAGGAATAAGTTTACTGAGTATATCAGGAAAAGTATACGGTAGAGTTATAATTGAAAGAATTAGAGGTAAGACAGAATGTAGGATTGCGGACGAGCAAGGAGGCTTCAGAGTGGGTAGGGGATGTGTAGATCAAGTGTTTACATTGAAACATATATGTGAACAGTATTTAGATAAAGGTAGGGAAGTTTCTATTGCATTTATGGATTTAGAAAAGGCATATGATAGAGTGGATAGAGGAGCAATGTGGCAGATGTTGCAAGTATATGGAATAGGTGGTAAGTTACTAAATGCTGTAAAGAGTTTTTATGAGGATAGTGAGGCTCAGGTTAGGGTGTGTAGAAGAGAGGGAGAATACTTCCCGGTAAAAGTAGGTCTTAGACAGGGATGTGTAATGTTACCATGGTTGTTTAATATATTTATAGATGGGGTTGTAAAAAAAGTAAATGCTAGGGTGTTCGGGAGAGGGGTGGGATTAAATTATGGGGAATCAAATTCAAAATGGGAACTGACACAGTTACTTTTTGCTGATGATACTGTGCTTATGGGAGATTCTAAAGAAAAATTGCAAAGGTTAGTGGATGAGTTTGAGAATGTGTGTAAAGGTAGAAAGTTGAAAGTGAACATAGAAAAGAGTAAGGTGATGAGAGTATCAAATGATTTAGATAAAGAAAAATTGGATATCAAATTGGGGAGGAGGAGTATGGAAGAAGTGAATGTTTTCAGATACTTGGGAGTTGACGTGTCGGCGGATGGGTTTATGAAGGATGAGGTTAATCATAGAATTGATGAGGGAAAAAAGGTGAGTGGTGCTTTGAGGTATATGTGGAGTCAAAAAACGTTATCTATGGAGGCAAAGAAGGGAATGTATGAAAGTATAGTAGTACCAACACTCTTATATGGATGTGAAGCTTGGGTGGTAAATGCAGCAGCGAGGAGACGGTTGGAGGGAGTGGAGATGTCCTGTCTAAGGGCAATGTGTGGTGTAAATATTACGCAGAAAATTCGGAGTGTGGAAATTAGGAAAAGGTGTGGAGTTAATAAAAGCATTAGTCAGAGGGCAGAAGAGGGGTTGTTGAGGTGGTTTGGTCATTTAGAGAGAATGGATCAAAGTAGAATGACATGTAAAGCATATAAATCTATAGGGGAAGGAAGGAGGGGTAGGGGTAGTCCTCGAAAGGGTTGGAAAGAGGGAGTAAAGGAGGTTTTGTGTGCAAGGGGCTTGGACTTCCAGCAAGCGTGCATGAGCGTGTTAGATAGGAGTGTAATAAAGTTGGTAGAATTACCGACAATATGTAAAGTAAAAGGACACAAGTGCAACTAATGTGACATTTATTGTGGCAACGTTTCGCTCTCCAGGAGCTTTATCAAGCCATTACAAACAATACATGGACACAGAGGGTATATAAAGGCTCAGAGTGAGGTGAATACTAGTGAGGTACCATTTCGATGTTCACTAGTGGTAGTAGTAGTAGTAGTAGTGGTAGTGACAAAAGCAAATTCAAATTCAGAGACGCCCAATTAGTGATAAAAGAAACTAATTTCCGCACACGCAAGTGCCTTGAATCAGCACTGATCGCTGTTTCGAATACAATTAAACAAAACAACGGCAGCTTCACCATCTCCGAAGTCTTAGCAAGAATCCTCCTGAAAACAGTAAACCCTGCCATCACATAGTCTCTCCTGTTATACTACACAAAGCACAGAGAGTGAACACTGAAACAACCTGCCTCATTCCAGTTTATATTTGTCCAACCTATTTTTATGTTACCCAAGTAATAGCTTTTATATCCTTTTACATGTACGAATTAATTGCTTTTGTCACTACCACTACTACTACTACTACTACCACTAGTGAACATCGAAATGGTACCTCACTAGTATTCACCTCACTCTGAGCCTTTATATACCCTCTGTGTCCATGTATTGTTTGTAATGGCTTGATAAAGCTCCTGGAGAGCGAAACGTTGCCACAATAAATGTCACATTAGTTGCACTTGTGTCCTTTTACTTTACATAGATAGGAGTGAATGGAGACGAATGATATTTGGGACCTGACGATCTGTTGGAGTGTGAGCAGGGTAATATTTAGTGAAGGGATTCAGGGAAACCGGTTATTTTCATATAGTCGGACTTGAGTCCTGGAAATGGGAAGTACAATGCCTACACTTTAAAGGAGGGGTTTGGAATATTGGCAGTTTGGAGGGATATGTTGTGTGTCTTTATATGTGTATGCTTCTAAACTGTTGTATTCTGAGCACCTCTGCAAAAACAGTGATAATGTGTGAGTGTGGTGAAAGTGTTGAATGATGATGAAAGTATTTTCTTTTTGAGGATTTTCTTTCTTTTTTGGGTCACCCTGCCTCGGTGGGAGACGGCCGACTTGTTGAAAAAAAAAATTACAATAATATAATAATAAACATAATGAAATATATTTTTTCCGTTAGGTTCAGAATGATTTTTTCGAAATTATTGCATACACAAATTTCACTTGCCTTATTCGGCAAGAAGAGCGTTGCTATTTAAGCCAAAATAGCAAGTTTTACCTGTTCGGCACGACTTATCAGAGGTTACTGGACACGGACAAGGAAATCAATCTGTTTTTCTCTCAATATATTACATTTATGTTCCTTTAGCGACTTTTTTCTGACATTTATTCCACAGCAACAATTGTCAAGGCAACACTTTTTGCCTCTTGTCTTTCTAAATCCATTTTTTTATATATCCCCTTCCGTCGAATTATTTATTTCTCGTCCGCATCCATAAGTTATCACTCCACTTCCTCTCCATTTTAACTCTTTGTTTGGAATTTATTTCTTTTATACTGACAGTATCTTCTGTTGTGAACACTGCTGGAACTGTTACACTGCAGTATCTTCTGTTGTGAACACTGCTGGAACTGTTACACTGACAGTATCTTCTGTTGTGAACACTGCTGGAACTGTTACACTGACAGTATCTTCTGTTGTGAACACTGCTGGAACTGTTACACTGACAGTATCTTCTGTTGTGAACACTGCTGGAACTGTTATACTGACAGTGTCTTCTGTTGTGAACACTGCTGGAACTGTTATACTGACAGTATCTTCTGTTGTGAACACTGCTGGAACTGTTACACTGACAGTATCTTCTGTTGTGAACACTGATGGAACTGTTATACTGACAGTATCTCCTGTTGTGAACACTGCTGGAACTGTTATACTGACAGTATCTTCTGTTGTGAACACTGATGGAACTGTTATACTGACAGTATCTCCTGTTGTGAACACTGCTGGAACTGTTATACTGCAGTATCTTCTGTTGTGAACACTGCTGGAACTGTTACACTGACAGTATCTTCTGTTGTGAACACTGCTGGAACTGTTACACTGACAGTATCTTCTGTTGTGAACACTGCTGGAACTGTTACACTGACAGTATCTTGTTGTGAACACTGCTGGAACTGTTATACTGACAGTATCTTCTGTTGTGAACACTGCTGGAACTGTTACACTGACAGTATCTTCTGTTGTGAACACTGATGGAACTGTTACACTGACAGTATCTTCTGTTGTGAACAGTGCTGGAACTGTTACACTGACAGTATCTTCTGTTGTGAACACTGATGGAACTGTTACACTGACAGTATCTTCTGTTGTGAACACTGATGGAACTGTTACACTGACAGTATCTCCTGTAGTGAACAGTGCTGGAACTGTTACACTGACAGTATCTTCTGTTGTGAACACTGATGGAACTGTTACACTGACAGTATCTCCTGTTGTGAACACTGCTGGAACTGTTACACTGACAGTATCTTCTGTTGTGAACACTGCTGGAACTGTTACACTGACAGTATCTTCTGTTGTGAACACTGCTGGAATTGTTACACTGACAGTATCTTCTGTTGTGAACACTGCTGGAACTGTTACACTGACAGTATCTTCTGTTGTGAACACTGCTGGAACTGTTACACTGACAGTATCTTCTGTTGTGAACACTGCTGGAATTGTTACACTGACAGTATCTTCTGTTGTGAACACTGCTGGAACTGTTACACTGACAGTATCTCCTGTTGTGGACAGTGCTGGAACTGTTACACTGACAGTATCTTCTGTTGTGAACACTGCTGGAACTGTTACACTGACAGTATCTTCTGTTGTGAACACTGCTGGAACTGTTACACTGACAGTATCTCCTGTTGTGAACACTGCTGGAACTGTTACACTGACAGTATCTTCTGTTGTGAACACTGCTGGAACTGTTATACTGACAGTATCTTCTGTTGTGAACACTGCTGGAACTGTTACACTGACAGTATCTTCTGTTGTGAACACTGCTGGAACTGTTACACTGACAGTATCTCCTGTTGTGAACACTGCTGGAACTGCTACACTGACAGTATCTCCTGTTGTGAACACTGCTGGAACTGTTACACTGACAGTATCTTCTGTTGTGAACACTGCTGGAATTGTTACACTGACAGTATCTTCTGTTGTGGACAGTGCTGGAACTGTTACACTGACAGTATCTTCTGTTGTGAACACTGCTGGAACTGTTACACTGACAGTATCTTCTGTTGTGAACACTGCTGGAACTGTTACACTGACAGTATCTCCTGTTGTGAACACTGCTGGAACTGTTACACTGACAGTATCTCCTGTTGTGAACACTGCTGGAACTGTTATACTGACAGTATCTTCTGTTGTGAACACTGCTGGAACTGTTACACTGACAGTATCTTCTGTTGTGAACACTGCTGGAACTGTTACACTGACAGTATCTTCTGTTGTGAACACTGCTGGAACTGTTACACTGACAGTATCTTCTGTTGTGAACACTGCTGGAACTGTTACACTGACAGTATCTTCTGTTGTGAACACTGCTGGAACTGTTACACTGACAGTATCTTCTGTTGTGAACACTGCTGGAACTGTTACACTGACAGTATCTTCTGTTGTGAACACTGCTGGAACTGTTACACTGACAGTATCTTCTGTTGTGAACACTGCTGGAACTGTTACACTGACAGTATCTTCTGTTGTGAACACTGCTGGAACTGTTACACTGACAGTATCTTCTGTTGTGAACACTGCTGGAACTGTTACACTGACAGTATCTTCTGTTGTGAACACTGCTGGAACTGTTACACTGACAGTATCTTCTGTTGTGAACACTGATGGAACTTTTTTCATTAAAAGCTTCACACATCTTCTCCTCAGTTTTAATAAAACTCTCATCATTATTATTTACCATTTATTCTGTTTTAAGGTTTAGTTAAATTTTTACTCTGGAACGAAAGATTTGATCTTTCCTCTTGTTGCTGGAACTTTATCAAAATTTTTTGTTTCTCTCTCTTTTTTTCCATTTGTATATTCATTTTGGCGTGTGTGTGTGTGTGTGTGTGTGTGTGTGTGTGTGTGTGTGTGTGTCTATTTACATATACACAACTCAAACAAAGGAATTGCCTTACAAATATATACAATAACGTGTGTGTGCCTGTGTATTCCTGTGTGTGTGTGTGTGTGTGTGTGTGTGTGTGTGTGTGTTTGTATGTGTGTACTGGACCAAGTTTCAAAGCAAAATTACAGTTTATCACCAATAGCCTGATTGATCAGAGAGCAGGACACGATTAAGGGGACGGAGGATCGAGCCTCCATCACTCTGCTCAGAATAACCCCACACTGGTCTGAGGATGAGTGCTCTACAATGATTCATCACACTGATTCTTCTGAAGAGGGCCTCAATTTAAGGTCGACATATGCAATACCAACATCTTTTCTTATCTCTCGTAAAAAAAATTTGTAGTGAACTTGTATAGACAATATCCGGAGACTTTATATTGAAAATCGTAATGAAATTGAATGGGCTTCATGTACAGACTATCTTGATAGTCCTGGATAGTGCTGGGTGCTAGCCATAATAGTCAACTAACACCTATTTAATGCTACGTGAAGAGGGAAAGTAGGCGTGAGGAGGCTTGCCAAAATATTTAACAGCAGTGCCACCTCCTCCAGCTGCTTCAGCAGTAATAGCAGTAGCATCAGCAGCAGCAGCATTGATATTAGATGCTGCAGCAGTAGTGATATTAGCAGCAGCAGCAGAAGCAAGAGAAGCAGAAAATGCAACATCGATATTAGCTGTTCCTGCACTACTAGCAGTAACAGTAGTAGCAGCAGCAGCAGCAGCAGCAGCAGTGAAGGGCTAAGACTGACCTGGTCTAGGTCAGTTGCGGTGAAGGAAGCCAGTGGGTGACCCAGTGGTGTGTTCTCCGCCAGGGTCAAGTTGACCACACTGGTGACCAGGTGGGGGTCGTTGTCGTTGTCGTCTTCCAGCACGACCTTCACCCAGGTGTCGTCCATGTGGCTCTCGTCCCACCACCGTCGCTCCTCCTGTAGTTCCACACACAAAAAATAAGTTTATCTTGTGATTATGACTGAACTAAGAAAGAGGGCGATTTACTCTGTGTATTCGCTCCCTTGATCTGTCTATATCTAGGTTTTGTGTGTGTCTATGTATGTTCATGTCTATATGTTTATGTCTATGTCTCTCTCTCTCTCTCGCTCTCTCTCTGTTGCCCTTTCTTGCCCTCATTTTCTAGCCTTCCTCGCTCTATAACTTTCCCATCTTTCTAAATCAAAAGCATATCTGTTACAGATGCACCTGCCATCTGTAACAGATATGCTCCCAGCTGGGCAAGTTGATTACACCTGGATGTGACGCACTGACTTACTCTGAGACAGGCATCGCCCTGTAGTTCACAACTTCTGGTCTCCATCTCATTGTACTCAGGCGCCTCGGAAGCCTGAAGAAGCGACGGAGCTAGAGGTCAACTCCCCTTAAGAGACAGGAGGTATAGCTCAACCCTCCGAAGAGACCCAAGAGGTGAACTCCCAGGAGAATCAGCTCAACATTCAAGAAGACCTGGAGCTGGAACTTTGTCAGAAGACCAAAAGCTCAAGTGACTAAAACCCGCGTCAGGAAACACTTGTCCTGTTTGCTGACGAGTCTTACCTAATTTCGGCACCATTTAAGAAATCCTTCCAAATAATCTGTTTAGTTCTTGAGTAAACTTCAAGCATTAAGATGAGCGAGATGTTAATGTATTTTTTGAGAAATGGGTCATTAAACATATCGTAAAAAACTCCGTCATTACTTACGTCCTTGACTCGAGACTTCCAAGTGAGCCCGTGGTAGACCATCTGAAAAGACCCGCTGGCAAGCAGCACACGTGTAGCACCTCGTCACCCAAGATAAGCCAATCAAGAGGCCCAGGAGCTAGGGTTCAACTCACTACAGACTTACCTGGGACACACACACACACAGCTGGGACGCATACATTACCCCAGCGACAAGTCAGATTGAAAGAAAAAATGCGCTTCTCATATTCTTACAGCAACAAGGATGGAGGAGACACATATCCGCGAAAATCCTCTTGTTTTGTGCCAGATTATGAACCATAAAAAGTCTGGCCTCGGGGAGTCGAACATTGCGGAGGACACAACCGAAATTTAAGGAAAAACTAAAATGTCGTAGCTTGTTTTTTTTTTCTCGTCTCTTTTATTTAGTCTGTCGTATTTCACCTTCATTTTTCGGTGTTCATTTTTTTTAGATCTAATGGATTGACATTACTGTTTAGTTTTACCCATGTTTTGTTTATTATTTATTTTAGTATGTTATTTTTCCAGCCTCTCCTCGTTTTGCTTTTAAGATAACATTACTGCGTCTCCCTATTGTTGCAAGTCTATCACAAGCCTCCCATTCGTATTTTGTATGGGGTTTTCAAAATTTTTCTTCTGCACTTGTGATATGATTCTCAGTAATCTTGTTCAGATCCTGTTTTGTGGTGTTATTTAATATTTTATACCACCTTCTAATTTATAATGTTTTAAATAAAATATATAAAAAAACATCCATCTCTGTCTCTCTCTCACCTTGTCAGAAACCTGAACTCTGAAACTGAATCCCCGGCGCTGAAGCTGGTCCTCGAAGTCGAGCGTGTGAAGAACTTGCAGAGATCCACTGTAGTTCCTGGCTGCTACCACCGTGAATCTTTCCCATCCATATCCACTCCTCTCCACTACCTGCCACGGTAGTGGATGAGTGGAGAGACAAATGGACCGATTAGACTGCTATCCTCCGGCCTCCACCACAACAAAACACTTCACCAGAAGAATGAGAAGATGCGGTAGAGAAACTCGAGGTGGCATACCTTGAAAGCGAACTGGTTGGTAGTGTCTGGGTCTTGGAGTGTGAGGAGAGCCAAGGTGGTGTTAGGTGAAGCTGTCTCCTTCACCTTCACCTTCCACTCGCGGCGGGTGAACCGAGGACCCACGTCGTTCTCGTCTCCCAAAGACACAACGACCGTTCCTGTTCCTGTGCTCGTGGGAAGCGGGGAAAGGAAGGTCGTGGTTGGCATTGTGAGAGTCGTGAGGGAAAGGGGACGTACGTTTTGAAATACGTATTGTGCTTGAAATATGCATATGAAATATTAAAAAATAATGTATGTTGTGGATGAAAGGATGATGTTGAATTGAAGGATGTATATGCCTGGACGATATAAACAGTTCGCTGGGATGAGGCTGAGATTTTTCTCTGAGGTATTTCGTCTAACCTAAACATTAATCGTACATAGCATAAAGGAAAGTCTAAAGATTCATTTATAATGTTCATGATTCATTATTCAGTGGATGATTATCAAGGAGGGAGGCAAGTTGATGACTTCGGTACCACTTCTACTACCGAATGCTAGGAAAAAAAATGACCTGGGAACTTAACTCACAATACTGGTAAGATACACTGAATCCAAATGGCGTAATTCAACAAAAGTGAAGAAAAAAAAAACATTGCAGAGCAAGCTTTTATTGGAATGTTTGTCTAGAAATGTATCAACACAGTTCTGGTAAGATCATGTGAGGTTTAAGGTGACCATAGGATGAACAAGACTTGACCAACGACCTCCCAGCCAGGACTCACCTTTGAGGCCACCACCGTCAGAAGCCACAACTTGGATGACGAATGATGGTGTTTGTTCCCGATCCAGACAACACAAGGCCGTTCGTATGCTGCCAGAGAAACAAACACCAGTCAGACAGGCACACAGAGACAGACAGACGACGGACAGACAAACAGACACACATACAGAACGAGCTCTACTCTGATTAAAAATGGGTAACTGTTTACCTACAGAATTATATACAAAAATTTTTTTTGCTGTTTTAGCGAGGTAAAACAAATACTGAAGACTCAGACTGATGTTAAAACGAGATTAGGATATTTTTGAATTAGAGAATATAAACAGAAAAAAAAAATTATGCATTTCATGGAGCAGAGATAATCTGACAAGAACCAAAAAACACTTGGAGAATGAGAAAAGGTGGTGGGAGTAGGCTGGTTTGATATGAGGAGGAGGAGGAAGATTCACCTTCTCTGAGCATCAAGACACAGCTCTTGAAGGAACACGGAAGGAATAAGCCATTTATTATAGGGGGAGCACTAAACCCGTAGGGATTATACAACGCCTGTGGAGGGATGGGATGGAAGGCACTCAGGCTTAATTCAGGGAACTGGAGCACAGATCCAATTCCTTAGATCAAGAGCCCCTCACCAGCATCAAGGAACCTTCCTTAAGGGGAGAAATAACCCAAGAAACACTTGAATAGAGAAAATTGAAAGACTTTTTCCACGTGCCAACTTTTGGATCCCCGAATTAATATCTGATTTACTTGACTCTATCCACCTTAACAGATTCTGTAAACTCACTCACTCACTCTCTCACTTTCTCTCACTTTCTCTCACCTGCCAGTTACAGCATCAATAGAGAAGATGGGCCGCCCAGACTGCTCGTCGATAACATTCTTGTCGACAGAGTAGGTGATGACAGCGTTAGAGCTCTCACGAGGGTCGTCGTGGTCAGTGGCTACTACCCTCGTCACCTCCGTCCCTGTACAACAAACCAATATACGATAAATAAACAAAAACAAAACAGAGGATCGAACCGGGGTCTTCCGGGAATGACAGTCCCAACACTGTCATCCTGCTATTCCGCCTGTCAATGTGAAGGATTTACAGTAATATATATATATATATAAGGGGTTACTACTACTGTGGGGTTTCAGGTATAATCTTGATGTTTCTCTCACCTGCCTCGGAGTTCTCCAAGACGCTGGCATCAATGATATCTTGAGGGAAGAATGGGGCGTTGTCGTTGATGTCCTTAACATTGACGTGCACCTGGGCGTGAGCCTCATGCACGCCGTCCGTAGCTGTCACCCATAGACGCCAGCGGGCACGTCCCCAGGGAGCGTCCCTGTCTAAAGGCTGTACGTTGGAGATAAGAAGAGGAAACATGCGCATTACATTAAATATTAGGATTTCGATATTATATATTCAAATGTATTCAGAAAAAAATATATCAATGTGAATATATATATATATATATATATATATATATATATATATATATATATATATATATATATATATATATATATATATATATATATATATGTCGTGCCGAATAGGCAGAACTTGCGATCTTGGCTTAAATAGCAACGTTCATCTTGCCATACAGGACAAGTGAAAATTTGTGTATGCAATAATTTCGCCAAAATCATTCTGAACCTAACGAAAAAAATATATTTCACTTTGTTTGTTTAGTATTAAATTATTGTAAACAAATCTAAAATATATTTAGTTGGGTTAGGCTAAAATAAATTGAGCTTGTTATAATAAGGTTAGGTAAGTTTTCTAAGTTCCTTTTGGTGCAAAATTATAAATTTTTACATCAACATTAATGGAAAAAATATATCTTTAAATGTATAAGAGAAAATTTTAGAGACGACTTAATTTTAAATGAGTTCTTGCTAATTGACCAGTTTTACATATTCGGCTCGACATATATATATATATATATATATATATATATATTATATATATATATATATATATATATATATATATATATATAATGCAAACAATCGCAGACGGGCGATCTTAACTATGCAGGACAAGCCACGGAAGGAGGGGGGGGGGTTGAAATCTTTAGCTCAAATACTTTCACACTTCTCAGTGCGTCATCAGGAGCTGTGCAATGTTGCAAGGGAGCAACCAAAGCAGGGAGAGAGATCTCAGAGTAGCGTAGGCGTCACTGGCCACGGTTACCCTTAGACTAAAGTCTATTTATTAAGTGTCTAAGGGTAGTCTAAGGGTAGCCGTAGCCAGTGACACCTACACTACTCTGAGATCTCTCTCCCTGCTTTGGTTGCTCCCTTGCAACATTGCACAGCTCCTGATGATGCACTGAGAAGTGTGAAAGTATTTGAGCTAAAGATTTCCACCCCCGCCGTGGCTAGTCCTGTATATATATATATATATATATATATATATATATATATATATATATATATATATATATATATATATATATATACGTGCCGAATAGGCAGAACTTGCGATCTTGGCTTAAATAACAACGTTCATCTTGCCATATAGGAGAAGTGAAAATTTGTGTATGCAATAATTTCGCCAAAATCATTCTGAACCTAACGAAAAAAATATATTTCATTGTGTTTGTTTAGTATTAAATTACTGTAAACAAATCTAAAATATATTTAGTTGGGTTAGGCTAAAATAAATTGTTCTTGTTATAATAAGGTTAGGTAAGTTTTCTAGGATACTTTTGGTGAAAAATTAAATTTTTTTACATTAACATTAATGAAAAATATATATCTTTAAACGTACAAGAGAAAATTATAGAAAGGACTTAATTTTAAAGGAGTTCTTGCTAATTAACCAGTTTTACATATTCGGCACGACATATATATATAATATATATATATATATATATATATATATATATATATATATATATAATATATATATATATATATATATACTCACCCTCAGAAGGTAAATATGTCCTGTAGAAGGACTAATAAAGAAGGTAGCATTGGAGGATGGGTCTCGGAGGTCGTCCCTGGAGTACGGGTGGAGGTCGTCGTCGTCCTCCCCAGCCAAGGAGTACACGAGACGACCCTCGTCACTCTCATCCCCATCCTGAGCCACCACCTGTGGGACGACCACACCACCTTAACTCACCTTGTATCACCTGGACGACCACATACCACCTGTAGTCTTCATAATAACAAGCTGGTAAAACTGATCACACAAATAACATAAAAGCTATATAAGAAACAAGGAGCACTGCAGCAGGCCTACTGGCCAATACTAAGCAAGTGATAGCACTGATAACATTGATAAAAGGGTGATAGCAGGGTGATAACTAGGTAATCACACTGATAACAGAGTGATAACATTAATAAGACTAGACTTTTTGACTAATCAGGGATTTCTAGATTAGACTTTTAATTAAAATTCAACTGAATCACGTCCTGAAGAAGTTGCTTCACATGAAGAAGAAGGAGATGAAGAAGAAGATGATGAAGAAGACGAAGATGAAGAAGAAGACGAAGACGAATTAAAACGAAGAAAGGGGTGGGAAGAAGATGGGGGAAAGAAGAAGATGGCTGGAAGTAAATGGAGGAAGATAAGTGGAAATAAGAGGCAATAGATAAGAAGGGGAAGAAGTTAACCAAAGAACAAGACAAGAAAGGGAGAACTGGGAAATAATATACGATAAAGTGGGAATAAACGAATTTTTGAACGAGAAAGAGGGAGAAAGGGAGACGAAAGGAAGAGCAGGAATGAAAGTCAATGTGGAAATTTCTCCAAAAGGGGTGAATAAAGAGGAAAGGAAAACTAGCAAAGTGGAAGAGGAGGGGAAGGGAGAAAGGGAGATTAGAAAAAGTAATTAAGGGAGACGAGATAGATAGAAAATACCCAAGATAATCCAGAACTACTCAAAATGACCTCCGATAACCCCAAAACGACTCAGGATAATCCAAATCTACCCAAATCTACCCAAGATCACCCAAGACGACCCAGAACTGACCTGCAGGATGGCCTTGGGGAGGTGTCTGTCGTCCTCCTCAGTGATCTGTGTCTCAAATACAGGTCGTGAGAAGGTGGGTGACAGATCGTTCACATCCTCCACCTTCACCACCACACGCCCGTACGCCCTCTCCTCTCCAGCCTCCGCCACGCCCACGACCTCGTACTGTAAGGAAGCAGTCATCACAAGTATAATAATAATAATAATAAAATTATTATTATTATTATTATTATTATTATTATTATTTATTTGTATATTAATAACAATATTGTTAAAAACAATGATAATAATAATAATAATAATAATAATAATAATAATAATAATAATAATAATAATAATAATAATGATAATAATAATAATAATAAATAATATTTAATTCTGTTTAAGTTACTCAGGAGAGTGATCATCATTTTGAATTTTCTGTGTAATGTTGCTGAAACGTGTCTACAAGACGGGTGAAACGTGTCTGCAACACGGGTGGAACGTGTTTACAACACGGGTGGAACGTGTCTACAACACGGATGGAACGTGTCTACAACACGGATGGAACGTGTCTACAACACGGGTGGAACGTGTCTACAACATGGGTGGAACGTGTCTACAACACGGATGGAACGTGTCTACAACATGGGTGGAACGTGTCTACAACATGGGTGGAACGTGTCTACAACACGGGTGGAACGTGTCTACAACACGGGTGGAACGTGTCTACAACACGGGTGGAACGTGTCTACAACACGGGTGGAACGTGTCTACAACACGGGTGGAACGTGTCTACAACGCGGGTGGAACGTGTCTACAACACGGGTGGAACGTGTCTACAAGACAGGTAGAACGTGTCTACAACACGGGTGGAACGTATTTACAACACGGATGGAACGTGTCTACAACACGGGTGGAACGTGTCTACAAGACAGGTAGAACGTGTCTACAACATGGGTGGAACGTATTTACAACACGGGTGGAACGTGTCTACAACACGGGTGGAACGTATTTACAACACTGGTGGAACGTATTTACAACACTGGTGGAACGTATTTACAACACGGATGGAACGTGTCTACAACACGGGTGGAACATATACTGGGTATCTTTATTGTACAGTGGGTATCTTTATGGTACACTGGGTATCTATATTACACAAACCAGTTCCTTGATCACTCCACTACAGAGAACAGTTCTTGAAACTTTATTTAACACAGAGAAATAATCTGAGGCATTTCACCTACTTGATGGTTTAGTGCAACGTTAATATAGTTCTGTAGTTCGTAGATTCAGGGACCTCCACACCTACATTTCTAAACACCAACAAGTCAGCAAGATGAACTTGTACAGCGCCTGTACTTTACACAGAAATTTCAACAATTAGTTTATTAACTGTGAGGGATAGTGAGTCAGTAAGAAGGAAGACAACAGTCAGATGTAAGATCCTGGCATCTCTGTTTGTGACTCAATAAAGCCTACTGTGTGGGAGAAACGTTGTCAATATAAGATTACATTATTCTGTATTTGTGAAATCTGGGCGGGTTTGTAAGTTGAAACAGCAGGGACACAAATTTGCTTGAAAGTATAAAACAAGTTATGGATGAATGCTGGGGCATTCTGACTTATCAGGGAAGGGTTGAGTGAATGTTGGGGCATTCTGACCAGTCAAGTGAATGGGTTGGCGCCATCATGAGCGTTATGACTCCAGACTTTCTCTGTAGCCAACACCTGGTTCAAGTCAAGTCATTAGCTATCCTGGCTTGCCAGCGAACTAGTTTGAGTTAGTTACTGAGCAAAGTCGTTTGTAAGTTGAAACACGAGCAGGTTAAAACAAGAAGAACATAGTATAACGACCGAGAAAAGTCAGTTTTAATGGGACAGAGATAGTGTGTGCCCAGACTCAAGTCCTGGAGGTGGGACGTACAGTACCTGCACTCTGAAGGAGTGGAGATATATTACAGTTTTTTTAATTGTAGTACAGGCACGCCTCTGGCAAGACAGTAATGGAGTAAATGAAAATGAAAGTGTTTCTTCTTTCTCGGGTCACCCTACCTTGGTGGGTATTACGAACACAGGTAATGAATGGCCTGTGACCTGGTCGTAATGGCCTGTGACCTGGTCGTAATGGACTGTGACCTGGTCGTAATGGCCTGTGACCTGGTCGTAATGGCCTGTGATCTGGTCGTAATGGGTTTCGGAGCATAGCAAACTCAGCAGTTAGACTATAACTTGTATTCCCTTCACCAGATATAATTTGCCAGATATATACGAGTATGTACACTTATGTACACTATGTACAGAGATTGAATAGTAAGTGTACCACACGACGGTGACAGAATGGCAAAAGCAAAAGCCAGAGAGAGAGCACCGTACTCAACCAGCAGGTAGGCAAGTCTGGCAGATACTGACCGCCAGTGAAATAACATTGGCTCCGCATTTGGCGGGCTCGTCTGTGATTGGTCAATGAACCAAGGTACTGATTTAACGACGGGTACCTTAATAATCGTCAAACCCTTAGCACCCGGTTCGCTAGTTGGGAGGCAGCCTACATGGGAGTGTAACGTACTCTTTGCATGCCACAGTGGGAAACAGCTGATGTGTTAATACATGTACTCACCTAGTTGTGTTTGCAGGAGTTGAGTCACAGCTCCTGTGTGTGTGTGTGTGTGTGTGTGTGTGTGTGTGTGTGTGTACATGGATGCTATATCTAGAGAAAGAGAGAGAGAGAAAGAGAGAGCGAGAGAGAGAGAGAGAGAGAGAGAGAGAGAGAGAGAGAGAGAGGAGAGAGAGAGAGAGAGAGAGAGAGAGAGAGAGAGAGAGAGAGAGAGATTCCTTTATAAACATTCCTTCCCCCTGAGCTGCACAAAACAACTATATAATTAATAAACACTAGGACCGGTCAAACAAACAATGTTTATCAAACATTCAGCCGAGCCTCCCCTTTATTTTTTTAAAATCTCCCGTGTAAACATCAGACATTTAAGTACATCATTTATTAACAATTGCTAGACCCTCTCCCCCGCCCACCTGCCTTAAAAAACATGGTTAAATTACGTCAAGCATATGTAATTGCTTAATTTTTTTATTGTTACCCCTGAAGTTTGTTGAATTTAAAGGGAATTGTTGTTAAGGGGTTTAAAGTCTATCAGTAGAGAGACTTTAATCCCCTTAATGAAGAGGAAAACAAGAATGAAGAATTTAGAATCACTCTGGAGGGCAGGAAGGACCTGGTATCGCAGGAGGTTACTGACCTGACTCTTGACTTCGTAGTCAAGTGGAGAGGTGAGTGTGAGTTGACCAGTGTGGGCGTCTATGTGGAAGAGGCCGCCTACGCCCCCGCCCAGTAAGCTGTACACCACGCCCATCACTGACACACAAATGTAATGTATTACTATCAAATGACACAACTAAGTACAATTTAAAATAAATGAACCATAATATACACTGCTATGATTATATATATATATATATATATATATATAATATAATATATATATATATATAATATATATATATATATATATATATATATATATAATATATAGGAAGGAAGGAAGGAAGGAAGGAGGGGCAGGAGTCATTGCCAGAAGTGTTAAAATGAGAGTAGAGGAGGTAAATAAAGATTCGATGACTTGGGGCTTGAGCATCCAACAGGCTTATACGAGCGTGTTAAATCAATGCCAGCTGGTTATTATGACTTTCTGTTGGAGTGTAAGTAAGGTAACATTTACGAAGGGATTCATGGGGAAACCAGTTAGCCGGACTTGAGTCCTGGAGGCCGAAGTGCCTGCACTCTGAAGGAGGGATGGGAATGTTGCAGTGTGGAGGAGAGGTGTTAGGGTTCCTGGGGAGGGTTGTGAAGGAAAAGAAGAGAAAGAAAAGGGGGAGAAAGAGAAATACTCACTGGTTGTGTTAGAGGCTGCGTGGAGGGTAAGCAGGTGTAGAGGAGTTACGGTATTCTCTTCAACACAGACCTCAGCTCGTGGCGGTGTGAAGGTCAGTGTGCCTCGACCCACCAGCTGTGTCACTGTAAAACAGACACATAACAAGTGTCACTGTCAGACTTGCACCTAATATAAGGTAAAAAAAAAAATATGAAGACTGAATGAAGAATGGAGAGCTAGAGGAGACATGATTACGACATACAAAATACTTGGGGATACGGACGAGTGACTCGAGACACACGGGGATACACACTCAGATACACGGAGGTACACATTCAGATACACGGGGATACACATTCAGATACACGGAGATACACATTCAGATACACGGGGATGCACACTCAAGACACACGGAGATACACACTCAGATACACGGAGATACACACTCAAGACACACGGAGATACACACTCAGATACACGGAGATACACATTCAGATACACGGAGATACACACTCAGATACACGGAGATACACATTCAGATACACGGAGATACACACTCAGATACACGGAGATACACACTCAAGACACACGGAGATACACACTCAGATACACGGAGATACACACTCAGATACACGGAGATACACATTCAGATACACGGGGATGCACACTCAAGACACACGGAGATACACACTCAGATACACGGAGATACACACTCAAGACACACGGAGATACACACTCAAGACACACGGAGATACACACTCAGATACACGGAGATACACACTCAAGACACACGGAGATACACACTCAAGAACACGGAGATACACACTCCCCAAGACACACGGAGATACACACTCAAGACACACGGAGATACACACTCAGATACACGGAGATACACACTCAAGACACACGGAGATACACACTCAAGACACACGGAGATACACACTCAAGACACACGGAGATACACACTCAAGAACACCGGAGATACACACTCAAGACACACGGAGATACACACTCAAGACACACAGAGATACACACTCAAGACACACGGAGATACACACATCAAGAACACACAGGAGATACACACTCAAGACACACGGAGATACACACTCAGATACACGGAGATACACACTCAAGACACACGGAGATACACACTCAAGACACACGGAGATACACACTCAAGACACACGGAGATACACACTCAGATACACGGAGATACACACTCAGATACACGGAGATACACACTCAGATACACGGAGATACACACTCAGATACACGGAGATACACACTCAGATACACAGGAGATACACACTCAGATACACGGAGATACACACTCAAGACACACGGAGATACACACTCAGATACACGGAGATACACACTCAGATACACGGAGATACACACTCAAGACACACGGAGATACACACTCAGATACACGGAGATACACACTCAAGACACACGGAGATACACACTCAAGACACACGGAGATACACACTCAAGACCACAACGGAGATACACACTCAAGACACACGGAGATACACACTCAAGACACACAGAGATACACACTCAAGACACACGGAGATACACACTCAAGACACACGGAGATACACACTAAAGAACACGGAGATACACACTCAGATACACGGAGATACACACTCAAGACACACGGAGATACACATCAAGACACACGGAGATACACACTCAGACACACGGAGATACACACTCAGATACACGGAGATACACACTCAGATACACGGAGATACACACTCAGATACACGGAGATACACACTCAGATACACGGAGATACACACTCAGATACACGGAGATACACACTCAGATACACGGAGATACACACTCAAGACACACGGAGATACACACTCAGATACACGGAGATACACACTCAGATACACGGAGATACACACTCAGATACACGGAGATACACACTCAGATACACGGAGATACACACTCAGATACACGGAGATACACACTCAGATACACGGAGATACACACTCAGATACACGGAGATACACACTCAGAATACACGGAGATACACACTCAGATACACGGAGATACACACTCAGATACACGGGGATACACACTCAGATACACGGAGATACACACTCAGAACACGGAGATACACACTCAGATACACGGAGATACACACTCAGAACACGGAGATCACACTTACGTAACACTGATACACGGAGATACACACTCAGATACACGGAGATACACACTCAGATACACGGAGATACACACTCAAGACACACGGAGATACACACTCAGATACACGGAGATACACACTCAATACACGGAGATACACACTCAGATACACGGAGATACACACTCAATAACACGGAGATACACACTCAAGATACACGGAGAATACACACTCAGATACACGGAGATACACACTCAGATACACGGAGGATGCACACTCAAGACACACGGAGATACACACTCAGATACACGGAGATACACACTCAAGACACACGGAGATACACACTCAAAAGGACACACAGCGGAGATACACACTCAAGAACACGGAGATACACACTCAGATAACACGAGATCACACTCAAGACACACGGAGATACACACTCAGATACACGGAGATACACACTCAAGACACACGGAGATACACACTCAGATACACGGAGATACACACTCAGATACACGGAGATACACACTCAAGAACACGGAGAACACACTCAACACACGGAGATACACACTCAAGACACACGGAGATACACACTCAGATACAGGAGATACACACTCAGATACACGGAGATAACACTCAAGAACACGGAGATACACACTCAGATACACGGAGATACACCTCAGATACAACGGAGATACACACTCAGATACACGGAGATACACACTCAGATAACGGAGATAACACTCAAGAACACGGAGATACACACTCAAGACACACGGAGATACACACTCAAGACACACGGGATACACACTCAAGACACACGGAGATAACACTCAAGACACACGAGATACACACTCAAGACACACGGAGATACACACTCAAGACACACGGAGATACACACTCAAGACACACGGAGATACACAACTCATAGATACACGGAGATACACACTCAAGACACACGGAGATACACACTCAGAACACGGAGATACACACTCAAGACACACGGAGATACACACTCAAGACACACGGAGATACACACTCAAGACACACGGAGATACACACTCGATACACCGGAGATACACACACATCAAGACACACGGAGATACACACTCAGATACACGGAGATACACACTCAAGACACACGGAGATACACACTCAAGACACACGGAGATACACACTCAAGACACACGGAGATACACACTCAAGACACACGGAGATCAGATACACACTCAAGACACACGGAGATACACACTCAAGACACACGGAGATACACACTCAAGACACACGGAGATACACACTCAAGACACACGGAGATACACACTCAAGACACACGGATCACTGACCGAGATACACACTCAAGACACACGGAGATACACACTCAAGACACACGGAGATACACACTCAAGACACACGGAGATACACACTCAGAACACGGAGATACACACTCAGACACACGGAGATACACACTCAAGACACACGGAGATACACACTCAGATACACGGAGATACACACTCAAGACACACGGAGATACACACTCAGATACACGAGATACACACTCAAGACACACGGAGATACAACTCAACTACACAGACACCAAACACGGAGATACACACTCAAGACACACGGAGATACACACTCAAGACACACGGAGATACACACTCAGATACACGGAGATACACACTCAGATACACGGAGATACACACTCAGAACACGGAGATACACACTCAAGACACACGGAGATACACACTCAGTACACGGAGATACCACCAAACACGGAGATACACACTCAGATACACGGAGATACACACTCAGACACACGGAGATACACACTCAGATACACGGAGATACACACTCAAGACACACGGAGATACACACTCAAGACACACGGAGATACACACTCAAGACACACGGAGATACACACTCAGATACACGGAGATACACACTCAAGACACACGGAGATACACACTCAGATACACGGAGATACACACTCAAGACACACGGAGATACACACTAAAGAACACGGAGATACACACTCAAGACACGGAGATACACACTCAACTCGAGATACACACTCAGAACACGGGATACACACTAGACACACGGTACACACTAGACCGAGATACACACTCAGATACACGGAGATACACACTCAAGACACACGGAGATACACACTCAAGACACACGGAGATACACACTCAGATACACGGAGATACACACTCAGACACACGGGGATACACACTCAGATACACGGAGATACACACTCAAGACACACGGAGATACACACTCAGATACACGGAGATACACACTCAAGACACACGGAGATACACACTCAGATACACGGAGATACACACTCAGACACACGGGGATACACACTCAGCAACGAGTACACATAAAACGGAGATACACACTCAAACAGATCACATCAGAACACGGAGATACACACTCACAGACACACGGAGATACACACTCAGATACACGGAGATACACACTCAAGACACACGGAGATACACACTCAGATACACGGAGATACACACTCAGATACACGGAGATACACACTCAGACACACGGAGATACACACTCAGATACACGGAGATACACACTCAAGACACACGGAGATACACACTCAAGAACACGGAGATACACACTCAGATACACGGAGATACACACTCAGATACACGGAGATACACACTCAGATAAAACGGAGATACACACTCAAGACACACGGAGATACACACTCAGATACACGGAGATACACACTCAAGACACACGGAGATACACACTCAGATACACGGAGATACACACTCAAGACACACGGAGATACACTAGCTCAGGAGTACACTCAGACACACGGAGATACACACTCAAACACGGAGATACACACTCAAGACACACGGAGATACACACTCAGATACACGGAGATACACACTCAAGACACACGGAGATACACACTCAGAAAACACGGAGATACACACTCAGACACACGGAGATACACACTCAAGACACACGGAGATACACACTCAAGACACACGGAGATACACACTCAGACACACGGAGATACACACTCAAGACACACGGAGATACACACTCAAGACACACGGAGATACACACTCAGACACACGGAGATACACACTCAAGACACACGGAGATACACACTCAAGACACACGGAGATACACACTCAAGACACACGGAGATACACACTCAGACACACGGAGATACACACTCAAGACACACGGAGATACACACTCTAGACACACGGAGATACACACTCAAGACACACGGAGATACACACTCAAGACACACGGAGATACACACTCAAGACACACGGAGATACACACTCAAGACACACGGAGATACACACTCAAGACACACGGAGATACACACTCAAGACACACGGAGATACACACTCAGACACACGGAGATACACACTCAGACACACGGAGATACACACTCAGACACACGGAGATACACACTCAGACACACGGAGATACACACTCAGACACACGGAGATACACACTCAGAACAACGGAGATACACACTCAGACACACGGAGATACACACTCAGAACACGGAGATACACACTCAAGACACACGGAGATACACACTCAAGACACACGGAGATACACACTCAAGACACACGGAGATACACACTCAGACACACGGAGATACACACTCAAGACACACGGAGATACAACCAAAACACGGAGATAACTCAAGAACACGAATACACATCAGACACACGGAGATACACACTCAAGACACACGGAGATACACACTCAAGACACACGGAGATACACACTCAAGACACACGGAGATACACACTCAAGACACACGGAGATACACACTCAAGAACACGGAGATACACACTCAAGACACACGGAGACACTAACCCGAACACTCAAGACACACGGAGATACACACTCAAGACACACGGAGATACACTCAGACACACGGAGATACACACTAAACACGGAGATACACACTCAAGACACACGGAGATACACACTCAAGACACACGGAGATACACACTCTAGACACACGGAGATACACACTCAGACACACGGAGATACACACTCAAGACACACGGAGATACACACTCAAGACACACGGAGATACACACTCAGACACACGGAGATACACACTCAGACTTACCATTAGTGATCTGTTCTCCCAGTGGGATAAGCAGAGGCATCAGAACATTGACAGCCATACTGAAGACCAGCCCACGCCCGCACGCCCGCGTACACGCCCACGTCTGTGCACACGCCTGCTCACGCCCACCCTCTACAACCATGCGTCAGCTGCAACGAGAGAAACTGATGTAAAACACATCACTGAAAGTGTAAATTAATAATACAAGGTAAAATAGCTTGTAAAAACTGTATTTCGAAAATAGTCAAAATTCTCGAAATTTTGAAAATATCACCAAATTAGATGATATTCGTCTTATGAACTTTGAAAAGTCGATGGTTGTGAAAATTATTTTGAGGAAAAATATAATACATACCACTATAATAATAATAATAATAATAATAATAATAATAATAATAATAATAATAATAATAATAATAATAATAATAATAAAGAGAGCAGTATAAGTCTATAGTAACATTAGCATAAAATCACTCAAAATGCAAAATACATCTTCTCTAGAACATATAATAATTTTTTTTTAGATTTGTCAGTGTACGTATAGATACAATGAGAGGTTTGTTACAGTGTATAGACACGACCTTCCATCATGACTGAGGTACTGATCACCTTCCATCATGACTGAGGTACTGACCACCTTCCATCATGACTGAGGTACTGACCACCTTCCATCATGACTGAGGTACTGATCACCTTCCATCATGACTGAGGGACTGACCACCTTCCATCAAGACTGAGGTACTGACCACCTTCCATCAAGACTGAGGTACTGACCACCTTCCATCAAGACTGAGGTACTGACCACCTTCCATCAAGACTGAGGTACTGACCACCTTCCATCATGACTGAGGTACTGACCACCTTCCATCATGACTGAGGTACTGATCACCTTCCATCATGACTGAGGTACTGACCACCTTCCATCATGACTGAGGTACTGACCACCTTCCATCATGACTGAGGTACTGACCACCTTCCATCATGACTGAGGTACTGATCACCTTCCATCATGACTGAGGTACTGACCACCTTCCATCATGACTGAGGTACTGACCACCTTCCATCATGACTGAGGGACTGACCACCTTCCATCAAGACTGAGGTACTGACCACCTTCCATCAAGACTGAGGTACTGACCACCTTCCATCATGACTGAGGTACTGACCACCTTCCATCATGACTGAGGTACTGACCACCTTCCATCATGACGGAGGTACTGACCACCTTCCATCATGACGGAGGTACTGACCACCTTCCATCATGACTGAGGTACTGACCACCTTCCATCATGACTGAGGTACTGACCACCTTCCATCATGACTGAGGTACTGACCACCTTCCATCATGACTGAGGTACTGATCACCTTCCATCATGACTGAGGTACTGACCACCTTCCATCATGACTGAGGTACTGATCACCTTCCATCATGACTGAGGTACTGATCACCTTCCATCATGACTGAGGTACTGATCACCTTCCATCATGACTGAGGTACTGACCACCTTCCATCATGACTGAGGTACTGATCACCTTCCATCATGACTGAGGTACTGACCACCTTCCATCATGACTGAGGTACTGACCACCTTCCATCATGACTGAGGTACTGACCACCTTCCATCATGACTGAGGAAGCTGACCACCTTCCATCATGACTGAGGTACTGACCACCTTCCATCATGACTGAGGTACTGATCACCTTCCATCATGACTGAGGTACTGATCACCTTCCATCATGACTGAGGTACTGATCACCTTCCATCATGACTGAGGTACTGACCACCTTCCATCATGACTGAGGTACTGACCACCTTCCATCATGACTGAGGTACTGACCACCTTCCATCATGACTGAGGTACTGACCACCTTCCATCATGACTGAGGTACTGACCACCTTCCATCATGACTGAGGTACTGACCACCTTCCATCATGACTGAGGTACTGACCACCTTCCATCAAGACTGAGGTACTGACCACCTTCCATCATGACTGAGGTACTGACCACCTTCCATCATGACTGAGGTACTGACCACCTTCCATCAAGACTGAGGTACTGACCATCTTCCATCAAGACTGAGGTACTGACCACCTTCCATCAAGACTGAGGTACTGACCACCTTCCATCAAGACTGAGGTACTGACCACCTTCCATCAAGACTGAGGTACTGACCACCTTCCATCAAGACTGAGGTACTGACCACCTTCCATCATGACTGAGGTACTGACCACCTTCCATCAAGACTGAGGTACTGATCACCTTCCATCATGACTGAGGTACTGACCACCTTCCATCAAGAATGAGGTACTGACCACCTTCCATCAAGACTGAGGTACTGACCACCTTCCATCAAGACTGAGGTACTGACCACCTTCCATCAAGACTGAGGTACTGACCACCTTCCATCATGACTGAGGTACTGACCACCTTCCATCAAGACTGAGGTACTGATCACCTTCCATCATGACTGAGGTACTGACCACCTTCCATCATGACTGAGGTACTGATCACCTTCCATCATGACTGAGGTACTGACCACCTTCCATCATGACTGAGGTACTGATCACCTTCCATCATGACTGAGGTACTGATCACCTTCCATCATGACTGAGGTACTGATCACCTTCCATCATGACTGAGGTACTGACCACCTTCCATCATGACTGAGGTACTGATCACCTTCCATCATGACTGAGGTACTGACCACCTTCCATCATGACTGAGGTACTGACCACCTTCCATCATGACTGAGGTACTGACCACCTTCCATCATGACTGAGGAAGCTGACCACCTTCCATCATGACTGAGGTACTGACCACCTTCCATCATGACTGAGGTACTGATCACCTTCCATCATGACTGAGGTACTGATCACCTTCCATCATGACTGAGGTACTGATCACCTTCCATCATGACTGAGGTACTGACCACCTTCCATCATGACTGAGGTACTGACCACCTTCCATCATGACTGAGGTACTGACCACCTTCCATCATGACTGAGGTACTGACCACCTTCCATCATGACTGAGGTACTGACCACCTTCCATCATGACTGAGGTACTGACCACCTTCCATCATGACTGAGGTACTGACCACCTTCCATCAAGACTGAGGTACTGACCACCTTCCATCATGACTGAGGTACTGACCACCTTCCATCATGACTGAGGTACTGACCACCTTCCATCAAGACTGAGGTACTGACCATCTTCCATCAAGACTGAGGTACTGACCACCTTCCATCAAGACTGAGGTACTGACCACCTTCCATCAAGACTGAGGTACTGACCACCTTCCATCAAGACTGAGGTACTGACCACCTTCCATCAAGACTGAGGTACTGACCACCTTCCATCATGACTGAGGTACTGACCACCTTCCATCAAGACTGAGGTACTGACCACCTTCCATCAAGACTGAGGTACTGACCACCTTCCATCAAGACTGAGGTACTGACCACCTTCCATCAAGACTGAGGTACTGACCACCTTCCATCAAGACTGAGGTACTGACCACCTTCCATCATGACTGAGGTACTGACCACCTTCCATCAAGACTGAGGTACTGACCACCTTCCATCAAGACTGAGGTACTGACCACCTTCCATCAAGACTGAGGTACTGACCACCTTCCATCAAGACTGAGGTACTGACCACCTTCCATCAAGACTGAGGTACTGACCACCTTCCATCATGACTGAGGTACTGACCACCTTCCATCAAGACTGAGGTACTGACCACCTTCCATCAAGACTGAGGTACTGACCACCTTCCATCAAGACTGAGGTACTGACCACCTTCCATCAAGACTGAGGTACTGACCACCACCCTTTAAGACTGAGGGACTCGCCACCAGTAAACAGTATTGCCAGTAAAGCGTAAACACAAGAGTGCATACGGAATGTGTTGCCATGCCAGACAATGTTACCAGAGGCGTAAATCATCCCTCAGTTATTCGGCCTCGTATGTTTCGCAGAGTTGGCAATAATGAAAGTGCAAAAACATGTCAACAAAGGAGAAGTGTTGCCAATTAACTCTTTTTTTGTGCAGTGTGAGAGTGGTAAAACTAATTTCTTATTCTTTTTTGAGCTAAATTGTGAAGAGAGATAGTTTTAATATTACTTAAACGTTTACTATAGATTTATGTTCTCTCTCTCTCTCTCTCTCTCTCTCTCTCTCTCTCTCTCCTCTCTCTCTCTCTCTCTCTCTCTCTCTCTCTCTCTCTCTCTCTCAGCCTCCCCCAAACCAATACAGCTCACGTTTAATATCACAATTTCTAGTCCAGCTCTGGTGATGTAGGTTTGACGTTTTAGCTGCCGATCCGTAGTTGTGTGTGTGGGTGTGGGTGTGTGTGTGTGTATGTGTGTGTGTGTGTGTGTGTGTGTGTGTGTGTGTGTGTGTGTGTGTGTGTGTGTGTGTGTGTGTGTGTGTGTGTGTGTGTGTACTCACCTAATTGTACTCACGCTACTGGTCCTCTCTCTCTCTGCTTCCTGAGCTTTATCATACCTCGCCTTAAAACTATGTATGGTTCCTGCCTCCACTACGTCACTTTCTAGGCTATTCCACGGCCTGACTACTCTATGACTGAAGACATACTTCCTAACATCCCTTTGATTCATCTGAGTCTTCAACTTCCAATTGTGACCTCTTGTGTCTGTGTCCCATCTCTGGAACATCCTGTCTTTGTCCACCTTGTCTATTCCGCGCAGTATTTTATATGTCGTTATCATGTCTCCCCTGACCCTCCTGTCCTCCAGTGTCGTCAGGCCGATTTCCCTCAACCTTTCTTCATAGGACAATCCCCGTAGCTCTGGGACTAGTCTTGTTGCAAACCTTTGCACTTTCTCTAATTTCTTGACGTGCTTGACTAGGTGTGAATTCGAAACTGGTGCGGCATACTCCAGTATGGGCCTGACGTAATTGGTATACAGAGTCTTAAACGAATCCTTACTGAGGTATCGGAACGCTATCCGTAGGTTTGCCAGGCGCCCGTATGCTGCAGCAGTTATCTGATTGATGTGCGCCTCAGGAGATATGCTCGGTGTTATACTCACCCCCAGATCTTTTTCCTTGAGTGAGGTTTGCAGTCTTTGACCATCTAAACTATATTGTGTCTGCGGTCTTCTTTGCCCTTC